ACTCTGACATTCGTTTCGGATGAACGGCGCGCAAAAATAACGATTCCTACGACCCGCGCCTGTCGAGCGTATGAGCGGCGCGACACAGTCGGATTTGAGTACGAGCGGCGCGCAATTCAGAGTGTATCAGTACGAGCGGGGCGCAATTGAGAAGCAGGACCGGCCGCGTGCCTTCAAACGTACAAGCGGATTACCATAATATCTAAATTTTAGGATCAGCGGCGTTCCACAGCGTCCCCCCTATACGAGCGGCGCGCAATTCGGCGTGCACGAGTACGAGCGGCGCGCAGTTGACAAGCAGTACCGGCCGCGTGCCTTCTGTGGTGGTTGTAGGCTTTATTGTAGCCTTAGGCGGATGAGTGGCGCCTGTTGTGGAGTATGGTAGCTCCTGGTGTGTTAATAGAACACTAAGCTATTAGAGCTTTATTGAACAGACGACATGCACCCATTCGTGCAGTGGTAGAATGCTGAGGATAACAGGCGGAGCAAAGTAACTTGGCATGCATCTGGGCAATAAACACACTCATATCACAGCAGGTCATGCTTATGGCATGACCTTTACGGTGCTCAGGCAGGAGTAATGATATGATTGTAAGGAAGGCGCCGACAAGTCGGCACACTCCGGCCAGCGGCAGAAGCAAATGAGAAACAGCGAATGAGCAGCATAGAAACATACACAATTAACGTGAGCAAATGTTCCAATACTTATCAGGATACCGTAGTGGACGTCCATGAGGACTCAGATGGATGGGGGTGGAATTGTGGCTAATGTGGTCGTGACAGCTGACATGAGGTGGCGAAGAAGTAGATGGTGAAAAGGTAGAATAATGTAGATCATTACAACGGAGCGAATCAGTAGACGAAAATATAGATTTAGGAATATAAAATTGGTTCTTCGTCTTACTGCTCTCGAGCTGTCGCTTTGCATTCTTGTGCCTTCTCTTGTGATCGTTCTCCTTGGATTGACTCGCATCGGGCATAGGCGGTGACGTCAGGCTATCATGTCCATCGCGAATTGCTGATGTTTTGCCATAAATGGCACCTCCACAAGCCACAACTCCACAGTCTTCAGATTAGTGTTCACGCTTCTCATCCTCGTTGCCTTCTTCTAAGGCCGCAGGAGTTTCGCTCATCACTGCTACACTGTCGAACTCTCTTTCCGCGTCAAGTATAAAATGGCGAAGTAAGCTGGATTGCTGTCTTTTGACTACTTGACTTACAGCAAAATTGCCTCTGTATACTTCTGCATGCAGAATCTGATGTTCTACAATACAGGCAAAAACATCAGCATCAGAAAGCAACTGATAAAAGTCAACCTCCTTTTCGAGCTCTTCTAGCTGGAGTATGATTGCTTTTTGCTCGCTTTTAGACTGTTTGAGATAAAATTCTTCAATTTGGTCGACTATTGACCGCAAAATTGTCGATCTTGCTTTAACTTGCGGTAGGCAAGAAAGGAGCTTATCAAGATTTTCAAAGCATTTCTTTTGCAGCTCTTTTGTGTGCTGCAAACTAAATTTAACATCTTTGAAAGATTCAAATTCTTTGAGTAAATTTGCTAATTTTACTGAGTGAAACGAATTCGCCTCTTTGAAAAATTTTAGAGACATTTTTGACGTAGAAAATTGCTATTTTAGCAAAAATGTGGCTGCTTTTGAGCCGTTTCGCTACTTTTTGAGCGAGGATTAGGAATTTTGTCCCTAAATGGGGTGGAGAGTGGCTGTCGCTAGGTGCGAAGCAGCGTGTTTTGGGCGCTAGGTCCCAAGGTTAGAATAGCTAACCTCTGTGCAGTCGCTGAGGCGAAGCACTGATCGGTCTTACGTATTTGGCCGATGCACCATAAATGTGGTGGTTGTAGGCTTTATTGTAGCCTTACAAGGGAATGGTCAGAAGTCGAAGTGGCCAATCCATACAAGCTGCATACCATTAAATGCAGTATTAGATGCTGGCTCTAAATCTGTCTTCCTTATCTGCAGAGCGCTTTTGTGGGCGAAATTATAAGCCGTTGAAGGCCATTATTTTGCTAAGAAATTGTGCATATAAAATGCAAACTTGGCCGTACAAAGCCATTCTTGGTTCAGTGCTGGACCAAAACATGCAACCAGGTCTGTTCATATGACCCGTACCTAGAGGTGAGCTGAAACAACAATAATGTGCCTAATTTCGCAATTTTTGCATACGGTTTTTTCGCAGTAAAGCTGCTCATAACTTCGCCTACAAAGGCGCTCTGCAGATACGGAAGGCAGATTTGAAATCGGCGTTCCATGCTGCATCGAATGGTATGCAGCTTGTTTGGATTGGCCACTTCGACTTCTGACCATTTCCTTGTTAGGCGGATGAGTGGCGCTTGTTGTGGAGTATGGTAGCTCCTGGTGTGTTAATAGAACACTAAGCTATTAGAGCTTTATTGAACAGACGACATGCACCCATTCGTGCAGTGGTAGAATGCTGAGGATAACAGGCGGAGCAAAGTAACTTGGCATGCATCAGGGCAATAAACACACTCATATCACGGCAGGTCATGCTTATGGCACGACCACTAATTTAAGCTTCTGCAGCTCTTCAGGCACGTGCTCATGGCTACCATAGTCAAAGAAAGACGTTTGAGTTTGTGCGCGGTCATTATTTATGCATTCGGTTATGATTTTCACATTTTTAAGTGCACAAAAAGTATAGCGTAATTTTCACACGTTATAAGCGTATAGGATACTTGCGTAAGGTATGACGCAGTGGTTAGGCTGCCCTCAATGCTAATTGGCATGAATGTGTTTAGAATACTTACACAGGGACATGATTGTGAGACGGTCATTCAGACAATATTCGATAGCATCTCTGTGTTGCTCAATTTTGTAGCCGGACTTCCGAAAGTGCCATATCGATGGGGTTAACACAAAATTTGTCACATCAGCGATTCAAGCACGAAATTACCGTACCAGCGGCGCCGAGGTGACAGCGCACCAGCCGCGCGAAATTCGCGTCACCCGAGCGCATTTAACGGGCGAATGGCCATTGAGGAGTCCGCTCGTACGCAAAATTCGCGCAGCTCGTACGGAACGAATGTCATGGAGGTGTGCACTTCTATTCTGGAGAATGAGCTTCACTAAACGCGACATCTCTCTTGACTCCAAACGTTCTTCTGCAAGCAGTCGTACTTTCGTCATTGGAACTATATGCGCACCATGCCTTCCCAGTAGAACTTTTCAATCAAAACATCACTAGATGAAGTTTATTAGCTTTTACGGCATTGAAAAAGTGTTACACGAGGCTTTGGTGACTCAATACAGCATTTCTCACACCTGCTAGCCATTGGGCCGCTAGTAGAAGTTGAAAAAATATCAATTACAGGTTGGGGTAAGTAGTGTACACTGTATTTACATCAAGTGCGCATTTCTGACGCATGATGCCAATTAGGTGCCTTGTCGAGGTCTATACAACAGTGTCTCCAGGTTACTATGCCATTCTGGTTGATGATTCAAATGTCAAAACAGCTGTGTTATCCAGCAAAGCGATCATGGTCGCTCAAAACGTGTCCCGAAACGTTGTGTTGTCCCGAAAACTGTTGTGGTGGGGTAGGGGACATTAGGTCGCCGAGAGGTCCCGCCCCTCGCGGACTACTGTTACAAATCACGCGCAAATCGCAAGTGGTGTACTGCACCGTCTACAGCGGATAGCCGTCTACCCCGTTCTTGCTCCTCACGATGCTTTTCTTTGGTTTTTGAGACTTTTCCTCCGTATTTATCATTGTTTAGTCATCTTCGACGTCACCTAGTCTCCACAGTTGTAAACTGCTGATCTTTCATCGCTTGTAGGTGGTTCAGCGCACATTTCAAGGCACATTGTTTTTGATGACCGACTCGTGCCTTGAAATCTCAAGTCTTGCTGCCGTTACTGCGTTTTGCATAATTGAACAAAGGGATCATTTGCTCCCTAATCTTTCTGAGCCAATATTTCTTTTTTTTCTCGCACTGTTTCATGCCTTATATGATTTTGTGAGTTCATGAGTGGATAAATTTCATTTCAGGTATCTTTGCCAGCAATCTCCATATTCGATATTGAGCTCAACTTGTAAGCTGTACGTCAATTTGTATCCAAGTTTTTATAGCGTTCTACTTTTTCCTGTTTCCTCCATGTTATCTTAGCCGTTGCATGTGTACGTTTTATATGTAAGAGTATATTATTAGGTATGTAAGTGTGGGTATATTTGATGTGTGATGTAGTGTTTTATGTTTGTGTTTATGTGTGTGTTTATGTATATGTGTGTTTATATGTGTATGTATGTATGTATGTATGCATGTATGTTATGTATGCATGTATGTATGTATGTTTGTTTGTGTGTGTGTGTGTGTGTGTGTGTGTGTGTGTGTGTGTGTGTGTGTGTGTGTGTGTGTGTGTGTGTGTGTGTGTGTGTGTGTGTGTGTGTGTGTGTGTGTGTGTGTGTGTGTGTGTGTGTGTGTGATTAGTGTGTGTATTTGTGTGTTTATAGGTGACGCATGTGTGTGTATGTATTTGTGTGTATGTGGTTGTCTGCATGTGCGTGCTGCTTTTTCTGCGCTCGTTGAAATCTTCATTTCAGGCCTGTCGCAAGCATCAACTGTATCCTTCGCTGTTCGCATAAGACCTCGAAATTGTAAGTTATGAATCGAATGTGTTTTTGATAGCCCACTTTCTGCCTTTTTATTTCGACTTTCGTTCAGTGCTTTATTCAAAGGCCAACTACTTTATCGTACTTTCTAGGATCGCAAGCTTATAGGTTTTTTTCTGCTGTCCATGTATATCATTGTTTTGTCGTTGAATTCAATCATTACAGTTTCCATCGGGCATCAAGGATTCAATCATCTCACTTCCCATCGTGCATCCATAACCTTCTTCTGGACGCAGACTGAATGTAAGTCCAGCAAAGAGTTATGTTTCTATATGTACGATCCAGAAGTTCTGTAATTATGGTATCGACATGCTCACTCAATGGTTCCACAATGTCGCAATTTTCGTTTTCATTTTCCGCAATGAGCATTAGTAACTATAATTACGTTAGCATGACGTATGCTCGAGGTGGAGGCGATTCAGCCGTTGGATTCTCTGTGACAGGAGTTGTTGCCTGCCCTGGTAATGGTCTTCCTATACTCCTTCCTTTCCATACTTTCTATTTTCTCTTTCTTTCTGTCCTATGCGGCTGACTCTCACTTGAATCACTCAGACTTATCTGTTTGTGTCAGATGAGCTTTGTGATTTCGGGTGATAGCGCCAGCAGATTTCTTCTATTTTTCTCCTATTAATGTCTCTACCTTTTCCTTTACTAGTTACTAATCAGGAGTGGTTGTGCAAGCATTGCATGATTAATTCTATTGGGATCTCTTGCACTAATAGCTATTCATCGAATCAGTCATGATGAGATTAGCATGATGTTCGCTTGAATCCTTGCATGCTTCCAGCTCCTGTAATCTCACCTATAATAGTGGCTCTTTAGCACGATGTCGCAAGAGCCGAAGAAAAGCATCATTCTCGAAGTGGATCCATTAAGCGGAGCTTACAATTATTCCACTGTGGATGGTATTGGTTCACATTTCACAAAGAAAAATTCCTTTAGTTAGTTTCATTGTAGCACCTGGCCTCACGCGGGTAAACAAACCGATCACTTTTTTGGGAGAGAAACAGGTAAGTTCAAGAGGAAACCCAATTTTATCGTACCCGATTCCAGGAACGAACACCACCTACATCTTCGCATTTTCCAAGAAGACAATGAAGTATGAGCAGTACTACTGCGTGAAGTGTAAGGGGTTGAAAAAAACCAAAATCATCGCAGTAAGTACGATTCTGCAAGGCCAGACAACAATATTTGGTTACGAATCGTAATACAAAAATGTTAGGTTCGGGATAACAAGTTCTTGGAAAATCCGTGCACCATCGGTCACATCTGCACACCCGTTGAAGCTGCCAAAGACATCGCCCTAAGAACATCTTATGAGGTGACAGTGTGTTGGATCATTCTGAATGCATGTGAAGAAAATTTGATAGATGGTCCATAACATCAAGACCGATCCGACGTCGAGCAGCAAGCCTCCCCTTCAGCACTGGCTGAGCACACTTAAGGAAATTGATCAAAATCCAAAGCTAGGTACATAAAGCTCATGAAATTTCAAACAACATGAGAGTACGCGTGTAGATGACGACACTCGAGCCAAAGTGATGGACGAGTTCAGGGGAGAAGGCTTTTCGCATAAGAAGCGCACCATCAGGAGGTATTTATGAAGTCAAAAAATTGAACGTTTGCTGACAGATGAGTACGCTCTAGAGCAGCAAACACCGGTGACAAGGCTACTCCAGTCACAATGGACAATGTCCCAAGTTACCTCGCCAACTTAAGGGACGGAAGCGCTTTCCTTCAGCTGAAGCAGCACGACATGCACGTGTACATCTCGGATTTGTCGTTAGAGGTGCTCGATCGCGCGAATTCACTTTGGATGTAAAACTTGTAACTTTTCAGAAAGCTTGTAGAAACGCTCTGTATGTTCTCGTTGGGGATGGTGTACATAGTAAGGCCCCCCGTTGCGTGAGGAAAGGCTCGCAACTGTACGTCATCCATGGGATTTGTCGTGGTGGAGTTGACGTCCCTCTCCTGTATGCCATCATGGAGAAAAAAGATAAGGCCGCCTACGAAACCATCCTCCTCCACCTCAAAACGCACTTGCTCAGATATAACGTCAACTTGAAGGACCTGAGATTTGTGGTGGACTACGAAAGGGCTGCGATTGCTGCGATTCGTTCGACGTTTGAAGGAATTACAGTCCAGGGCTGTGCTTTTCATTTAGCTTTAGCGTGGAACAGGCGGCGAAACGGATATGGTCTGACACGTTTTATAACTGGGAATGACAGCGTACCAGAAGTCCTTGACTGGTGGAATACCATCAAGGGCTTGATTTTTCTTCCAAAACGTCTTCACTCTGTAATCCAGGCACTAAAAAAGCCGCCTGTTCCACAAAGCCACCCTGCGTTCACTGGTTGTTCTAATTTCCTGAATTACCTAGCAACAACATGGTATCGAGGATCGCTCGCAAACCTTTGGGACAAATCTGGGGTGACCGATATAAGAACAACAAATGTTGCCGAAGCATTCCATCGGTTAGGAACTTCCCAAATACAAATGCTTTCTTAATATAACATTTTGAGACGTCTGGGGGTACTTTTGCAAGATTACCCGACTCTCGCAGAAGTGATTGAGGTGTTCCACGCACTGGAGATTGACTGCCGTTCGGCGCTAAATTCTGCAGAGATGGTAATCCCTCACACTTCTAACTTTCACTCGAAAAAATTTGCAGCATCCTGAAAGACCGAAGAAGATCAGTCAAGAGGCCCAAGAGCGGAGAGCTGAAATAACAGCAGCCATGAACACGTACGCAGTTTTGCTGAGATGTTGGTACATGATGCTCATCTTTCTTTTCTTAGATTTGAGGAACAGTATAGAGCTACTGGAGTTACGCGCGTACAAGCAGAAGAATACTGCAAACGGATGGCGAGATATGTCACGGACAAGGCTTTCTGATTTTGATACATTGCATACTAGTTGAGAGTTTGTTACATATTGTAAGATAAGATTTTATTGCAAAACGAAAACTTAAAGTAGAAGTAAATTGTGATAGCTAGCATCATTGTCTTTTAGTAAGTCTCATCAATGCTAAAACAAAAACAAACCAAATTACTCGTGTTCGTTGGTCACTTCAGAAAAAAACAAATGGCAGTATACATATTAAAACTGCATAAGTAAGATTGAATAACCAACTTTTCTGTCTTCATACACCGTCGTCACCTTCGCCCTTTATATCGCCATAATGAATAGATGTTGAGAATGTTTTCATCTTCTATAACCCACGACTTGTCAAAAGGATGCGGGGACGAGGTACATAGCAGGTTGATGATCTGGAAAAAAGGTAGGTTGTTTTGAAAGGATAGGGGGTGAAAACATAGTAGTGTAAGGTTAAAAGAAATATACGCTGTACACCTTGAAAAACATGTAACAACAGATTGATACTCAAAACGTACCACTTGGTCACCGTGAGGATGTGACACGATGACCTGAGACGTTATGAAGTTCCTGAGTGATGTATTCTGCTATCCGAATAATTTGCCCAAAACTTTGCTAGACAGACCTGAATAGGAAAAAAAATTTCAAGCATTGGAAGTTAGTGGTACCTCACCTTCAGCGATGTATTTGCATTCACGACTTCAGTACCGACGGAATACTTCATCCCTCAGCTAGGATTGCAGCTACAACTCACGCGTGGACTAAATATTTCGATTTAGGCGCTGACGCATGAATGAGCACAGAGAAATAAGATGTATTCCAACAAATGAGCATAGGGAACAGAACATAAGTCTTGAGATATTCTATGCTGACATACAATTACCGGAGACAGAACATCGGCCCACAGTGCAAACACATGGTACAAACTCTAAGTGCCTTCAAGATTGCCAAAAAGTCTATGCAAACATTCGCAGGCTAAGTTTGTATTCGAAGCTTAAGACTTCTACGAGAAAAACGCCGAAATTCACAGTCACCTACAAAACTATATCTGCTGATCGTTACATTATCCAAACGGCAGGATTATTTGGGAAACACAAGGAAAGGGTTTGGACCTAGAGCCAAACCATAAGTGAGAGCTTTCTTGAGAGCTTTGCAAAAGCTTTATGTTTCACTACCAAACGAAAAATGCGAGCTTGCAACCCAATCACTTCCCAGGTTATGTTGAAGGAATGCAAAAGGAAGAAGCAGCAAAAACACCAATGATTTACCTAGTCATGAAACAAAGGAAATTGAAGGGAGTATGAAAAAGGGATGTGAAAATAACATGAAAAGTGCCATGGAAGAACAAGAAATAGAATATCTACTCTCACCTAGACTACTGTTAGAACTTCCGACCCATGTGGCAGACAGCGTCTTCAGAAGCTTGGCATCACGGCAGTCTGTAATCTTTTCAAAGCAATCAGTGTCAGTAAGAAACAATTACGTAAGGGAAACGATAAGTTGTACAACATTTCAAACAATGCTGATAGCTAAGAAATGAAGAGTTTTGAAAGAGCACAGTTTTCGCAAGTAGCATGGTGAATGTAACACATGTTGACAATTCAAAAGACAATCCTACATGCAAACTTCACGAAGGCAGAACCCGCGACAGACAAAAAACCATCCAAGTGGAATTTCTAGCCTGACATCTTTTCGAACAAGGTAAAATCTGTCACTTTGCGAAAAAAGAATAAGATGCTCCTAAAACTAGCACTTCTCCCTAAATCTTGGACATGCTCCATGGCGTAAACCTGGAAGTACGAATCCCTTTGGAGAATAGTTGATGTGGAAGTGACGAAACAACGACAAACACGAAGAAGAAATCCCAAAACCCATATAGAACTGGTGCGGAGCGTGACTGAGAGTGGACGGCTATCCGCTGTAGACGGTGCAGTACACCACTTGCGATTTGCGCGTGATTTGTAACAGTAGTCCGCGAGGGGCGGGACCTCTCGGCGACCTAATGTCCCCTACCCGTTGTGGTGTATTGCGTATGTCGCGCTCCATTGCCGTGAATGAGCCCGCGAAACCGTAAACTTCAAAACTCAAGAGGTAATGAATCTTCGTTCTCATTGCCCTTTTCTCCTGATTAGTAATATCTTTAACTGGAATTGAACAGGCACTAGTGCATTATGTTCATCCGTCGTTGTACAAGTTAACCTTCATCGTTTGTCTACGAGAATGAATCCTGCTGTTTTATTTGACTTGTAGTAACTTGTGAGATCGTGATCTTTCAATTGAGTGGTCCGCTCAAAAAGACATGGTCTTCAGTTTCAGAGTTCATTCTCAGGTAATGGAGCGACTCAGCAGTGCGATTGACACGCTCGTTGATGATACTTGCAATGGACTGCTCAAACCAAAGCATATTCGGGCTGCGGTTGGTTTTCTGTTGTTTTTAACATTATGTTGTTCATCTTGGCTTCTCAAAATGTAAGCTCCACTTCAAGAAGTAAGGGTTTTCGTCGCATCTTAGCAAGTCTAATGCTGATTTTTAGCAATTTTAGGCTTTTCAGGCAAAAGAATGCGGCTTGAAACTCGACAGAAGCGAAGCGGATGCAGCTGTAACGAGGCTGGTGACACTTTTCCGCACCAAATTTCGTTCAGGCATTGACGAAATAGTCCGCGAATCGAAGGTAACACTTTTGCCAGATTTCCGTTTCCAAGATTAGTTTCATATTTTTTGAATTAAGATAGAGGAGAAATTGGCAAACTTGGAAGTCCTGGCGGCATCTTGCAAAGCGAAATGCGAGGAATTAGGCGTTACGGATGGTTACCGTCCACTTGGGGTAAGCTTCCTTCTTGTATCGCACAGTGTATTCTTAGACGATCCATGAAGAGCAAATATGTGCTTTGCTTTTTTTATAACGTTAAAAAAAGGAGTTGATGTTGAAAAAGCGATATCACTATTTTTGATTGAGAGTATAGATCGCGAACGTGATTTGATCAACTAAGCTTTCCAAGATCCTTCAACCTTTTTAGGTCCTTGCTAGTATTTTAACGAATGATTTGTCTAGCAAATACTTATTTGATAGGTTGAAGAAGATCTGGAAGGCCACATTTACCCTATCGTTAGCGCCTACCAAGAGGCATTGACCAACAAGAATGCTGAGCTTGAGCATGATATAGAGGTTTGTTGATCACACAAACACTACAGCTCTTTTCATAAACATTGTAGAGGACTCGAGATGAATTGAAGCAAGCAAACGGACGAGTGAATTTGCTGGCTAAAAAGGCTGAAGCACTGATGGCCGATAAGTAAGTTTGTTTTCGCGCTATATCCTTTTGTTTACATTGTCGTATGTCAACTTTTTTTCTTCTTCTTCTGCGCTCCACCTTCCACTGTCTCTGTTGCCAAATCGAGAGATATGTCTTTCAACTTGAATCGTTCCAGAATTCAGTTCCACACTTCATTAGAAGAAGAACCTACTAACTTCCTCATTTTTTTTTTGCAAATTATTTATTTGGAACCATTCTCTTTCTTGCAGAAACCAAACGAAATATCAGTTTCAGAGACGAATCGTTGCCATGATCTCTTTGGAAACACATCTTCTTGTCTCGGCGCTTGATATCATTCATTGTGTTGATATCTTGTAAAATACACATCTTGTCGAGATATTTCGCACATGTGTTCTTTTTTTTTTATTGAAGTCAATCATGTTTTTTTACCCCTCTGCTGTACATAAAGATTATTAAATCTCTGATAAGACAGTTCTTTTCTGCAATATTTTTTCAGCAGTCATGGTTTATGCTCGCAGAATTGCTGAAAGTATCAGTTACGTGAAGTACTAATGCTTTGTTACACGCTTGAAACTTTCTGCCCACAATCCGATCAGCCAAGCATCTAGTCTTTCATACTTTGAGATTTGGTGCACAATCCATTGGTCTGTATTTTTTTTGACGCGTGTCATCCATCCATTACGGTCTTAAACAATTCTTTCGAAACATTTCTTGCTTCTCGAGGTAGCTTCCGCAAATGTTTGCATTGCATAAATACAAATACTCAACTTGGGATAAAAGTTCACAACGTATTCGGTTGAACCACAATCCCCAATGAAGATCTTGACGCGAAGACCTAACGTAGAAGTTGCTTCGTATTTTCGAACTCATGCAATGTCAATCATTTTTCTCTACGATTCTCAGGCCTTGCCTGAAACAGTGCGCCCTGGGCATTCTACTGTCCATAATTCGTTTCCTTCTCACTTGTATCGTTCTGCTGCCAGCAATTAGATCGCCTGTTTCACAGATGCATTTTTATCCTTGTGTCATGATTTAACGCAGCAGATCAAATGCAGCAAATACTCCTCATTTTCCCTTTTTCGACAAATAGATCCTTTCTCTAATTCGTTACTACCAAGACTGCACAGCAATGACATTTGATTGCAATCTGTTCGTCATAATACTCACGTGAGTGATTTCTGCTACGGCGCGCGCACTTCGACAATCATCCGGATAGGCTTTTGGATTCCGCGACTCATCCCGCTATTCACTGTCTGCAAGTTTGGATTGAACAAGGATCGCACAAGTAATCCGATGACAAACCGGTGAAGACCACCATCAGAGGATATCAGGGTTTGGCGTGTACTTCTGAATGCAGCGCAGCACTGGAATTTTCAACGAATGTCGCAATAATTTAGCCAAGTAATTGGTTGATTGCAAACCACTTACCTTGAGATGGCAAAGATAAATTTGCTCATTAATAAACTTGGTTTTTTGACCTCAAAAACAGTCCCCCAAAACGTTTGAAAAGCTATCACTAATGTCTCAAGGCCCCCCAAATCACTTATTACCGATCTTTCAAATTTGGCCTTCCCTTTATCCATGCTGTTGATTTTTGGCCGCTTTCGTGAAGTGCCTTGTCCATTGCTCAAATGCCTTCAGAAGAGCTTTTCTGTTTTCGACCACAAAGAAGGCCACATCTTAAAAATGACGTAATTACAATGGAATTTTATCTTTTCGAACACAATTCTGATCCATTCTTACGGGCATGATGAGGATTCGGCAGTTAACTCCGCCAAACTCTTACATTGATCTGAACTTCGACAGAAGTGTTTCGTGTTTTATTTCGAATTTCCTGAGACTGGTGGAGATAGTCAACTTGAAGGAGAGCAAATTTGACTGTTGCTTTTTCCATAAGCTTTTTGATGACAGAAGATAGTGCAAGACTGCGAGATTATTTAGGAGAAATGCAGATAATTAGGCCCGCCAAAACTACAGAAAAACTCTTTCTTTTCCTCTTTGGGTATAATTTAGTAATCATGTTGAGGTGAAGCGTACACATTCACAATCAGTAGAGTGTAAAGTGAGAAATCAGACTTTTAAGTGATCGGAAGGAATAACTCGGAGGAATAACACCTTCTCGACTGAGAAATCAAGGCAGATTTCTCTTCCATTTAAAGAATCTCAAATGGTTACCGGATAAAATACCACATAGAGGTCATTTCTGAAACCGTGACGATGGTTTTGACTGCGCAAATTTACAGGCACTCCATCTTCTAGATTTTTCTTTTTTGTGTGAAGTAATCCAGAACGATGGAATCGAACAAAAGCGAGTGTCGGTGATTTTGTGATTAGGCTATTACCTGACAATAGCTTGACAATGTAGTTCATATTCCATGTGACTTCGTAGAACGCGTATACTTGTACTTACTTAGATACTTAGATGACCCGTGTTCACGTGGCGTGCGGGCCCCAGCACAAGAGCTTCCATTTTTCCGTGTCCCTCGCTTCAGACATCCACGATCTTCTTGGTTGCCGTCGATGGCTGCGTCCACGAGTTCCAGGTGCGATAATCGTATCCAGCTGATTTCTCGCTGGTCCATCCGTTCCTCGGACAAGTCTGCCCATCTCGTTGGTGGTTTTCCTCGGGGACGTTTGGCTTCGCGAGGAATCCACTCAGATGTTCTTAATGTCCACCTGTCGTCTGTTCTTCTCATGATGTTCTTCTACGTTGTAGCAGAAATAAACGGCCTATCGTTGTTTCGCTTTCACAACGTATTCCGCTGGGTCACGAAGACATTATTCTTATATCTGTACTGCGAAGTCCGACTAGATGTTGCTTGTGTCGAGAACGCAGTATAACATCGTACAATGCTACCAACACTTTATAGATTTAAAAAAATCTAGCATAGCCGAATCTTTGTTCCAAATCAGGCTCAGGCCAACGATTGTAGAGGACCCTGTAGTCATAATTTTTTTAACAAACGCTCAACTGTTTTATGCACATATTCAGTGCAGAAGTATGGATAAGATCGTGACGTTATGATCATATTACATTCAGATATGCAGACTGCACTCATGACGGAGGCCTACGATGTAGCAGAAATCAACGTACACCATTGTTGTACAATTTTTCTCTACTTTTCAACACTTTGTTCTGCAAAATTTGACATTGGTAAATGTTGTCTAGCAAATAATAGAAGGTTCTAATTTGGCTTATCAAACAGTGAACGCTGCTTGTTCACATCGTGAAAAGACGCCAAAAAAAGAAGTACTGAAGGTTTGAAAAATTCCAAGAATCGTATGTGAGGAAACGATACGATGTTTATGCTAAAGCCAAGGCTACCACAGTCAGTAAATGTGAATAAAATAGCTTTCGAGCTATGAAGCTAGCCATTAGTAGTCTCATTCTGTTCTGGAAGGCAAAAAAGAAAGCAAAATGCATAACATTACCAGTAATCCATAAGGTTTGTCAGTCAGTCCTCACAAATTAAAATGCACTTTGTAAATATCCAAAAAACATTTTGTATTTTAACTTTTTGTCATGTGTGGTAAAAGTTCTATTTTATAGTACATGTCAGCGATTAGTCAGGCGATTTTATTTATAAAAAAGTATCGAGTAAAAAACCCGAAAAAAATTTTTTTAAACATTCGATCAATATGATTAGTTTAATGAAAAGAGAAATTGGAGAACCATTACCAAAACTAAACCTAGATTCCATCGGGCATTTTAGCATTTTTTGCTTCCGGTGCAAGACTTATAGACAAATATAATGAATAGGTAGCCCTACAGGATGGATAAGGGATCAACTTAGTGACTGAAAACTCTTAATGGTTTAAAAAATTAGTATTTTCTCTTTTTCTGTAAGGTATGGAGTAGCAAGAATAACTTTAAATGATAATTTTTTTCGCGAAACATTATAATTCTGATAAAAAAATACGTAGCACAAAGTAAACAGTTACTAATATTCGAATGGATAGAAGACAAATTCAGACGTGCTGCTGCAGCCACGCCACAGAAAAAATCATTGTATAAGGTTATTTTCAAGTTTCAAATGAATAAATTCAAGTAAAAATAATTACAAGTAAAAACAAATCGCTTTCACAATCATACCACTCATACAGGGTGTCCCAAAAAATGATCGAACGTTTGATCTTCAATAACTTCTCATATGGGGAGCTTTCGCGGATCCTTGAGTGTTATACGGTAGAGCTGGGTTCAACTTAGATTTATAGTATAGAGCGAATCATCGATTTCTCTTAATTACTGTAGGATTACGGTAGGAGTTTTCGACTAATTTTAAGCTTTTGACAGGCGAGAACTGCTTCTAAAAAATTCCAAAAAGACCGAAGGACGTTAAACTGATCGTGAGGTTTTTGGGGGTGCTTCTAATCACAAAGTTTTCCGCTACGGTACTCCTCGTCTTCCTACGATATGCGCACTGTAACGCTAATTTTTTGGCTTTTTGTAACGTGTTCGTAACTGCAACGTTGATTTAGTAAATTTCGGAAAAAAAACCAAAAACTCAGCGTTACAGCGCGCATACCGAAGGAAGATGGGTAGTACGGTAATGGAAAACTTTGTAATTAGATTGAGCACCCCCCAAAAACCTCAGTTTAACGTCCTTCGGGTTTTTTTTGGAATTTTTCAGAAGCAGTTCTCGCCTGTCAGAAGCTCAAAATTAGTCGAAAATTCCTACAGTAATCCTACAGTAATTGAGAGAAATCGGTGGTTTGCTCTATACTTTAAATCTAAGTTAAACCCAGCTCTGCCGTATAACAACCAAAGATCCGCGAAAACTTTCCATATAGGGAAGTTATTGAAGATCAAACGTTCGATACATTTTTTTGGGACACTCTGTATAAGTAATATCAAAGAATTTCGCGACCCCTACTCAAAGATGAAGGGCGTCTTTCCTCTCGTTCCGCCTGCGGTGCTGCTTCTTCCTCGTCTTCTTCCTCTCCGACGGCTTTCGCTCAGCGTCGTCGGCTATTTTTTCCGCGCTTCGTCATCAAAGTGGTGGTTTCTTGCAGAGTTTCGTTGAGTCCACTTGTCCTTGCGTACTACTAGTTCAACTGAAGGCTTTCCGTAGCAAAAACGTTACGCGCGGATCGTGTGCGTACGGCGGTTGCGCGCCAGTGGCGGCGAACCGGCTGACCGCTGCTCGGCTATAAATACGGTCGACAGCCGAGCACTCGGACATAACACGGCTACCGTAGTCAGCATGTTCGACTCCAGCTGCTATGTTGCTATACTCGTAGCTGCGCTTACTCCTGTTACTAATACGGTTTGTTATTCTATCTTATTGGGAATGATACAAAAAATCGCAGATAGTGTAATCAAAAAACCATATAGGGAACTATAGCACTCTATTTCTCTGGAGTTTCTATGATGTCAGCTGCACCTCTTTTTTTCTTGCTGCAACGCCAGAAGAAACGAAGTGGAAGAAACTGTGCAGCCTTTTGAAATCTTTGAAACAAAATACAACTGACTTTCCATATTTCCTAAATGATTATGATCTTATATACTCAGCCCCTTACTTCCCTTGATTATTTCAAAATCAACTTTTCTCATTCTTATTTTTATTTTTAAACATAACTTGTCTCATCTTGCAAGCTATCACTTTAGTCAAATTCCTCAATGAAGAGTTGTTTCCGCTATATCCAAAGTTACGAGAATTCAGAGTTTTATGAAGTTGGATTTTTACTTTTTTGATGTAATTCTGCGTTCAAACAAACTTTTGCATAGTTTACATCCATTCAGCAGCCAAAGAATCAACAGTACTCGAGATTTGAAATTGGGGGAAAGTATTTGCTTAAAGAGTTGAGGCCATTTGAATGTCACAAATTTGCTTTTTTTTTGCTCCAAAGCGCGAATTGGGAAAGGAGGTCGGGCGAGAGAGAAAAGAACCATCCAGCTGTCCAAAATGGAGGGAAAATGCATCATTGCCAAGAAATTCGGCGTTTTAGCGCTGAAATCACCTACTTAATTCTCACGGCATATCAACAATTCATAATCCGTTTTATTTTGTGGCAATACCTCTATCGAATGAAACTCTTATCCATTTCAGTGCTTTGCTAGCGGTGTTTGTGGTGGTCCCATGTTTGGTGGATTCGGTGGCGGATGTATGGGTGCAATACCTCCAGTACCACCACCGGTATGTGCTGGAGGTATGGGTGAGTTCCATTTTTGCAAATTTTTTCCGAGTGAAAAATGCTGATGGAATTTCAATTTATCCTGTCATTTCTTTAAAATAGCGATTTTGAGAAATTTTGGAACTTTTATCTTTACCTCCTCTTTGCTGGTCTTTCTCCCATACACTAACCTGGTTCTAGGATGTGGTCCGGGCTATGCATGCGGTTCATATGGCTGCTACCGTACCCGAGCTCGAGTACATGGAGCTGGCACCATGCGAGGAGGACCAATGCTAATAGGAGCCAGCCGATTCTCACAATTTCGACGAGCGGAAGTTCCGATGCCTAAGGTACATTTTGTACCCTTATCTAAACCTAGTTTTCGAAAAACTGGTAGTTTGATGTAATGACGCTGAAGATCGCAAAACTTTAACTGCAGCTATGGAAAAGCTCTCAAGAATTATTGGTGATGAAACTGAAAAATCAAACAAAGTACATTTCTTGACAACTAGAAAAATTAATAGAAACAGTATTGGACGTACTATAAATTGGTATAAATCTGCTGGGTTGCGGAAAAACATAAACTATTACAGTCTATTATCGCTTATGCGTTTATCCCAAAACCCATAGTAACCTAAAAATTCTCGTTGTTCTGGTTTCCTCTCGGATTGATGCACGCGACAATGATACGCGTGAGCGCTACACGCTCGATCCCTCGTGTTATTTTTGACAATAGCGCGCTCAACCAAAACCTCGTTATAAAGCGTGTTTTCGTGCCAAAGACTAAGAAAAACGGTCACTGCAAGTTACAAGTGCAGAAAAGTGTTATTATAAGGGTTATGAGTCAGAAAGCATCAAAATCTGTTCGATACGCGAGGGGTAGCTACGGGGTAGGAAGGAAGAACTTTTAGATTGGAACAAAAGTTTTACCAAAGCGATTCGCTCCCCAAATCGTCATAAATTTTGAACGGATAAATTAGTGTTTAACTCACTTCAAACAACTTGGACGAAAAAATATCTGGTCTTGTCATGTGGAATTGTGTAGAATCTGGTATAAATTAATTTAATTTTCCGTAAACAGCGAAACTTTATGGCTTATCAATTAGGAGCGAATCTTACTCGTTAGGCTCAAAAGGTTACATTCCAAAGAAGGAGGAATAGTGATGGTTGAGGGAATAAAATCAAATTTCTATGCTTTTTTTTTCAAAGCTACTCTTCTTCATCTGCCACCCCCCTCCCCAGTCATAGCAGATTACTTGCAGCTTGATTGTGTTCTCATGAAGTCCCGAACAATTTGTAGATGAAGTATAGAGGGTAACATTCGACGTTATCCAAGCATGTTTTTACTAAAGAAAATGAAATTAATGAGCATTTAAAGTTTGAATTCATTTAAGTTTAGATATCTCAAGAGCTTTCTACATTTTTTGTTGCTCATTCATACCCCAGTTAGAGTCTCTATGTATAGACTTGCGCTTCTCTTTGAAATAAGATCGGATTACTGTTTTGTATATTTTTTCACTGAAGCGCATTTCTTTCATTTTCCTAGTATAATTAATCTTTTTCAGAACATACGTAGCAAAAATTTAATGGCAAAGGCCAGCGTATATCGAGCCTGCCAGTTTGTCAAACGATTTCATTCTTCGTCAAATTTAGATACATATATTACATGAAAATTGTCGTATTTCTTTGTTGGACATCAAAAGAACTGCTAGCTTCTTATAGCGTTTAGAATTTTGCAAGAAAATAACTAAACAAACTATTGAATAAACGTAATTTAAATTTCCAAACAGTTTTGACCATTCTTTTCACTTTCTTGTATCATATGCTGTCAGAATACATCGCTTTCGCAACCGACACGAGAAGGCTAGTTGTTTCCGAGATGGCTATTCTTTGTAAACTCCTTTCCTACATCATCTTACTTTCTACATTTGTCAACCTTCACGAAACTCGTTTCTACAGTTTCCAGAAGGGATTATCCTTAGTTCAACGTCCTTGGTAGTCGACGACGGCATTATCGGGGCCGTCCGTAAGAGCATCCGGCTAGTCAACGAGCCGAATCGCTTCTCACTATGTTTGTATACGATTTCAATTTCGAAACCGCATCCGCGCGCGGATGACCGTAGACGGCGGACGCGCGGACGAGACGAGCCGGTTCGCCGCTCGCCTTCGACCATCATTGGCATGGTCCGGATGGATTACAGCTGAGCTTTAGCTGGCTGTCGTCGGTCCGCTACAGCGGATCAGCTGCTCGCGATCACCACGAGGGCAATGGGATTCCGTTGACCGGTACTCCGAACGGGAACCTGCTTGTGCGGCCATTTTGTGTGGTCTTTTTTGTTGGATAACTGCTCAACAACAAAACATAATAGAAATGATGGGAAACATGATAGAAATCATGGTAAAAAATACAATGAAAATTATGTGCACATGGGGCTAGGGTCATTTTCATCGTTAAGTTCAACCAAGCTTTTCTTCATCTGAAAAGAATATATGGGTAACTAGTTTTGTTACGGAAAGATGGAAACGATTCCAGTCGGGTTGCAGACATCTAAGAAAATATTTCTGAGCTAGTTTTGAACTTGGGTAGCGCTTGGAAAATTTTGAATTAACTTGAATGTCTACATTTGTTCTACAAGCAAAACTTAACTCACAATCAGAGCATCCAAACAGATTTATGAAATGTAAAACGCTTTTGACGAAAGAAATCACCTTGGTATTGGTAGGCGATTTGAAAGCGAGTGCAATACTTTGTCTACAAAAAAAACTTTATAAGGTATATGCAATGATATTCGCGTACAGTAATAAATAGCTAAAATTGTATACAGGTAAAAAGTTACCTGAATACTTTGATAAAATTAAGTTGTGGAAAAAATTTTGCTCCAGCTTTGCAAAACTCGATTTATATATGCACTTTCAGGATCCAAATGCCCTCTTTATGTCCTGCTGTGAAGAACGAGGTCTACCAGATGCATGCTTGCGTCACTGTACTTTCAACACTTACACTAAAGATGCTGTAGGATCTCAATAATTTCTAAGTGATCTTCTGGAAGATAAAATGTACCTTCCAGCTGACCCGAATGTTCTTCAAGCAAGACGCTTGTCCCGTAGAAGCTTCAGCAGAAATTCAGTTCTGCGCAGCACAGGGACGAGATCATCGCGCTTGTTGTCAGCGAAATGGTGTTTCAACAACTTTGGCAGGAATGAAGGTATTCCTCGAATCACAGCTTGAAAACTTGAAATTTGCGTTTTTTTTATTTAAACATATAATCGGCAAAGGTTCACTCATTATTATTAGGCTTATCCAATAGTCAACGTCCAAATTTCTGAGAAACCCACATTAAAAATATGTTATTTTATTTGATATAATAATTCAGTGATGACGAATTGAAAAATATTTTAAGAAACCAAGAAAGCTTATCGTCATTCGTAATTTTGTGAATTAAAAAAATTTTGAAATCAAAGAGAAACCATAGCAGCATATGGGACTCGATTGCAGTCATTTTTTGAACAAATAGATCATGGAACCTCGCAAGCATTTGCTTTTTTTGTAACAAAATATAGATAGTAAAATCTATATCTCTAATAATGCTTTTAATAAACAGTTCTGACAAGATTAAATCAAAAAATGCGATTGAAGTGTTTCTCTCTATCAAATTGTCGCCACAATATGCCATAATTTTGGGTTTTCGATTTCCAAAACATATTGAAACAGAGGAATTGAAAAACTTGCATGATTTCAAGAAATTCTGGTGCAAAACTCCACCTGTTATTACAAGTGAAAGTCTACCAAACCTCTATTTAGTGCCTAACATTCTGCGACCAACGGCCTGGAAACGTCACAATGCTCGACATGTCCTATTTGCCATGCTATGACCGATTTGAGAATATGAAGGCATGCTTCTGGCATGACAGTACTCGTCGACTCAAATAATCGTCATTTGTCATGTCAATACCGTGAACACACAACACCTCATATCATAAGCGCACTCACTCAAGCCCAGGGCTCATGTTCACATTTCTTTCACTCACATTATATGTCTGTAAAAATCCGTTATACTTTTCTTGAACACTTTTGTTGTTTTATTCGCAATAGTGCTTCTGTGTGTGTATGAGTGACAAGATAAAGTATGAGAAAAAGAAAAGATTTACTGTACGATATGTTATTCACATTTCGAAACCCGGCAATAAAGAGAAATGATGCAGTTTCTTTTCTAGAGCTGACTTCAACAAAAAGTATCACAAACAAAAGAAGGAAATGACAGAACAGTACAACAATCTAGAAAAACCGAATTCTACAACATCTATTAGGGTGAACGGTAAAAAATGGGACACCTTGAGAATAATTGCAGATTTCTCAAGGAAGAAAAGTGACTGAACTTTCCAATTTTGATGGATATTAGAATAAATTATTCTCTTTCAGATAGCACCCATATAAGGTCATTTATATGATTGATAATTTTTATACTTGCCAAAATGCAAAGTTAGTTACTTCGAGAAATTTTGAAGTTTGAGCAGTATCGGCGCAGTGAAACATGTGAGACCACCCAAAGTACCACTGCTGGAGAGGGTGGTGGGACAGTCACCAAACTCACGACGGCTTGGTGGCTTTAACTCTTAATGTCAGGAGATATGCCCATTAACAGCTTCGGGAACAAAGATACGCGTTATTCAATTCTTTGCAGGTAAACACATGATTTCTAGATATCATCTGATAGAGCTTTTTACGCTCTATCCATACATATGCAGCATACCTCAGATTTTATCTATCTTCGAAAAATATAGGGCAAAACATGATTTTTTGGTTTTTTGTTGCACTAAAAATGGCTACTTTTCAGGTTTTTTCGATTTTTTTTTCTGGAATTGAAAAGAAATCTCAGCATTTAACATACCGTTCGAAAGAGCATGAAAAGCTCTTTCGAATGGTATGTCACTTGCTTCACGACTTTACGGTATAACAGCGCAAGATTGAGGATTGTTCAAAAAACCCTGTTCGAGTTCTTCACGGCGCCACGTGTAGGGTAGTGGAAGAGGAGCGTTAACGCGTTGTCAGAATAATAAGCGAAGGTCGCCCATGTAAGCGACGTTTAAGTTGCCGCTTACTTGCTGTTGCCCGAAACAAAAAATTCCAAAATGTAATGAAAATCAGGCTGTCCCATTTTTTACCGTTCACCCTAATACATAAAAACCACACTGCACTGCAGTTAAACACTAAATTTTAAACGATAAAATCTTCTTGGTAGGTCCATTTTTTCCAAGAGGGAACGAGAACGATGCACGCACGCGCTGCCCGAGATTTTATTAACACAGGCTGGCAGGTGTGACGATTAAGTGCACATGCGGGGCCGACGTTTGCCGACAACATTTGCGCGTTAAAAAATCGCTACGATAGTGCTGCGGATAATTCGTGCGCAAAATACCCGCAAAGTGCGCATTTTTCAGTTCTGCGTCCTTTGTTTCTTCAGTGCAATTGTTTTTAGCAAGTGTCGGCACACACTATAATCAGATACTAGCACACTTATTCATCCTTTCCTACAAAAAATAGTATACTCACCGAATATTTAGAAGATAATAGGGGTATTGGCACTCATCACAGTATTTTATTCACGGCCAAAGTAAACAAAACACAGCAGGACCACACTGGAAAGAGTGATTCATGTTTTCCCGAGGTCCCAAAGACGCTCCACATCCAAGCGCTCTATATCGCCCATTTTTTTCTAGTTTGCACATTCATATGAAGCTTATATCACTGATGAGCCACACAGTTTGGATCGCTCTCTTCGGATTTGCACAATACTGCCACGTATACTCCTCGGTTCCTTCGGAGAGAGTAGAAATTTTGGAGGCAATAAGCAAACAGACAGTACGGATTTGTGGACGTCGAAAAATATGATATTCCGCGAATGTTTCCACTATGTTCCGCTGGGAAATCCTAATTTCGAAGGGTCTCCTTTTACGAAGTGGTGGAAGACGCCGAGAATCATGATCTCGCTTTATCGACGTAATGGAAGTCGGCAGATTGTGCGTTCGGCCTTCGGCTGCGGAGGGGTCCTTTCCATTACTGTAGCTCCTGTTTAGAGGAGAACGACGGCTCATCCTCATTTTCACATCGTCCTTAATTTGATATGCACTAAAGCACCTCGAGTTAAGGACGATCTGATAGCAAGTAAAAGCAATATCGAGAACACTGTATCCAACGGCGCGGGAAAGCCGAAACGCTCAAAAAATTCGCGTTTTCTGTCACTCTGTTTAGATATATCGGTACTACCCGCCCTATCTGGAAGGGACGGCTGTCCTTGGTTTTTTTTTTTGCGGAGAACCATCCACAGCAGCTTGAAATCAATTTTTTTCGGCAAATTGGTAGATGAGATCGTTTCAGATGGGCTTTTTTCATACATAGTTACATGCCGTCTACTTTTCGAGAAAGTTCGAAATTCTCCGAAAGATTCCGCGTAAGTGCAGTAATACTTTATTTTCGTGCAGTCACAAAAGCTCCGCAAGTTTGGAGTGAAACTTGAGCTATACGCAGAATCCATTTAGGTTAGTGGAACTAATGCGAGGGATCTGAGTTGCCCTCGTTGTAAACTGTGACGCGATTCCTGTCGTACTGATCTTCTGCGGCTCCCATTGATATCTCTGAATCTCCTCAACTTCCCCTCTTGTGATTCCGTAGCCGTTCGCCTTCGTTTGGCAGTGGGCAGATTCCTGCATGGTGATCATAGGCGGTAGTACGGCTGATGTTCTTACAATAGAAGCATAACGTGGGCTTCAAGCATGCGTTCACGTGGCGATCTAGACAGCGATGGCAACATCCTTCACTGTCCTAAAGGGCTACTCGGGTTTGTGATTGAGCCTCCCGCGTCACCTAGTCGTTGTGCTAGGCAAAAATCTTCTGCAACCCTGCCTATTTTCCAAGCTTTTCCTGATAGTTGGCAAGAAGTTCCTCGTAGCGCTGACATTCGTCGTGGTCCATTGTTCAAAGCGTCTCCGTTTTCGGCCTTCTGTGTGATCATGTCCTCTTTGATCGCTGAGGCTGCCCTCCGGCTTCTACTGCTAGCCGTGGACGGAAAGCGTCTGTGTTCCTTCCGGCGTCGATCTTCCTCCCTGCGGTGTCTATGTCTCGCTTTCGAAGTTTCATCCGTCAGCTGACTCAAGAGCTTTGTGTATTCTCTGCCTCTTCGGTCCGCCCTTCCTTGAACTGAACTCCGAGTCCCAGAGCTGCTCTAGGCAAGAGATGTTCTGATGTACATATCCGAGCAAGTGTTGGATTCCTTTTTATGCCTTTTATACACTTCTTTCGCTCCGTCGCTATTTGCCTTGCCGCATGGTTGTACGCCTCCTCGATCCTTTTCCGAGTTTGGTGGCAGACCTCGCGTTGAAGCTGTGAGTTCGCTTCCTCGAGTTCCCTAAGGATCTACCGTTTGGTTCGGTGCCTTCCCACTCCCGTGTTTTCTTCTGTGAGGGTTTGTTGAACACTGCATGGTCCGCTTTCCGCCCCTGCTCTGTTAGTTCCTGTTTCTTCCCATCGTTGAGTTCTTCCTTCTCGTCATGCGTAAGCGTCTCGTATCCTGTGGATAAATTATCCGTCCCAAGTCACTCTTTATGTAATGAGTGACGTTCTGACAGTCGATAGCCTCTCTCTGCCTGTGGGTGTTCGACTTCGTCTGGCCATGGGCAGATTCCTGCACGATGATCATAGGCGGTAGTACGGCCGATGTTCTTACAATAGAAGCATAACGTGGGCTTCTAGCATGTGTTCAAGTGGCGTTGTATACTGCGATGGCAACGTCCTTATTGTCCAAAAAGGCTACTAGTTTGTGCCGAGAAGACGTGACGACACTAAAAGCCAGCCCTAGATTGGCGAAAGCAAAACATAGCCGACTTGCGCATGCTTTTGCAGAGATATAGTTACGGCATCAGCAGAGGGAAGTTGAGAGGAATGTTCAGAGATATCAATGGGAGCTGCAAAAGATCAATACGACAAGGATCGCGTTACAGTTCACAGCGAAGACAACTCAGCCTCACAAACTATCATTTCTACTAATCTATGTGGATTCTGCGTACACCTTAAATTTCACTCCATATAGAATCTCATGGCTTCACAAAAATAGAGCATTTCGTACATTATTCGAAATCTTTTGGAAAATCTCGAACGATCTCGAAAAGTAGACAATGCATGTAACTCAATGCATGAAAAAAATCTTGACTGTTCATCAAGATTCAAAATGCCCAACATAAAAGCTTGAGCTTTCCTATTAACGGGCTTAGCTGCGCATTCAATGGCGCTTATGCGATGAATTGAGGGTGACTGAATTTTCGCAACTTAAGAAATTGAAAAGGCATAGCGAGCTTACACCTTTCCCGTTCTTTACTCTATCCTATGAATTTGCAACAAGAATTGTCGTGAACAAATCCAGCAAATATCACTGAGCAATAGAAAAATCAGTATATCTAAACGAAATACCCATTCACATCACAAATACTTGTGCAATATCATCGTGATCATAAATCTTTTTTGCAAATGAATCCACTATCCGTATTCCGGATATCGACTGAAAGGGAAAGAAGTTGACACATATGATACCATCTCATAACAAGCAAAATCAGTACCTGAAAGCCTATAGCAATAGGTATCATCTCTACACTAAACGCTACGTTGCCATTAGGTGGGAGCTGCCCTAATGAGATGCCACTGATTGAGCACAGAATAAGCGACTGCGATACATTTTGTAGCTCCAGCCGTAGATCCAATGATCTTTCACTGCAAAGCAGTCACGTTCTTGAGCCAATTCTAAAATGATGAAGAACCCACCAACAATTATAAAGTCTGCAATCAACACTGAATGGTTTCCGAACAGGGACTGTAGCTGGTAAATTTTCCACGGTCAATCGGACATCACCGTGGGTAGGCGCCTATTGGTTACCATAGATGTCGTACTAATAACCTACGAATGAGCGAGTAGAAAACTCACAATCCTTTGCAAGGGACTCGTCTGCAACCGCCCACGTTCCCCCATATGCGTGCGCCACGACATATCCAGTTTACCAATGTTTGTCATATCTTTGTACCTGTAGAAAAAAAATGAAACGAAGCCTTATTCGCATACTGCTAGGTAGTGAGTTCGCTCGCTTTTCAACATTCTGAGAAATGTCTTGTCGAGACGCAGACTAATTAGATGGTCCGACAGTCCCCACGCCAACTGGGCGGTGCCCAGCAACTCCAGATGAGCTGTGCCTAACCGGGTGACCGGCGGCTTCCCTTCCCCTTTCTTTACGCTTATAAAGATATAATAAACATTCTAGTCATAATGTCGTGTTCATATAAAGTAAAACAATCAGGGTGAAGGATTCAGGTCAGGAGAGTGCACCTCCTGGACTTGACATGGAGGTCCCGGGTTGTTTTCTTTTTGTGACTTACGTCTGACTAAATTATTTTTAAATTTTTTTTGTCTGCTAAACCATTCATTTTTTTGGAACAAATGAAGCATGGATTTTGGCCAAATCTTTGCATACTCCTACCGCCGGCACCAGCACTCATCTCCTACGTATCTCCGTAGTTTTTTTTTTAGAAAATCATCCTTTTTTTTAAATCATTTTTTGAGTCAGGCGATGAGTCTGAGTTTTGTATTACTTGCTATTCTTAGCATAAAACAATATTTTCTATTTTATTTTCTACCTAACGATATTTTATCTTTTTTTTCTCTTCCTTATTTCCGCGAGCCGTGATCCCCCGAGCCGTGAAAAGCGAACCGTGAATTTTCGACGCACTCTCTCTAGATCGAGTTTTTAACTCTCTAGATTGAGATTCCGCGAGCCGTGAATTCCGCGAGCCGTGATTTCCTAGAGCCGTGATATCCCGGAGCCGTGATTCCGCGAGCCGTGAACAATTGTTTTTTTTTCTTTTTTTTTCATCCTATCGATTTTTATCCGTCTTTATTCCACTGGGAACCCCATATTTTCTTTACCAACGCGTAACAATCTCAGTGACTCTATCGCCACCGCCGGCACTGTATATATGTACATATAAGGTTATGCAAGTGGAAAACGCACTGTGAACCCATTTTTTTCCATAACTCTCACTAGTGGAAAGACCACTGTGAGATCACTTTTGACCTTCATAATTCTCACTAGTGGAAAGACCACTGTGAGAATACTTTTTATGACTTCACTAGTGGAAAGACCACTGTGAATGTATTTTTTCCCGCTCACTAGTGGAAAGACCACTGTGAGATCACTTTTGACCTTCATAATTCCCACTAGTGGAAAGACCACTGTGAGAATACTTTTTATGACTTCACTAGTGGAAAGACCACTGTGAATGTATTTTTTCCCGCTCACTAGTGGAAAGACCACTGTGAGCCCATTTTTTTTCAATTTCTCACTAGTGGAAAGACCACTGTGTGCCTTACCAAATTCAAAATTAAGTTCTCACTAGTAGAAAAACTACTGTGAGTCCAATTTTGCTTAGGGAGAGTTTCATAATTAGTTATTATGATTGCCTGAGGAAAATCGACGGGCTATCTGATAGCTCGCGGTTACTTCCAAAGGCTACACTCCCAGTCCCCTAATTTTAATGGCTAATCACTCAACAACGAGTGACATTTAGCCGCCAGAAGTAGGCACATGCAGCGGCAGTGCCCTTTGAACCTCGTATCCCATCGACGAATGTCTGGGCCAGAGGTATGCGGCAATTGTTTGTTGCTGATTAGCCACTTATGGACTTCTGGGCTGGATGGCACCTCAGAATCGAGTACGGTGGAAAGCAGGTATTCGTCCCAAGGACTCCTCGAATGATTTTCTCTACGGAAGACCGAGAGAAATCAGGAACAACTTTCCAACAGCCCTACTCAAGTGATTGTCCAAGAGAGGTATGCTTTATCTAGCCCTTACTTATGATTTTTTTTCTTTTTGCACATACCTGTTTCAAAAAAAGATGGATTAAAAAGCCAAGGTAAGTCATCGATGCCTGAGTCTTTGAGAAATTGTGGAAGCCAACCACTACCTCAAATTGACATATCAGCATGACATAAGCCTGGTTTCAAAAGAATCTCATAAGTACTTACGATGAATAGCTAAATTCGCTAATTCGTGAATTCGTTTGATTGGTCTGCCAAGAGAATTGAGGCAAACCTACCAAAAATGAGTCTTTATTTCCAAAAAAAATTGGTATTTTCAGAGGGTACCAAGAGTTTTGATGAGTTCTCGAAATTGAGACTACATGAAACTCTTATTTATTGAAACATGTTTTGATGAATGGTTGCTTGATATACTTACAACCTCCAAAAAAAAGTTGTGCTGTTTTTTCAAAAAAAAATTTAAAAAAAAAGGTTTTCTCGAAGAAACATTTATCTGCAACTGCGAAGTAGTTTCAAAAAAAAATGCCACGATTCTCAAAAGATTAGCTTTTGCATTCTCGCCAAGCACTTTCCTATTGCTCCTCCTAAGAAAATTTATTCATTCAAAAAAAAGCAATTGTTTTATTTTCAACCACTTTTCAACCAGTTTTCAAACATTTCGACTTCTCACTTATTTTTGTTCTCTTTCTCAATACATGAGGATGACAATTTGCTCTGAACTGTTTCTTAGCAATGTTCAAATACTCTTTCTTTGCTTCGGAAAAAAAACCAACATTTGATGGTATGAGTAGATAAGTCTGATTTGATTTTTGATTTTGTAAAAGCATATACTGCACTAAGTCGAAGTTCAAGCATTATCTTAATCCCATTATCTTAGCAATAGTTCAGTTTAGGTCAAATTCAAAAATAAGAATCATTCATTCCTAACACCGTAAAAGTATAATAGAAGTTGAGATAGTTGATGAAACACTGTAATCTCCTGGAACGGAATAGAACTCGTTATCCACTCGTTATTTAAAAAAAAAAAGAAAATCTCAATTCAACTATATTTTAGTCCCCGGCACGGTTTCCAAAAATGGATGTACTACAGTAATGTCCATTAATAAAAATAAAAGTTGAGCTCTCAACATCCTTTTCCATAAGTTTCACATCCCAAAGTCAAAAAAATTGTGTTTGTGTTCTAAATCTTCCTTTATTTGACATGGAAGCAGCATTACAACTCTGAAACGTAAACATTTTTTAGGCATAAACCGTTAGCATTTCGGCCGAATTCAGATGTTCAGAGCTCTGATAAAAAAAAGGCTGGAATGATTCTGTAGTTGGGGGTGTGAAATGTGAGTGATGTTAGTAGCAAGATTCTCGTAAAAATACACGCAGCAGAGTCATAGAAGAAACTTTTTGTTAAAAAAAAAATCATCTTTGTATAACTTGCTCGTGCTGCGTATTGCAGTTAGTCTATATCCCTGAAACTATAGCTTTTTAACGATAAGAGCGGCAGCTCGTACTTCGATCATCTCAAACTCGTTTAGCCGCTATTCAAACAAGCCGCCTTCCGCTTATGCTTTGAGTTTTTTTTTTAAATTTGATTTGTACATCCCGTGCAGCAGTAGGTATATTCAGTCTAACTTGAAATAAGGCTTTACATCGCGTACATTAGCGACAGTCTACTCTCCAAGTTGATAGTAGTAATTGATAGTGGTCGCATTATAAGTTTGCCTCGAGGTTATTTGTGGTTTATAATATCGTCAAATCTCCCATCATCACTAGTACACTTTTCTCAAAACATTACCTTTGTCCTTTCGAGTTTTTGAGAAAATTCATGGCCTTACCTTTTGTGAAAAAAAAAACATTTTAATTCCTTCATCACAATAAGCTCGAAAAAAAACTATACAATACAGTAACGCAAAATACTTTGTAATCGATTCTCATTCCAAGTAAGAAAAGTTGGACTGAGCAAATTAATGTCGCAAGAAGTCAAATTATGGTACCAGCTGAGGTACAGATGTCTTTGATCGTTCAAAGACAGTCTGAGGATAAGTAATACAAAATTCATGAGGTACAAGATGCTCGCCTAACTTTCCAGAACTTTTCCAAAAAATCGCTCTGCGTAAAGGAGAAAAAGCTCCTCTCAGAATAAAACAAATGTCCAGAAAATGTCAACTCGCACCACGTTTGCATATGTTAGTGAAATCGACTGAAATTAGTCGTAGATTGAAAAAAAAACTTTTTTTGATTGCTGATCTCAAACAAACAGCAAAATTTTTGCTTACACTTTTCCGGTTGATCAGCTCAGCAAAATGATGAATGCTTTTTGAGTCGATTCCAGTAATTTTATCTTTTTCTTTGCGAAACGTCTAGTACGTTCGCGACAAACTTTCAGATAAGCGGAAGCGAGAATAAGAAGTAAACAACCACCCGAAGAGAGATTGATTCCTACTTGATATCTCCAAATAACTGCTCCATTGAAATCTTGTTTATTTTCGCCTACATGTCGTCAGTGTTCCCATTTTGAGTGTATTCACCGCTATTATACTATTGTTATTCACACCCTGATCGAGTTTCAGTCCACACCCAGATGTTCAGAGCATCTAAAAAAAAAGACAGAAACTATGCCTGTGCCCCATTGCAACTGTTTTCACCTCTGTATTGCAATTGTTTTTGCTATCATCAGATGTTCAGAGCGTCTGAAAAGACTGGATATTTTGAGTGTCAGTAGCAAACTCACATTAATTCCACATACGCAGCGGCTACTGGCAGAGTAAGTTTGCCGCAAGCGTTTGCACTATAACAAGAAAGACTTCTCCGATAGGCGACTCGGAGAAGCCTTTCAGTCATTCAAAATTTTACCTCACGCCCTTGTGCGCAACGTTAGGGAAGTGTTTCCTCTTGAGTTGCCTACATGATAGATTCCGAAAACTTCATGTTTTTGTTCACTTGATTTTCTCTGTGAATGCTGTAACGGCGAATCTTCAAAACCTCAAAATTTTGAACATTCTGTCACATTAGCGATTTTGATTTTCATTTAATGTTGTCTGCATTTTTTTTCATATATATTTATTTCTTCAATATTCACGCCAACCCCGTCACCACATATCAACCCAAATCGTCTTTGAAGCTATACCGTCCTACCATATCGTTGTCCTTACCATCATTGCAATGCTCATTCCCTCAACTCGGAGAGAGCCCACCCATCTACGCTGTATTGATATCATTATTATCGCTTTGATCCACCTTTCGGAACAGTTGCGGAAGCCTTATCCTTTGATAATTATCTAATTTGCAAGCTTATTTTGCTCCGCTTAATCTTCAGCTCGAGACGAGCTCTTCTTTTGACAGGGCGTGCGAAAGCCGCTTTTTCCTACGAGCCCTTTTCCCCCTGTCCACATGCATTCGAAGAGCAATGAAGCGACTGAGCAATGATGCGATCAACGACACCTTTCCTGCCCGCAGTCAGTGACAACAAATGGTAAATGGGCAACCTTGATGACGATAATGGTAGCAGCAGCAACCTCCTGCACTCAAACGAAGCAGTGATGAAGCAAATGGTACATGGGCAGTTTTGATGACGATAATGTTCGATGACGGCAATGGTTTCCTACTCCCAAGCCATGGTCAAAGATGAAAGCTCGGGACGAGCTTTACTATGGAATGGACATGTCGAGACGCAGACTAATTAGATGGTCCGACAGTCCCCACGCCAACTGGGCGGTGCCCAGCAACTCCAGATGAGCTGTGCCTAACCGGGTGACCGGCGGCTTCCCTTCCCCTTTCTTTACGCTTATAAAGATATAATAAACATTCTAGTCATAATGTCGTGTTCATATAAAGTAAAACAATCAGGGTGAAGGATTCAGGTCAGGAGAGTGCACCTCCTGGACTTGACAGTCTTTTCGACAATGTGTTGATATGCACTGTGGAGTTTTTTTTTTTCAGGTTTCTTGCAGTTTTAGTTAAGTTTTGGGCATCAACAGTTTCCACATATTACGCAGCTATACAGTCGGCAATTTCATCACTCAAAAACCAATTTCTTCTGACTGGGCCCTTGAATACTTGCAAATCTTCGAACTGAGCCAGGAAGTTACGGATCACTACTAATACTTTGTCAAATATGGCGCAAAATATTGAGATAAAAAGCGCGAGGATGATACACAATTACATTTCATAAAACTACAATAATAACTTACACCGTAGCATGGATATCCTTCGGCGAGAGGCAAAATAGAAACTGCCGAATATCTCTTGGCTTAAGATACATCCCACCAGGTTCATCTTCGTCACTGTAAAACGATAAGATAGCTCTCACAAATTATAAGCGATAAGATTAGGTGAAGATTGCCAAACCCTACCCTGCTTTTATGCTAGCAACAGTGTAATTTGGGCTTGGTTCTAGATCTACCCTTTCCAGTATCATAGCAGTGGCGGAAGTATTCTCAATCTGCGCCTCCAAATATACGTCGCTGTTCTGAATATGTGAAAAACAATCGAAAAACGTTAGTGAAAGCTTGTTTGGATTCAGTGCTCCGTGCTAATCAACTCACCGAATTATCCTGGAAGCACAGCACTCAGACAAAGGTACAACGGAAAGGTGGCATGCATGCAAATAAAAAAAGAAATTATATAGCATACAACAACTGAGCGAAAAAGATGAAGAAGCTGTGATTGATGTAACTGGGATAGCTGTGTCAGAGATTTTATAAGACTTCTTGACTGCAATTCGAAGATGCCGCTAACGCACGCATCTTCACGGGTATACGCGTAAGTAAACATAAAACATTGACTAATGGAGAACAAGCATTAGTTGACTAGCTAGATTTTTCTGCTGTAAAGAGAGGGTCATCGACAGACAGCTGTATGAGCATGATGAAGCATCTCTTCAGATCTGGACAAAGGCTGTTTGAAATAATTTAACAATCTCCTCTACCTCGAATTTTTGAGTAGTACAGTTGTGAATGACAAGGCTAGATTGTTACGAAAGAGTTACAATGCTGCCTCAGTTTTGTAGCTTTCAATTAATTCTAGGAACTACGAGTACTACAACAAATGATTAAGGTTCAAAAGAGCAGTGGTCGTCAAAAAAAAATCGGCAGTATAACCGGATTTCCGAGATCTTCGAAAAAAAAATGCTGACAGTTATCCAACAAGCTCGTTACAGAGTCATAAACCAATAGTTAAGATAATTTTCGTTCAAACCTTGGGTAATCTTACAAGCAAAAAAGTTACCTCTGCATTATAGAATTTTGTTTTGACATCGATTGGTTTTCCGACTGGAAATTTGAAGAACTTCCGGAAGTACATCTTCTCATCTGACGAAGTTTTGTAGTTGACAGAACAAATCAAGCTGGAACAAATTTTTGTATAGTTCGCTGCAATGTAACCATGGTAACCGTTAGATATCACTGATACTAGACATCATAGAAGCTAAACTTCAAGGCCGCTGCCACTCATTCAACAACGGTCACAGATTTTAGCAGTAAAGAAAGCTGCAGAATGCAGTCTGTGATTTGTTGGTAAAAGAAGTGAGAACACCTCAAACCAGCCGATAAAGAATATAGAACGAAACTTACATATGTTGGCCGATTTCCTTCACTTCGTGACTAATAATTTGACCGGAACTTCTCGATGGTTCCAAAACCACGTCTTGTACATTAGATGTCAGACTAACCCTTTGACTGTTCGTTTGTAACTCGCACTGAAAGATTAGTAAGTAATTCGAAGATATCGATAGAAAAAAAAGGCTTCTTTGACAATTACCTTCACCGAGACATCCGTGACCTTCTGGTCACTTTCATTGACAACGTCCATATAAAAAGTAAAAGTTTCTCCTAGATAAATGTTCCTGTAAATAAAAATTTGCCGTCAAAAACTCAATCGTTACAAGAGAATACCCACTCAAACATTTGAGGAGCGATGAGGTATTCGCCAATGGGAGTTTCATACCGCTTCTCTCCACTAGCAAGAACCGCACTAATCAATTCAGAAAACCGCAAAGGGTCCACCGGATCTGCCGGAAGTGGAGAAGTTCCCAAGATTTTGGGTCGCGACAGACGTACGACTGAAAATTCCACATCACCGGCAAACACAACCATGAGTTATTACTAGCTAGTTCTGGCAACTGTCGAAAGCCTCAACATTATCGATAATATTTGTCAGCTCCCAAGACTATCTTACAAAGGCGGAGAAGGTGGGCATCGAGTACCACAAATAAAAAGAATGAAAAGAATGTCAAGCTTAACAATTTGAAAGTATTGAAACAGAAGTTCAAAATGTTGATGTTCCCATTGTTGTGGAGCGCCACGCATTATGATACATCGTATCTAACATTTATAGATATCGATTGGTAGGATGGCCATACAATATGCGGGAGCCAGCCAATGTGTCAAAGGGCTTTCATCAACCAGACAAGCCTGGTATCAATTCGCCAACAACAAATACTGGACTTTGGCCCAAAAGACATGACCCCCCAATTTCGTTCGCGATCCTATTCACATTACCGCCCATCTTCAGGTGAACATCACCAACAAGATCTTTCTCGCAAACACAGTGATCCACACACCTAGCCGATAGACGCCTTTACTGTGGAATAATAAAAACTTCGAACTATTAGTGAGGGAGCCTTGAAAATATTAAAATATCAATACATGGTATATGATTTATCCACATTACCATTACTAGAACGAAAGAATATAAATAAGATGAAGTTCGAATCGCTCTAAGAATGATCAGACTTCCGGCCAAAGTTATTAATTTTCACTATGACTGTGCCGAAGATGCATATCCTCGGCAAAGCTGAAGCGAAGAAAAACGACTTTACAGCAACACTACGCCTCATACAAAAATGTTCCACATTTAACTCGAAGATAATAGCGACTTCCGCTTCTTATTGGTGATATAAAAGATTAGATAATAAATTCATGCAGCCCTATAGTAAGTTCTTCAAAACATTCGTCAACAGAAAACAAGCAATGTTGAAAAGGAGCCGGTCTTGTGGCACGAATCTGGCTGTCACTAGGAAAAGCTAAGAGTGGGCCAAACAAAAAGGATAGGTTAGCTATAATTGAAGAAGCTCCTACTTTACGCCCAAAGAAAAATTGAAAATGGCTACTAAGGTGATTACAAGGTATTTTGACCTGATCTTTACAGTCTGAAGATTTCGTTCCCTTTAAATTCCAGTATCTAGATGGATTTCTGGTTACCTGTTCAATTTACTCAAAGACCTAAAACCTTGTTTTCGGTATGCTTGAATGCTAATCTCGCATCAACGTTCTGCGCCTTACATTCCAAAAAGCCTACGCCGTTGCGCAGGTATTGCCCAGTAAGTAATATACAGAAGCTGACGATGCCACCACAACCTCGAAATGTTTTCGTTCAATTAACATAATGCCCACATAGTAGAAATGCTATTAGTTGAACAATTTCGTGCATAGCGTAGTCACTAACCTTTCAAAGAAAGCAACTGATTCGACGGTTGGACGGTTTCGCCCATATCTACAACACTCCATCATTTTCACAAACCGATCATTTCCCATCACAAATACAATCGGCCTAACAACCAGAAAAGCTGTGAATATTAATAAACTAACTACGAACTTTATTTTGATCATGACATTATTCAGAGAACTGGGAAGGTGATGATACCCAATGAAACAGGAGTCAATCTACGTGTAACACTAAGATGACATAAAGCTCCCACTAATGTCGCCAAACATCTTGCAACAACAAACGGCAAAAAACAAACAGCTAACAATTTATTAGCCATTTTTGTGTTATAAAAATCTGTATACAAAACAAAAACCAACGAAGAAAACAACGCTGAACATACATGGGAGATAGTTCGGACAGTTATGATGGACGGATGACTGTAGAGATACAAAGTGACGCCTCCCAAGACATATGAGCGTGATAATGATGTGCTATGAAAATAACCATAATTGTAGAGTTTACGTTTCATAATCGTAACGGGTCTGCGAAGAGGGAAAACCGGAGCCATTTGAATTAAGCCTTCTGTTCTTCAGCCTTAGCCTCGTTCTTGGAAGCTTCATCAAAGTCTCCTACGAGATCTGGAATAAAATCTTCATTACAATGACTGAATGAAAACTTCAAGGCATGCTCAAAGGAAAACAAAAAAGTTGACTCCTGGACGCCGCATTAGCTCTCGTATGTAATCAGGGAGCAACAGTATTATCAACAAGCCCTGATTCGCAAAAATCGTCCTAATAGAAAAAGAAACAATGGAAACGAAAAGAGCAGAATGGTTAAAAAGAACTGTTCCAGTACAAAAGCACACTTATCTCCTATTAATGCTTTTTTGCTCCAAACCCGACAAATTTTTCGCAACAAAAAAGCAAGCCATTCTTGCGAAGAAATGTATATATGGATTAAACACCTAGAAAATCCATTCCGAGTAATCAGTTTCTACGGCGCAGCTCACTACATGACAACATGTCGAACCAAGTTTTTTGAATAAAAACTCAACATAAGCTTGCAAAGACAAAGGAACCTCACCTGGAACATCATCATCAGCGGGTGCAGGCTTGAACTGACTTGTAACATTATTAGCCAATTTCTTTAAATGTGTGAGCGACTCGGGTCCAAGTTGATTGAGTATACCAGGTAGCATGTCAGTGATTTCTTAAAAAGTAGTTTTTACAGCAATGGTTTTGCAACTTTCACCTGAATAGCAAAACATACGCTTATTTTCTCCAGCTCCAGTGATTGAAAACGTATTTGCTGGCACAGATGCTTGTACTTTTGGATTGTTGAAGTGAATAACTGTTCCATCGTCTTTGATCATATTTACCTGTAATGCATACATCGACTCCAATCAAGATACGATTCATACAAAAAAGGCACCTCTTCAATACCGGGAATGTTCGTCACGGATAACTTCTTCAGATTACTTTGCACTTTCTTGTCATCAGCCGCAGCGGTTTTGAACACGATCTTCTTCTTTCGTCGAGGTGTACCCTATAACACAAGAAATTATGGTACCGAACAACCAAATGTCAAGAAAATAGTGATGAAGCCCAATCGTAGTTCCTGCCCAGTTTAGTCATTTACGGAAAACCATATCACATCGTGCAACTCACATACGATAGAGAAGCTTGAAACTTATAGCATGTTTACCCCCTCATCGAATCGAAAGCAGCCTCACAGAAGCTTGAGTTTTGCGTTGAGCCAAAGAGCTTAAGATTTGGCAAAACTAACAATAAGAGATACGTCTAACTAATTTCTCGACATTGCATATCTCCAAGCAGCAAAGAGACTGGTGGAATCCACGTAATGTTGTGACCTGATACTTCGACAAAATCGTAACTCGAATCAAGTATTCTTGCGAACGTTTTGACCTGTGAGGCTAGCCTCAAAAAGATGGTTTGTGGAAAAATTCACAATGCGGTAAGGAGAACATGCTGCAGCAAAGGCTGCTGCCTCTACAATGTATACGGTACTTTCAATTACTTTCTTGGCGCTTGGCGTAGCAGAAAGAACTTCTTTATTCGTTTCAGGATGGCGCTAAGATGATGCTGAAATGGTGGTTTAACCAGACACTTTCCGAGGAAAATTTTCTGTAACAAGAAAGCATGAAACCTTTTTTCGATAAGTTTACAACCTTGTTTGTCGCGAAAGCAACTTCAGAAAAAACACTCAAATATGATTGCAGAATCCTCGCCCCAACCCAAACATGACAATCAGAAGATTTCAAGCAGTCTCTGATAAGTTACACCAAAACATCGATTTTGTTCGTATACCAAAGCTTTCCCTAGAAGCGGCTTTGATAAGGAAAGAGCTGTCCAATATCTTGCGAATTTTGTCATGTCCAAGACTGAGACGAATTTCCTCACGCGGAAGAACGAAAGTAGGGGTGGAGAGATCCTGCACTTCCACAAATGACATGGACAAGGCTCGCTGCATTTCTCCTACCCTAGCGACACATAGGTAATAATAATTCGCTACGGTTAAAACGATTGAAAATTACAAAATAGCACATGTCAAAGCGATGTACTGCAGAGTTACTAAAAAATTTTGATTTATTCGTCTCAAAATTCTAGTTTTAAATTACCTTGCCACCCAGCTGGACATGCTCAGCATTTGCCTGCATCTTCCTTATTTTGTCGGCAATGGCTTTCCTGTCCATGGTGCCCTATCGAGATTGTGATTTCTGAAAGTACATTTCTTTGGCACCTGAGAAGGCAGAAAGCAAGACGCGCAACTCGTGACCGAAGAAAACAAAACAAGTTACTTATTGATCGAAGGCTTCGCTGTGGCATAGATTTGAGGGAGATTAGATGTGATTGAATTAGATTGGGTTTTCGCTAGCCTAACACATGGGTTTGCTCGGAAAGGTCACTGACAATGGTAAAACATTGGAAAACTAGAAAATTCTGAAAGATTGCTGTGTAAAATTCGGACTTCGTGGCAGCCCGACGTTGTTATAGGACGTGGGCAGCCACGCAGTGGCACATTTCCAACCAGTGACGTCAGCAGCTGACTGATTCACATGAGCTTTTATCGATGAAGTCGCTGCCGTTTCCAGTTTGTTCCGGTTATTAGAGGTGTGGAGTCACTTGGAGTATCTTGAGACACCTGTGAAAGCGGCTTGGATATCTTAAAGCAGCATTTCTCCCTCATTTCATAACTCATATCGATCGGGTGGCGATTGCATTGTCTCCTTGCCAATCCTCCACTCTCCAACAAATAATACATCCCTTTCAGATGAGCTTATTTGGTAAGATTTTCGGTGGGAAGAAGCAGGAGGTTGCTCCGAACACACAAGATGCGATCCAGAAGTTACGGGAGACCGAGGAAATGCTAATCAAAAAGCAGGATTTCTTGGAGAAGAAAATCAAAGATGTAAGTTTAAGCTTTACCGTCACTCGTCATGCTTTTTAGGAGGCTTTCTAAAATCGCTTTCTCACCAGCAACTGGGTAGCTTTCAATGGTGCAGGCTCAGTCTTGACGAGAAATCACATCATTTAGATAGTGCTCATTGAGTTTTGGTGTCGAGACGAGTTATAAAACCTTGTTAAGCTGCACTTGTTACGTTTGTTTTTCTTTTGGGGCCATTACTTTGATGTCTGTATGTTTTAGCTTTTGTTTCGTTTATCTTATCTCATACTAAACGGATCATTACACTCGCAGTATATTTTTGGGTCGTCCAGATACCTTGTAGACTCAACAACTTTCCATCCATCAATTTAGTCATTTGAAATTATCAGTCAAACCTAAGCAGTCGAAGTCGTTCTGCACAAAAGTCTTGTCTCAATTCGACATTCGCTTTCATCGCAGCTGGCTTGCGAAATTTGATTCTGCTTTGGATACAATCATTACTCCGTCCTTTTTCACAGAGTTCGTTTGCGTCATTTTCAAGAAAAAGTATTAGGTCCTTTATCGGCCTGTGACTCACCATTTTCACTATCTTATGTCACCATCTTGATGAGAGCTTGCTTATCTGCTGTATTTACAGTAGTGAAATATCGATTTTTGTTAGCACAAACATCGCGATCCAAATGTTTTATTCAATTCATAGTTTGCTTACATAACTCTCTACAGTCGAGTACATTTCACATGTAGCACAAGAGTTGCTCACTATGAATGATATTTTTTGTTTAGGAAGTAGCTACCGCGGTGAAGCATGGAACGAAGAATAAGAGGCTTGCTCTTCACGCTCTCGGTAGGAAGAAACAGTTTGAGAAACAGCTCAACCACATCGACGGAGTTTTACAGACCATAGAGTTCCAGGTTTGTTGGGATTTGCTCTTATTTCAAGAATTCTTAAATCTCATCTCGCGCATGATTCTGAAGCGTTTCAATCAAAGCATTTCATTGGAGAATCCAGAATGCAGAATTTGGAAATTGTTGTGTCGCTATATGCAGCAGTTTCAATTCTTTTAGATAGGTTTGAAAGAACAATCATTTTTGTCATGTTCTGGCAGTCAATAAAATGATTCGGACAGAACAATTAATTTTGTTCTGTCTTAATCATTTCATTGATTGTCAGGAATATGATGCCACATCAGATGCTCCCGTTGCAGGGTGGACAAAAAAAAGTTTTTGTGGCGATATTTGGTAGAGTAAAGCCCCTGTAAAATCACTACCAGACATCTACCAAATGATCTAGTCAAGTTAGAACTAACAATAAGTCAAACGTGCATTACCTTATAGATTCGCTGCTTTGCTCGAAGTTCATTGCTTTTCTCCTGGGCATCACATGATTTATCTTTTGATCGTTAGGGCGCATATAGGAATATAATTCTCATGCTTGTGCCTGGTATAATATACAACCATAGACATGGGAGAAACTTGGGATTGCATTTGCTGTGTCATGCCCGTCTTTTCTTGATTCTCATCTTCAAATATAGGTAGGGGAGGGGGGTGCATGAATGAATGTCCGGTACAATTGTATGCCTGACGAAATAGCAACTAGTAGAAGTTCGGGCGACGTATAGTTCTCGGGCATATAATCGTTTTCAGATTTAGCGTCAAATTTCACGTAGGCTGCGAATTATCTAGATATGTGGTGATCATCTACAGCGCTTGTTTCCTCTTCCGAACAGTAAAAACAGTCTTTATGAAATTCTGGTGTTTTACTTTTGCGGACCATATGGTGCGACAAATTTTTGTAATCTAATGCTTCTCCCAAATTTCGATTTCTGTTTTTCTATCGAAGTATATTGTAGAGGGAAGCCCTGGAAAATGCTTCTACCAATGCAGAAGTACTTCAAGTGATGGGTGGTGCAAGCAAAGCTCTAAAAGCCGCACACAACAATATGGATATTGACCAGGTAAATCTTATTGTGTAGATCTTTATTAATAGTTCATTGTCATAGGGTTTTAGGTGCATGATCTGATGGAGGACATCGCTGAGCAGCAGGAAGTCGCTAATGAGATCGCAGAAGCTATTTCTAACCCAGTAGGATTTGACAGAAATATCGATGACGAGGAGCTGTTGAGAGAACTTGAGCAGCTTGAACAGGTAATTATTTTGGAAAAACGCCAATCAGTTCGTGGTTGTTAAAATTCCAAATTGCAGGAGGAATTAGACAAGCAGCTGTTGGACGTCCATCCGACCCCAGTTGTGCTACCTGATGCACCATCGACAGACTTGCCAAGCGCCAGCAAAGCGAAACCAGCCAAAGCTGACCATGACAAGGACCTCGAGGATCTTGAAATGTGGGCCAATGCGTAAGAAGCCACCTTGTAAAGTTGTGTATTCCATGTTCTACTTTCTTCTTTTTCCTCTTCTGCACCGCTCTAGACATTCTGCAATTTGCCGCTTTCCCCGGTCTGCTTGTTCGTTTCAACTAATCAGCTCATGTATTTTCTAGTTCAACCACCTTCGGGCAGTTCGTTGTACATTTTGTCTCTTTCTCCCAAGTTTTTCCAGTCTGATCTGTTTTCGATCAGCTCACTTTACAGCGTCCATGCGTTTCTAGCTAATGAGCCAACCATCGAAGGCTCTCAATGCCAGTCGTCTGTGTCCTTTGATTTGTAACTGGCATGCCTTGTAGAAGTATTTTTTTCCTAATTTGAACTTGTACTTCAACATTACATCTTATTACACAGAACGTTTACCTGATAATTTCGTTCAATACAGTTTTCAAATAATACGGATACCAGTTAGGTTACTTGCGTACTTACTCATGCAAAGAAAGTCATAAATTAGTTGTATTGAAAAAACGCGAATTGGACACAGTAGAACATCAATTTGAGCTGGAATTAAACCTTGTTAGGGATTTTTTGGGACTGGATGTCACAATGCAATACGATTTTCCTTGCTCGACGTGTCGCTCTCATTGTGTTCGTACTGCTCAAGATTTGTCACCATCAACATAATAGCTTTTTCCTCTAGACATTTGAAATGGATTTGTAATCGGAGCTATGCGGCAGGAGTAGGTGGACATTGCAAGTATGATGCAAGTATGACTAAGCTGCTACCAGCTGACCTTGCAATAGAGAGTTAATCATGCGGCGTTCTGGTATTACTCATCGTTTAAGAAAAAGACAACTCATTACTGTGTAGATGTGAAAATGAGTTTTCAGAAGCGTTCATCTGCATTCTTTCATTGAGTTTTTAATACGCTTTGGTTTTCCAAAAAATCAGCCTCATAGAGCCGTATTCGCTAATTTCTGTAAGTTCAAATTTAGCATGTACTGTTGTTCCACGTACTACTGCGTTCAGCGCTGTTGAGATCGGATGGTCAACGTTCCTACATCGAGCAGTGTAGGAACGTTGAGTACTAAATGTCCATAAAAAAGAGTTGGAAAATTGAATAATTCAAGCATGGAAAATCATTCTCTCAAAATCTGAGGAAGACAAAGATTGACAAGTATAGGGAAAATTGCTTAGAGCTGGGTTACAACACAGAAGAACTACCAAACTTCTCCATTTCGTCCATGTTGTGCTTAATTCACTACAAGACTATTTGAAGACCCTTTCTACCGGAGTGTGCCCCTTAAATATTTGTTAGATGTTGTTTCTTTACACAATTTCTTAGGTTCACCTTCCCGCTTCTATCCGGCGTCCCTGGCACTGAACTTTGATTTAATCAAATTGTTCCGACAAAAATTTTCCCCCTTCTGTTTCCCTACTTTGCTGCTTCTTTACATTTAGACAAAACACGGCATAGAAATCCTTTATATTTATATCATTGAAGGAATCCACCTTTCACTTATGCAAAAGAATAGGTTATCAACACACTTTAACAGACTCCAAATAAAACCTTTTTGATAGAGTTACATTCGAAAAAACTTCAAAAATACATTTCATTTGAGCATCGAGTTGAAAGAAGGCATAATGGTGCTGAAAATAGAGAGGCTAAATGGCCTAACAAAATAAGTGCAACTTTGTTGTGCAGCTGTCTGACAGCTTCGAAGTCTATATCAAACAAATAAACAGTACTAAAGCGCAAAACTCGGCTAAGTAGGTAAAGCAACAACACTTTGGTCCTTATAAGGAATCCTGTCTTATAAGTCGTCATGAAGGATTTCGGCTACTGAAATCAGTGGGCTATATTCAATCAATCGATCTCGATCCAGTAATTCTTGCAAGGAGAGTTTATGGTCTCCATTGCTGTCTATGGATTCCAATAGCTCTCGTGCCTGAACAAAACTACATTAGAACTCGAAAGGGAGATGTCTTGCGTCTTTAGGTACCTCAGAAGCTAAGCTTTTCGCATTTCTGGGATTTATGTATTCGAAAAGCTCTTCCAAAGTAGCGATTCCATCGCCATTTGTGTCCACCTGCTTGTCGAATTCCGCCTCTCTGAAAAGAAAAGGGCTGACCGCGCAATTCACAGCACGCCAACGTCCAAGGACCTTTCTAGCATTCTTTGTTTGCTCTTCTTGTCCTTGGGGTTTTTTCGTTCAGCTGGATGTGGGGCAGCGAATTCTTCTCGTTTCACAACACCATCGCCGTTGAGATCTAAAGTTTGGAAAGAAAATCAGTTACGAGCATTGCTATTCTGTTCTGATTTTATGGACAATTCGGAGATGAAAGAGTTGGTGAATTACTGGTGAAACCTGTAAATGTGAAGGACATGGAAAGAAGCAATGCTTGCGCTAAAATAGTCCACAACTGAAATAAATGTCCAACAGATGGTGAAGCTTTGTCTTACTTGATCTCTTGATAATAATGATGCGGTGGTCAAAGGGTGTGGAAACTATACTTGTAAGATTAGGGTCATTTTCAAAGATTTCATAGCATCCGAAATGAGCTGTCGAAATACTCTAACATGAATGCTTATGTAAAAAATCCGACTAGCCTTCGCTAGAAAATCCCTCATATCCAAATACCACTTTTCAAAATCTTCAATTTATGATTAGGACTACACTGCCGGATAGACCTGTTAGAATACATATGATCCGAAGTATGGCCAACCAGCTTTCAACGAGAAACCGTAATTGTAAACATATTTTTAAAATTCATAATTATATCTATGACTTATGACGAAAAAGAGACTTTCTGCAGTCATTAGAATTATTTGAAATTCAGTTGAATGGAAATTTGATGCACAATTTGGTAACTGTAACATTGTGTTACTTTCGATGTAAAACTGAGAGTGCATTTCTTTCTACAACAGAGGAATTTTTGAGTTAGCTAAATAATCATAAAATTGCTGTATTATGGAAAATACACACCTCTTTAACTTGATTCACAAATACAAGACGCCCCTTTTTTTATTCTTCAAGCAAGCAGCTGGGCCGCACCACCGTGCCTCATGAAATGGTTGCTCCCCCTCATTTTTTTAAGGTTAGGAACAGCAGAGCAGAGGGTCCTTTAGTCGCGAAACTTTTTGTGTGTTTAGGGGTCAAGTTTAGATAGAAAACGTGTGCTCTTGTACTCGTGAAATCAGGATGATTTTTTTAGAGCGGCTACTCCGAGCACATCGTGACCTCATACTAATCAAAAAAGCATGTCTGTGAAGAGCAGCTGCTCTTTCGCTGTCCACTTTCACTTGACCAATCATCCAATGTGCACCTTAGTACACAGCAACCGGATCTCTTCCTGCAGCTTCGCATTACACTGTGTCACTACATCAAAAGCTGCAGCGGGAAATTTTTTGAAAGAAATATAGGGCTGGAGCAATAACGCAGAATTCGTTTAGGAGGGTGAGGTAGGAGGGGGGAGGAGTGGAAAGGGGAGGTGAATGGTAGTTTTTTGCTCAGATCTATTTCCGTATATTTATCATAAAAATGCGAAATCACGAAAGTGGTTCTATTAGGTTTTTTTGGAAGTACAAAGCCGTCAGTAATCAATACACGAGGCTAGTACTTGTAAAATGTACCAAATCAAAATGTACTTTTACCTGATTTTTTTCTTGGCAGTGTATGTTTGAGCTGAACCTTGATGCTCGTAATTTTTGCCAGAAATTGGCCCGAACTGGTGACTTTTAATAATTAATCAATTCATTTTTCCTTTTAAAATGTTCTGTCTCAGCTGTATTAATATAATTGGTCTTGGAATTTTTATAATTAACTAATTAATTATATAACACAACAAATAATTAAATAAAAGAGTTACTTCAATGAAAATGGGCAGCCTACAATAATTTCAAATAATCAAAGTCACTTACCGTACAATTTGAGTATATCACGGGCCATATCCATCAAAGAATCATTGTTATGCTCAGGATGGAAAAATCTATAAAACCATTTGGGTTTGAGAGCTGTTTGACAGATAAATTTAAGAACCTCAACCATTCCTCAGGATCAAGGTATCCGTCGGCGTTTTTGTCGGCTCGATCAAAAGATGCTCGTTCTGGACCAGCAAGTGACAGATCGTCTGCAACTTTTCCAAATACTTGAATTCATGAGGCTCAGTGTAGTTCTTTGTTTATTTTACCATTGTCAACAACGTTTTTGTGATCATGCCCATCATTTTGAGATTCTTTCGATAGGTAGTGTGGTTCATACTCGTTCCAGGACACCTAAATATCCTACATTCTCAATATGCATAAACTGATAAAAGTTCCTGCCTTGCCATCGCCATTCATATCCACAATGTCAAAGTGAGTCTTGGCTTCTTCAACACCTTCCTCCAAATGAGCTCGCGTATTGTTCACTATTCGTCCTTCTAATTCTTCAAGTGTTAAAAAGCCATCTTTATCTACATCGCTCCTAAAAAGCATGCATGTAGAAATGAAACATCAACCAAAACTTCAAAACATACGCCTCAAACATCTTCCTGACCATTTCCTTCAACTCTTGAGAATCTTTCGGATCTCCACCTAGTAGTACCTAAATTTAGTACAACTTTCTTCAGAAGAGGTGTGAAGAAGTCTCGGTACCTCTTGCCGAAATTCCTTATTCAATTCTCCGTCTCGCTCTAATTGCACCCCATCCAAATGAATAGGTCGTTTGAATGTTTCACTTTCGTTGGGCGGTAAGTTGATCTGACAAGGAGAATGTTTCTTTTAAGCATTTTGAGGGACGGCTTTCAAATGCTGACAACAAGGGTCTTTTTCCCCTAAGTAAAATTGGAAAATTTCTAAAATTTGTTGAGAAAATCCCAGCCGTTATGGAAGAACAGCATCATTTCGTTCTACAATTATAGTTTGCTTCCTCTACTACTTTTTGGCAGAGACGGATCTCTCAGAACTACGCGGTTTGTGATTCGAATTTGTGACACAGATATCAAAGTCATCAAAGTTGATGTTTTTCCTTTCGTTAACGATTTTGCACAGGGTTCAATGATTAAGGCCAATGGGTCATTTCTCACAACGAGACAGAATGTCTTAAAATTTTTTGATCCTTTGTAGTGCAATATCAACATGCTATCACGCGTTCCCATACAAGATGGGGGATTTTTTTTTCATCATTTTGCCTTTCACGATGGGGTGGTATTCGCTATGAGATTGCTTCAACTGTAGACGACGTTTTATCCTACACCCAAGTCCTGCAGCCTCACGCGCAGAAAGTTTTTTTTTTCCTATCGACAAGAGCTTTTCTTTCGATCGAGAGCTTTTCCTTCGAGAATGAGAGTAACATACCAGTTACGGACAGAACTCCGCGAGCAGTTGTACCTAATTCTCCATTCACTAGAGAGAAAAGTCATCGATTAGCGCTAATCTGCTTTCGCTAATTGTATGCAAATACTATAATTTTTCTTTTTTGATGAGGTAAATTCTGAACCAGATTTTATCTTTTAACCGGATTCATTTCACATCTTTTTCACAGTAAAGATGAACTGATTCTCTCTCCTGAATAGGGTATTGATAGATTTCGGCATGTCTTGCGTTCAGTTTCTTTTCGAGAATCACTAGATAAGTGATTTGCTGATTCATAAGCCGAATTGTTGATAAGAATTTTTATAATGATATTCAGAGTATGGCAGATAGTAATACGATCTCAAAATTTCTGCAAAATTCAACCCTCAAATAAAGTACCATTAATGGAAACGAAAAATCTGTCTATTCGTACATTCGCTCCTAAGAGTCGATTCCGCAACGGACGTGAGCAACCTATATGTGAGTGCAAGCTTTTGCCCTCAAGCAGTCCTCGGTAGTATAGTGGTGAGTATCCGCGCCTGTCACGTGCGAGACCCGGGTTCAATTCCCGGCCGGGGAGGAGTTTTTGCTTACTGCTTTGAAATGCGATCTGGTAGCTCTGCGGGCAAAAAAAACTTGCTCAGCGCATCACTTCATTGCTTTCATTTTTTATCTTATACTAATCAGCTAATCATAAAACAAATATAGTGACTAGATAGAAAGTAGTTTCAACATATTCTCCTCTGTTTCAAGTCAGGTCCACCTACCACATTCTCTGCTTCCGTCCTAGCACCAGGAGGTAAACCACCAACATGACCCGCAATAGTGGCAAAACATAATATGGTAAGTAACATGCTGAACAATGAAGATGGTAAACTGAACATGAATCCAAAGCCGAAAATAACCCTCGGAGTTCCCTTTGAAAGCTTGCAAATAACGTAAAAAATGATTTTTATTGTTTCAAATAATCAATGGCAAGGAGTTATAAACAAACGCAGCGTTGGAAGATAACTAAGCAAATACTTGAACGAGAAATGAATAGACTAGACTAGGTATAGGGATGGAATAATGTAGGCAAAGAGGGCAACCACACGAAGTGTATAGATTATAATCGCTAAAGTTAAACAATCATGAGCATTGCAATCAATATCGATGAGCCAACAAAAAAATGAAAAAAGCGTTGAAACGATAAGTGACTGAGCATTAGAGGGAGATGGGGAGGAAAGGAAAGGGTAGATTTGTATAAGATGTATAGGGATCAAGAGAAAATCGAAATAGATCGATAGATACAAAACCCAGCTATATGTTGAACTAAATATTATAGAAGATGCTCAGAAACATGCAAATATGTAGCGTAATATCCGCAAGCCATGTAAATTGCTTGAGTAAATCTAATTCACATATCGTCTTGATTTTCATCTATATCTCAGAAAGGCCAATTCCTTGAATTTGTGTCAAATTTTCCGCTCTAAGCATGCCTCAGCAAACGCTGACATTTCAGTGCCTCAAGACAGGCAAAAGCACACAGAACGAAAGAAAAGGAGAAAAACCACTAATAACGGAAGCAATGCGTATATGGAAACCAGAAAATATATTAAAAAATATATGTAGGAGCAAAACACAACTGCATGCACTACAGCTAGACTCAAAATGATTGAAGCTCTAAAGGAAGAGCTCCGCCAATTTCATAAACACTGCCTCATCAAGTTCGTTATTTTCAATAGGGCAAAAAAAAAACGGAGCTGAGGTGCAAAGAAAATATTATTTTGATGGTTCTCCCAGAAGGAGCTTTGAGGGGTATATGAGGCATAAAACTCTCGAAAGACGAGCTGAGCATGACTAAAGTTTCCTTTTCAAAAGCTTACACAAGGAGACGTACGAAATCAAGCAAATGCTATGCAAGTGATGTTGACGCTTTGCAGACCTTCTCTTCAACTACGCATAAATCTATTTTATTGTGTTGTAAACAACAAACAAGAATGGAAGTAGAGAGACCCCTGCTGAGCGCTTTAGCTCTACGCCACTTTAGTTCTAACAAAAGAGCGCTGAACATTGTTGTTGAAACCGTGATGTACAGACGGCAGATATTGTTGATGGAATTCAGACACATCGAATCAAATATGGCGTTTGCACATGGTTTCTAAATGAAAATAAAGACTTTCCAAGAAATAGAATGAAAACTAAACAACATGTTACCAAATAGAAATAAAACGATCGACAAGCCAAGGTTACCCGTAGCCCAGCAACCCAAAGTAATAGATGTTTCTCATAAAAAGGTCTGCTAGGCGTAATTATTGGAAAAAAATTAGGGTGCAGACTCCTTCAACGGAAAGCTGGAAGCAGCCCCAGCCCAGTGCTTTATTTATTGTTTTCAAGGGAGAAAACTCAAGGTCCACAAACAATCAACATTCTTATTTTGAATGTCGCGCAGGATTACGGTAGCGTACTAGCGTGAAAGGGCTACTGCCAAAAAAAAATTGGTTAGAAAAGTGAGTATGAGCATTTAGAAACACGCCCATTGTGAGTGGTGAACCAGATAATCTGAATAATCTTTTTGGTATATTGTGGTACACATGAAGACTACCATTTACTTGAACATTTTTGTATACGTCTTCTTTTTGCTATCTGCTAGCTCAATCCTTTTTTGTGCCAAAATTGCCATTTCCGCCTGGACTAAGGATTCGTTTTTGGGTGTCTGTGCCAGCTTTTTCAAATCCTCTTCGGCCTAAAAGCAGTATGTAGCATTTACGGACTTCTTGAGTCTATTGATCGATTCTTTTTTCTAAAGAAAAGTGCCAAAACAGCCGTTTAAAAAGCAGCAATGACAGAAAATACAGAATACCTCGTCCAGCTGCCAACATCCTATTCGAGCTCTCGCTCTTCGATATAACGCCTTCTCGTTATCGGGCTCCCGTGACAAAACCTAGAAACAAATCCATGGGATGCAAGGGGTAAAGGGCAGCATACGACTCGCATTTTTAGATGGCGGCCTTTTCGCCAGGGTGCGGTAACTTAGGAACCCGAACCCAATGGGGGACGGAACTTAGGAACCCGAGCCTAATTAGCTCGATTCGGGGAGTGCCTGCAGGTTACAGTCATGCTCGCTGGCTCCGATTACTCTCTAGGACATAGCAACAATCTAAGCCTCGCCCCCTTGAGAGCCTGTTTGGAACCTAGCCAAGGAATGCTGAAAATCTCAATTAAATTTCAGGGCTGGCTCTAAGCCAAAAACCTTCAAAGTCATTGTACGAGGGTGAAATTAGGCTCAAACGAAAGAGAAAAACCGTGCCATCATCATAAAGCAGCTACTGATTCAAACTGATTGAATACAACATTTTCTTGGTTTAAAACTTTATTCAAGTGTTAAACTACTGAGAAATTATTCAAAAAACCGTCAAGTTTCAGAAAAAAATTATTTGAATGCTAAATCTTAGCAAAAAGCTGGAATAACATTAGAGAAATGACAGTTTAAAAACTTCCCAAGATTGGTAGTTATTTGCTGAAATGCTGAAATTTACGCGAAAGACTAGAAAATCAATTGCGAAACGACAGTTTATAGAATTCTCAGAAATAAAAGTTTGTTTGTGTAAAAACTTTTGTTTTTGTGAATTTTATAAACTATCGTTTCGCAATTGATTTTCTAGGGTCAATCAGTTCAATTCAGTAGCTGCTTTACGATGATGGCACGGTTTTTCTCTTTCGTTTGAGCCTAATTTCACCTTCGTACGATGACTTTGAAGGTTTTTGGCTTAGAACCAACCCTGGCATTCAATTGAGATCTTCAGCATTCCTTGGCTAGGTTCCAAATAGGCTCTCAAGGGGGCGGGGCTTAGATTGTTGCTACGTCCTAGTGAGTAATCGGAGCCAGCGAGCTTGACTGTAACCTGCAGGCACTCCCCGAATCGAGCTAATTAGGCTCGGGTTCCTAAGTTCCGTCCCCCATTAGGTTCCGGTTCCTAAGTTCCGTCCCCCTTTTCGCCAAGCACTTTCGTTTCTGCCGCCGAAAGGTGCTTTATGTGATATAAAGTGTATGTGTTATATACACCTTTTAACGACCGAAAGGAAAGTCGACATATCTTTGTGGCACTAAAATATTCAATCAAGAACAGAAACATACTTCAGATGCTGTTTCAGCTGCTTCGTACATATTTCCGATATTCAGATAGCACTGCGATAAATTGGCATATAGGGAAACATTCTAAAACTTGGACATCATATCACTTAACTAGGTAGTCTTTTCTACACACCTTCCGATCCAATTCCTCCCATTCTGGTTCACCGGGTTTCTCTCTGAGTATTAAAGTATCTAGCCTTCCCAAAGCTTCTCGATATTTCTCTATGGCGTCTTCATACTTTTTCTGAAGAAAATGCAATCAATGGGTCACTTAACTTCATTTTATCTGTGGGAATAAAAGGGGTGGAAGTGGATGGAACATTGTAGATATTTAACAGACACGATCGAGCAAAATATTATTTTTTGCCATCTTTCAGCTATTCTCTCAGGGAGTGCTTGATTTAGAAAAACAGGAAAAGGGTATGATGGCATGAAGTCTAGCTACAAGCTCCATTTGATCATTTTATGCCGCGTGCGTGAATGACCTCAACGCAGATACTGAGAAAACGCGATTTCATTCACAATGCTACGTAGAAGCTTGATTTTGTCCTCGTTTAGAGAGGAAGAGCGCATTGTTTACTAAGAGATGTCAGTGTTTGAATGAATTAAGAGAGGCCATACCAGTAGGAGGCCCAGAAAGACCGAACAGTCATTTGCGTATTAAAAATATGATCCATCGAACAAGGTAGCAAAACCGAATCAAAAGAAGGCTTCAGAGGCACAAAGCTTCAGCGAAATACAAAAAGAGAGTGACGAGAAACCAAGCAAAAGATCGCACTTGATGACAATTAGCCCTTCATCAAAGGCATCTACAGACTCTGACGGACTATAGCATTTGAAGATAAGCAAAAAAAAATTGGGAAGGAGAATGGGACATTGAGACTGCAGAAGATTACGTAAATTGAGGAGAAGAAGACCTGGATGCCATAGATCGTGTAAAGAAATACTACATGTATTTTGCGAAGCCAAGACGTTAGTGTTTAGACAGTGCCGAATAAGGTCGAGCACTGCACGTTCAAAATGCAAAAATTCTGTGTTTATAAAAAAATCTTTGAAAATTCTAAACAAGAAAGGCAGACTTTGTTGACAGCCGGACATGAATAATATCTCTGCGATGTGTAAAGCAATATTTCCAAAGCAATTAATTTTTTTTCTATATTTCAATCCGGGCTACAGTGATACTGAGAATAACAGAAGAGATCTCAAACCTCTGCAAATAACTGATTCCCCTGTAATCGTAGCGTTTCCACCGACTGAATTTTTTCTTCTGATGTAAGCTGCCAGCCTTCTGCCTCATATTGCTCCGGTTGTGTGACCGATAAAAGGTGAAATATGAATCTGAGTGGACGGGGATCTCTCATCAAGTCGTCTAGTTCTTGGTATCCAGTTCTGCAAAGGAACAATGGTCATCTCAAGGTAAAACTTTGAAAAAAATTTACCCGGCTGACAGAGCGGCTGCGCACATGTGCTCGTGAGCGTGAGAATGACCATGTTCGTTTGGTTTGGCAAGATCCCGCAACTTCTTCGAAACCATCGGGTATGTGCAAAGTTCGGTGAGCTCCACATCAAACTGGGACACCTAGATAAAAGCCATAAATCACGCATATCAAGATTAAGAAAACCTCACCTCGTCCACGAGCATTGATCGCAGGCAAGTTTCAAATATTGGCAATTGAAACTTTTTGCCAAAAATCAACTCTAAAGGTTTGCCATAACCATGAGGCCAGCCTTGTCGTGTATTATCTATCACTTCATAATCATCCCTGAACACTACGAAAACTTTTCACATTTTCAGTCAGATGAACCTGGTTCTCACCTGTTCTCTGGCATTCCTACTTCCGGCTTCACTGGATCTTTGGGTTTTAACGTTTCATAATGGAAAACGGCTTTTGTACCGGTACGATATTCCGGTAAAATGCCTCTTCCAGCATGCAGCACCTTTTTCACGCATTTGGGTCGAGGTTCTGGCATACTATAGAAATATTTAGCAGTTTACTGGGCCCTGTCTCAAAAAAAAGTTTGGTAATAAACATTTTCTTATTGAGAGGTAAGAAGGCTAAAACACACGCTCTTTTACAGCCAAGTATATTGCAGGATTTCAAGATGATATTATCCGAACTTGTGATGCCATTTTCAGAGCACTTAACACAAAAAAAACAAGGTAATCAGGATGAAAACGCAACTGGTGAAAGTTCAAAATGAGGTCACTGAAGATAAATCAAATTTTACGTTTTTGAGTTAATTGCGGTTACAGATAACGAGGAGCAAAATCGGAAGATTCTTAGAAGAGAAATTGCATCGAATGCGTACACCGAAGGCTCAACGATAAGATAGAAGATCTAGAAATTGTCACCATCAAATTATCAGAGGTTCTAGAGAAACTTCGACAGATTGATTCGAAAAAGAAGAGATTGTGAAGAAGGAAAAAGAAGAAAATAACAATTTTTAGAAACACGCCTCAGCAGGAGAGCAAGTTCGGTTTGGCGGGTAAATTGAGATACGACACAAATACAATTCATGCGAACAGGCTTGAAATGTATATGAGGTAGAGCAAAATTTTCAACCAGCGTCTTTTCAGGTTTCTTTTTCTATCCATTTATTGAGGGTGTCATTCCGAAAGTTCCGTCGCACCATTTTCAAAAATTCATAACTTCTGATTTTTTCAACCGATTTGATTGATTTTATTTTTGTATGAAAGAGTAAGTCATGCTTTTTATAAAGACATCTTAGCTGCTTACCAATGATCGTCTGTTGCATAGAATAGGAGCGGTAGAAGAAAATTAGTGAAAATTCGAATTATCTGTGTAGTGTCATAAAAAATCGGAAACTTGCAACAAAAATCGGAGCAGTCAGTATTATTGTTTCTTTCACCAGCTCTTTCTAACTGTGCAAAATCTGCGCTGATTGAGCGTCTCTAAGAAAAGTTATGATTTTCGAGCAAGCAATACAAAAGGGCGAATTTGATTTATTTTGGCATTTTTCAGGAAAACCGTAACTTTTTAAAGCGCTCAATCGGCGCAAACTTTGCACTGTTAAAAAGAGCTGGTGAAAGAACCCAAAATACCGACTGCTCCGATTTTTGTTGCAAGTTTTCGATTTTTTATGACCTTACACAGAAAACCCAAATTTTGACCAATTTTCTTCTATCGCTTCTATCTATGCAACAGATAATCATTAGTAAGCAGCTAAGATGTCATTATAAAGAACATGACTTACTCTTTCACATAAAAATATAAAAATAATAAAAATATAAGCAGACAAATCGGTTGGAAAAATCAGAACTTATGAATTTTTAAAAATCGTGCGCAAGAACTTTCGGGACGACCTAATATATACGGCCGATCAACATGGAAGTTCAGTTACGACACAGGTCATTGAGAATAAGACCACCAAGACTTCAGGCTGACGTAAGAATAGCGCGTTTTCCAAGGATTTTTTGCTTAATGTTTATGATGCAATAAAAGAGCAATTTTTAGGTCGTCATTGAGAATTTCCAGAACATCTATAAGATCTGCAACAATTACTTTCTGCGAAAGTTACCCTGATAACATGCCTATTGATTCTTTCTCAAGAAGCTTTATGCAGCGGCTGCACTCCATCCCTACATCAAGGAAAATCGGGCTTTGATAAGCTCACACCCGCTCAGAAGGCACCTAGAGACCACCTCATTTCAGGGCTCGGCACAACTGGCACCGAGTCAAGCTGGATATCGTTTTTGGGACAAAAAGCAGAGGGAACATCGTTTTTGTTGCCGAAAAGACACAAAGTTGCGACGTTTTTCAAGTCGACGTTCTGTTTTCTTTAGGATTTTTTTAAGTTCAGTAGGGTAAAAGGGGACTTCGTACGAAATTTTCAAGATCAGAAGGAATTTCTTTTTGAAATTCCCTGGTGCCACCTCGTGCGAGCCCCGCCTCATATCCTTTTCAACCTTCAGATAATCTAAATAGTCATAATACACTCAAAGATGAACCTATAGGCGCCGTAAACCTAACTGCCCGCGCCGTGCCTTGAACACCAGCGTAAGCGAGCGGTCGTCGCGGACGACTGTCGGTGTTCACTATATCCCAAAAAATCTTTCTTTAACTCTCGTGCTGTTCTCGTCAATGCAAGGTATATTTTGACGAAAGCTCCCTTCAAAAGCTTAAAAAAATATTCGTGGAAAGGACGCGCGCTCACTGTCGCTCGCAAAAAGCCTGTAGCGCTTCGGGACCAAACGTTTCCAGCCGCTCCGCGCGTTCTCAGAGCTTCGGACCGTGCGGGCGCGCCGCAAAGGTCGGTCGAGCGCGCGCCGGATTTTCGGGTGGCCCGGTGATCGGGGCGCGCTCGCACGGCTTTTAGGGCGCGCCCGCTCCGCAGTGGGTGGCCGCACGCACGGTACCAAAAGTGTTGAATACTTGTTCTGAAGCATTTTCATTGCTTATTTATGTGTGGTGATAAATAATGTGACTTTGATTATTTATTCTGCATTCACAAGAACATTATAACATACTATAACAACCTTATAGGATTACATTATAGAAACATTACAACATTATATTATAACAACTGAGATAGCCTAGGAGACATAGCAAAATTTATGAAGTATCTTGAGAAACTGTGTTCTTTTTATCCGAACAGACAATCAATCGCACAATTTCCAGATGCGGTGTACAAGAACGGCACGCGAATTAGACACAATACAACTTGACTTGCATACTAAATCCGAAGCAGTGCTTAGAGAATTTCCTCGATATATGTGCGAGATGGATGTGATGCTAAATCAGTTCAGTCTGCGGCTTCCACTTAAATTCTGCGAGCAGTGCTTTGCAAGGACATTGGTTTGTTCTTCCACAATGCTTAAAAAACATATTTATACGCAAAGAAAAGAAAGCATAAAACAATTACCTTTCAGTTGGTGACTCTCATTTTTTGTTTCTGCATCTTGCTGGAAATACTTTATCACAATGTACAAGAATTTTAGAAGGCCATACCTGTTATGCCAGTGGATTACAACCAAACACCCGAGCTAATCAATATTGAAGCGTCATTTAGATAGCCATCAGGTCATATCTTGCCTTGAGAAAAAAAGAATGTCACACACGCTATAAAGCGCGAAATTATATTAACACACTGAATTCTGAAATAGTCAATAAAGTAGAAACATCGAATGAGAAGTCATTGAATGCGTATGTACAAGTAACAAAGGTAAACATAACAAAAGTTTACATTTGGCATGTTTCAGTGAGAAGAAATTTAAAAAATTTCAACAAGGTAAAACATTAAAAAAGATTGTAAAGAAGAACTGCGATCCACATACCGTGCTATTTTTTCAAAAACAGTACGTGAATGCCCGTCACCAGCGTTGTGCACGAGCTACCACAGAAAAGAATGGCTGGCCTCTCGTGCGACCATGCGGCGCGCTCGCACGGAGGCTTGCTCCGCCCCCGCAGTTGAGCTGGCCGCTCGCACGGAAGCCCCAAATTGCGGCGCGCTCGCACGGTGCAAAGCCCTGAGTTGGTGTTCAAAGCGACGCGTGGGCAATTGGATTTTACGGGGCCTGTACTTGTTTGATTTGTTCTATTCTGGACAAGGGATGCCAAAAAGATCTTGGAGGTTACGAAAAAAACTTTTTTTCGAGTTTTGATAAAAACAGATGAGCTAAGGGTATCTATAAATGAGATTGGGTTTAAGAATGCAGTCCACATTGTAAAACAATTTGACAAGCATATTAGCGCTACGGTGCGGTAGATGGTACTCGATATTTCCCACCAGAAGCTGTATTTCCCACTAGAAGCTAAGTGATGGATTATAGAAGAAATTCTCACACTAGGGATAGAATGCCCTACGCCATGATATAGGATAAGAAATCGGAATCTTCGAGTAAAGACTAGCAAGCAGGTATGGTATCGACACCGCAGCGACTGCGCCTGTAACAAAACTCGTTCTGTACACATTTATTATGATGTGTTAGATAGCATCAGAAACAAAAGCACTGGCATGTAATTAGATTTCTTCTGACTAGCGCTGAGAGCGTTTAATTATTGCACTATAACAGAGGCTGAGCTGGTTGTTCCAGTGAGAATCGAACGAATAAGTGGAGAAGTGTCACGCAATGGGGCATTATGCTTTAAAAGCTTCAACACAAAGATAAACAAACAGTGTGGGCGACTTACAATTGGGAATAAGGATCCTTGAAGATGTGCATCACGATATACCCGAGGATGATCTGGGCTTGGCCACCATGGCAACATGGGGGCAGTGTCTATTTGGGCCGCATGATTGTGACATTCGACGAGATGATATGAAAACACAACGAACGAGAGAACAAGCACAAAATCCGAAGAAAAAGCAGGGGTATTTGAAATATGAGAAAGGATTGGGTGGATCATATTGCACATTTATCTAAGATTATCCGGCCACTCAGGTATGTAGTATCGTCGAATAGAGCCTTCCAAAAGACGATCCAACCAATTTGGAAATCCGTTCAGCACATTTTCTGCGCTAACGGGATTACCATTACGGCGAATCATAGAATCCTAAAATTACATGGAATGCTACCATAAAAAATTATGAAAGTTAATATTTTTTTAACCAAAAAACGCTGCAGAAGTCGCTTTGAATTTCACTATACCTCATTGCTCTATATATGCATTTGTAATAGCCAAACAAGAAAAGAAAGTAATCAATTCAAAGTAATTTCGGAGATTAGAAGAAAGTTAACGAATTCCCAAAAAACTTCCTTACATCCTCCGCAGTGGGGTTATCACTGTCTGTGTCGCTGCTGATTTCGTCATCATCATCGAATCCCAGAAAATGTTGCTGATGACTTGGCTTCTTTTTGCCAGCCGTATGCATAGGATGATAGATGGAAAAATATAATTTCCAGCCGCAAAGTGCCAGCACTGTTCCAACGGTTTGACGAGGATTGATTGACTAAAAAAAGACACTATTTGAGCTGGTTCGTCAGTTCGATCTAATCCAGCTCTTCATCTGAGCTTCGCCCCTGAAGTGAATATATGGTAGAGCTGAGGCACAAAACCAGTAAAATCTCTCCCATTGATAAATTGCTATGTGAGAGTTGAGCTCAACAGTACACAAAAGCTAGGCCTTTAGGCCTAGGGTTTTAGAGTTGCTTTATAAATAGTAAAAAAGTAGTACATCTGAATTTAGAAAAAGTACTGAAGACTGAAAGAAAAGGAAGAACAAGCTCGTTGAATGAGTGTCAACCAGAAAACGCAGAAGTCACGCAAAAATCCGAGCATTTACCTTCAATTTCGCATACAACGACATAGCTCCATCTTTGGGACCTGTGTTCTCTCCGATGGGAAGTGTGTGCTCAAGAAGCTTTCGGAACCATGGCAAATTCTTTTCAACCATAAGAAAACCAAATGAGAAGGTTTTGTTGCTGTAATGCAGTCTCTTAGCATTATAATAAAAAAGATTCACTCAAATAAAGACAACTCCATGAAAGTGCACATTTTTACACAAGCAAGCAGTGTTTAGGAGACTTACTTCCTCAGCGGTAGTATATACTGAGCAAACTGCATCATGAGCTTTTCTTTGCTCTGTTCATCGACGAGAAGGATCAACGAGCGACATCCTGGTTTGAGCAAACGAATCATACCAAAGTAGCTTTCGGCCCGCAGCTCATGTATGTGCGGATTCATGATAGACAAAGCCCTATAAAAATCCTTTTCATGAATGAGTTCATACCATATGTATCACTCGCACCGCTGCAATCTGGCTTGAGGATTCGGCTTAGCAGGTGGCTCCGTCTTGGCGTGTGGATCTTCCGGATGCCATTCTTCCGCGTTGAAGTGCTTAGGTTTCTCCTTGAACCAAGATCATGTTATTTTCTTATTTGTAAAAAAAATTGCTCACTTTTTTCGGTCGCGACTCCTGATTCATGTAGTTTAATCCATACCCGATGACTAGAATGACTAAGAAGGTGGCGACAGCCGACAAGACAGGATAGGCTTCTTCTTTAGTTAGATGGAACCAGGCTGCTTGCACCATTCGCACCAAAGCGCGGCACATTCGCGTCCACCAGGATGGTGCGTACTCGTTAATCTGTAATTCATATTTAACTACTGTAAATTAGCACAGGGACTACTACCATGTTGCCAACGGGTGCAGTTTGATCCAGCCGTGTTGCTTGCGAGATAACAGAACCTAGGAGCGCTTCGAATTTTTCGGCGCTCTCACCCCAAGCACCTTCCAACCATGCGAATTTCGCCTTCACATGCTCCATACGCCACATGACCAATACATCTCGTGCATATGGCTAAATCATGATTATGAGCCTATCGATGAATGTTAAAAAAGGATTTCTAAAACTTCTTAACTAGAGAATGGAATGTTCAGAATACTTCCTTCGTGTACAAATAAAGAGGAAGCTTACTCTATAAAAGCGCCATATTCAAGTATTAATTACAAAACAACGGCTTGTCTCACAAATGTCTCAACTCAACAAAAAAACTTCAGAATGAAACACTTGAGCCGATGCAAGTTTCCCGCTTATATATACTTCAAGTGAGATTCAAGCGAACAAAAGTGGCTGCTACACTAACTTTTTTCTTCGAACATTTGTGGTCTGACGCAGATTCAATGGACAGATGCAAGATACCAAAACTAAACTGATGAATATGGGTAATTTTAGCAACCTCTCGCCTATTAAAAGAAACTGGCGTTGGAATGAAACTACAAAAGTTAACAAAACAGGGGGTAAAAACTCGTACGAGGGTTCTGCAAAATGGCAGAAAAAGACTAACGAAGTGATAGAAAAATAACGACCTTGTGAACACTAGGAATGAGTTCTGTGATATATTGTGCGACACTACTGACCTTTACGCGGCGGGCGGGGAGAGGGGGGGGGGGGAATGGCGGTTTTTACGAAGGCACGCTTATGAGTAACAATCAACAACGGATCATTTGCCATGTCAACTGTTGTCATAAAGAACGTCTACTTCAGCGATTAAGCAATCACATGAAACAAAAGAGAGATTGCTAATCGAAAAGAGGCTCACCACCGTATCTCCAGCTCGTTTTTCTAGGAATGGTTTGATCCATTCCGACTGTTTATTCGCATATACATATGTCAAAATGACCTGAACTGGCAAACTTAACCTATTGAACTTGCTTTAGCCTTAAAGTAAACTTACACCCTGACGTGCGTAACTTTCTCTATGCTGACGAGCAAAGTTGCGGAAGCTGTTTAGAAAGACTTCATCTTCAGAAGAATCAACAACGGGCAGGATTGCGCACAGACGCCTAGGATTCCTTGAAGAGACCGGACAGAGTTCATCAAGATATTGTGAGGATGAGAGCTGAAAAACTTCACGAGTACATTGGCATAACATCTAGAGTGTACTCACCCGTGGCAAGCTGAGCCATTTGTTCTTCTCTATGAGCCTATTCAGCGAATCCATAGTGAGCTGATTTACGTTGCTGATTGAGAGTCGAGCAACGGGGCCATCCTGGTAGGAAAAATTAGATGTATAAAGTATAAAGTACAATATATCGCAATATTTCGTACCCCAGGCATATCGTTGAAAATAAGCACATTCTCACATTGTCTACACTTAATAGAAAGATCGTCTCGAATAGAAGCTATCTGCAGAAAAAATTTTTGAGATCCAAAATTATCAATATACCACAATTATCAATATACGTATCTGACAAACAAACCTCGCTAGATGGAGAAGCTAGATGTATGTACGCAAATCGAGCAAAATGTGAGTACTTCATAGCAGCCAAGAGATATCGCATGCGAGGTTCAGGAGCTGCTCCCAGAACAACAACGGAAATCTAAAAACGATAAGAAAAGATAGCCTCAAAGAGAGGTTTTACTAAGATTCTACAAAAAAAAAGAAGCAAATTTGAGAAAAATGGTCCCCATTCAGCAGTCATACTAGAGATGTAGGTTGTAGGTTATGTCAAAATAAAAAGATGCGCTTACAGACTCACACCAGTATTGAAAAACGCCTACCTTATTCGTCGGCATCCATTGATTCACAAATCTCGACAGACCGTCATGACTGCTGATCAGGAGCATGAACGTTCTAGGAATAACGTCGCGAGCAAAAATGCGAACATCCCTAAAACGAAAGATAATTTATACGAGGTTTAGTTCTCACTTTGAACGACGACGCGGTGCTAACCGAGCATTCATCAAGAACATATCCGAACGATAATGCGTTACTCTGCCTTCCACAACGGCCACAATAGCTGGTAGACGAGATATGCGCAATTTCTCCAGCAAATTTCCATCAGTCATTGCATTGACTGACCCGATACCGTAACCTAGATAAAAAGATCATGATTGAGAAGTCTGAAAACAGTGTTAAGTTTACCTAATGGCTCAAGGTCTTCCGACACCGCTTTCCATTGCGGCTGCAGGCGGAAACACAATTGGCAGTAGTTAGAATAGGCATAAAGAAGGAACGGTTGAGTGTGACTTCTGCAAAAAATATTTCAGTAATCATTTTAGAAAGTTTGATAATAAAAATATACTTTTCTAAGATAGAGTACGTGTACTGTCGCAAGGAAATCCTTTGCTTGCCAAAAATCCCATCTTCATAGCCTCCAAACCCGCCGAACTATAAAAAAGTCATAATTCCAACAAAAAACGAACTCGCGGTACGGTTCGCTTACAAAGTGCTCAAAACCAGCAAATCCATTGAACTGTGGCCCAGAATGTGGTGACTCATCAACAGCGCCAAATTTGTCAAAACGCTCGCGTCTCAGAGGATCGGAGAGCAATTCATAAGCTCGACTAATAGCTACAAATCTTTCCTGAGCTTCCGGCGAGGTATTTTTATCGGGATGCCTGTGGATAAACATAGCAGCTTACATAAACGGATAAATCGACAGACATAAACTGCAAATTGCAACTGCATAAACTGCAAACTTACCATTCTTTGGCTAACTGTTTATAAGCTCTCTTGATCTCTTTTATTGTGGCTCTTTTCGATACTCCCAGAGTAGCATACGGATCACGAGGGTAGTCCGACGCAAGCGTGAGACCGATTAAAAAAGCCCATAACGCTACATATAGACGCATTTGAGGGCTAGGTTGTTAACCAAGTAACTTGGACACTCAGAATGTGTCTAAAGCAGTACTGTTATATAAAGGACCAAAAAACTTATTCGGACGCGATCGGGTACATAAAAAAAACTACGACGATCCAAATGAGCCTAAATGGATTTCTTGTTAAAAGAGCGAACTATCTCACAATGGAGGGTCGCGAAGTCAATGTCTGATCTAACTGCATACCATCAAAAACAGCTTGGAATGCTGATTACAAATCTGCTCCTTATTTGCAGAACGCTTTTGAGGAAGAACTTATGATTATTTCCCGAGCACGAAAAACGAACTAATGGCGGGGATGAAATCAGTCTTATTGCCTTTCTGAACGTCGAATGGAGAAATATGTGCTGATACGCTAGCAGAAGGAGTTCATTGCATGAAGTGTTCTGACCCTTCCCCCTGCTTCATTTAAGGTACAGAGGGGTTGTAGCGATTGATTTCATCCCGGCATTTAATAATTTCTTATCCAGAAACGCTCTGCAGATAAAGGAAGCAGATTCGAAATCAGCGTTCCAAGCTCTCACCAATGATATGCAGGTTATGGTGATCAGCCACTTCGACTTTATGACACGCGCTTGTTAGAATTAATTATTATAGAGGTAAGAATAGAATAATTCAATTGGCCGGAATGGCAGCAAATCAAACATACACGCCGCAATACGAGGATTAAATGATAAGACTGCACAACGTTGAAAATAAGTTGTGAAAATAAAAAAAAATGGAACGTTGTTACTTGCATTAGATTATAATATTTCCAAGGCCCATCTGTAAACTTCAAAAGTTTTGAGAGGAAGAAGTAAGAACGGAAAAAGAAATGGACGTTGAACGAGAACTGAAAGAGTAAGGAAAAGGATTGTGCTAGATTGAACTCGATTGTTCCAAGACGTTCGCGAGTTGCCCTTATCCACTTCACGGCGATCGATATATCCTCCAACGCTCGCCGCGCTGGAGAAAATCCGAACTCTGCTCCAAGTTTCCAATTTACACATCACCATCCATCGAAGTTAAGCTAAATCAAGCTCTAAATATCCAGGGTGCCATTGTCAAAAAACGCGCTTTCTGAATCGAGAATAATAGCCAAATCTTCCAAGCAACATATAAACTCTCCAGCATATTTTTCTGCTGGATAGAACTGAAAAAATTCAGAAACTTTGCATGAATAATATTACCTTCGTTTCCAAAACTTGAAGTATGAGAGTTACTCCTAAGCGTGTTTTCTTGTTTGCCAGACTTTTATTTGCACTTACTATGATCTCTAAAGTGTAAGAATGTGCCCGCAATCACACCAAAATTCTTAAGGGGACATATTGCGACTTCGCAAATAAAAGTAAGAGAAGAGTTGGATTTCCGAACAAAAAGTGTGACAAGGATAAATCGGTGAATTCCGCAAGATCAAAGGATAAATCGGTGAATTCCGCAAGATCAACACATAAAGTTTTAGCAAACTCCACCACAATGCAGCGCATCAGACATCAAAAAGAATGCATATGAGACATCAGGAAACTACCATTAAGTTATCGGGAAGCTTTATTATAAACAAAAGAAAAACAAATTATCACATGCAAAGACTAAACATTGTAGCCAATTTCAGGAAAGTCATCACGGCATACTATTTGCACCCGAATCAACCGGCTTCACAAAGTAAAGGAGTGTAGCGACAACACCGCATAAGAGCGATACTAGGCTGCATATAAGTAGACTGCTACAAAATATTTACAAAGTAGAAGTGATTATTACTCTGGAATATTTAGAAGAGATGTAGTTGACTAGAACGAAGAGAAACAAAGATAAATACATTGAACAAACCACGGAAATAACTACAGCTCTAAGAAGAATTTTTCTTTAAACAACGCTCGTGAGCACTGGAGCACAAGATTGGGAGCTGACCCAATGTGATGTAGCTCCACCCGGGTGAAAAATGGTGTGGCAACGTTGAAAGCGGTGGCAAACTGATGATTTGCCTGAAACTTTCCTTTTCAGGCAAAAAGATAAAGATCTAGGACTGAAACAAGGGCCCACCTTAACAGCTGCGGCTTCCTTTAAGGCAGTGATGCGACTATTAAGAACTGGTTCGTTTTCGGAAGCTCGGGGTAACTGCGACTCGCCCATCATCTGTTGTGTCAGGTACAACTCCAAAATTGTCAGCACAGCACGAAGACTGAAGAGCAGAATAACCATTATGAAGAGATAGGGGGATACTACAACAAAGCTGTTTTTAGCGGCTTACCGAGGAGAATGTGCAGTCTTTTTGCTGGTGATCAAATTTGTGATAAAACTCGAGTCGTCCTTAGAAGCCTTAAACACCTCAAATTTGCGACACAAGCTGCCTCAGCGGCTTTACCTTATTTAACCATCGCATAAATGTTGGTAAACGGTCGTCCAGTATTCGGCCAGGGTAAGTTTGAGCCGATAGAACAGAATCTGCTATCCACCGCACTTCCTGCCAGATAAGAAGCAGAAAAGATGCTTCATCCCAAACATTCCTAAACACACGCATACGGTATGATATTCCAAACTTGCATCTATAACACTACTTCTGCAAAACAAAACTTTTCTATTGACGAAACGAGAAACTTACTTTGGCTTGATACTTGTGATGAATGTATGTAGGGCTGTAGCAGTACCATCGTCTGGTGATGTAAATCTCAGAAACCATGCCGTAGTGAGCATGAGCGGATGAGCTTTATTGCTACTGCAAAGCTTGGACTTACACAAGAACGTCTGGATTACAGCGCTCACCTAGAAACGCTCAGCAGATAATCTTTGACGCTCATCGTCAAATTATTTGGACACTGTGCCCACTGCATGAGAGTCGTCCACGAGGTCGAATGCCCTACACATGGAAATTTACAGAGTCAAAAGCCTAGCCAGCCTATTAACAATTATATAATTTACTGTTGAAGTATATGTACAGTGTCTTCTCCATGACCTTCAAAGCTGTGGGCAACTGATCTGCGTTCAATGAGCCAATTAGGGTATTGAGAGAAGTAAGTACCAAAGAAGACTCATGATTGGCGTCAATATATGCAGTCCAAGTGGTCACAAGGGCTTCTAGAAGAAGAAATAGCCTAGCGAAGTGGGAAATATGAGATTTAGAATAACGTGTTGAAGGCAGCGTCCAGGCAAATCTGGGCCTATGGAAATCTCACTTGGAGGGTGATCTTGGAGCCCCAACTAAGCCATGCCCAAACGGCAGCTCAAATGGTGAACTCACAGTTGAGATATTCGTCTCCAAACTGGACCCCGGCATCGTTCGCATGGATTCATGGCGCGAAACGTGTGGGTCCTCGCGCGAAACTGATGTGTCGCGCCATGAATCCATACCAATACGATCCAAGGGACCTGGAGGAGAATATCTCAACTGTGAGTTCACCATTTGAGCTGCCGCTTCGACAGTGTCTTAGTTAGGGCCCAAAATTACTTTCCACATCAGAACCCCATATGTCCAGATTTGCCTGGACGCTGCCTTGAAAGGCAGTGGGTCGGCCGAATGAGACCCATGGCAAAACAAGGTCACAGGGTAGGAGCCCCATAATGGAACCTATGGGCCAAAGTTCGATCTTTCTCTGTCACTTCTAACCCCCCCCCCCCCCCGAAATTGCAAAGCGAAAGCAGCGCTCATCTCCTGTCCTCTCCGAACCCGCCCACCTCATGAACGAGTGAACGCAAAGCCCGTCATGGCGAAGACGCGGAGTCGTTGCGGGACCTCATGCTTATAGCATTGCGGCTGGCGCTCTGAGCGCGGAAGTCACTCGTCCATGGGGTGGGCGGGTTCGGAGAGGACAGGAGATGAGCGCTGCTTTCGCTTTGAAATTTCGGGGGTTAGAAGTGGCAGAGAAAGGAACTTTGGCCCATTGGCCCATAGGTTCCACAAGGTAGGAGCCCCCATAGGTTTATGGGGGCTCCTACCTTGTGACCTTGTTTTGCCACGGGTCTCATTCTCCCGACCTACTGCCTTTAAGGACGCATAGAAATTAAGTACATAGATGCAAGGCAATAACACACCTCCAAGCTTAGCATCAGAGATTCTGCTCCAAAACGCTGTAAGTTCTCTGGCAACAATAGAGAATGCTCGTAAATTCTCTGGAAGAAAACAGGCATAGAAGAGACCACTACAAAATAAAGTTGATGAATGCAGAGCGTGAACACCTACCATGTTCTTGAGCAATAACATCAACATCAGATATCAACGAATTGTATGCGGCTGGCGCAGCAGTGGCACCTCCCCTAAGCACTAAAGCGCATTCAGTTCGTACCCAAGCTGTCTGCTTCAGCAGAGCTGTAGATGTATACGGCTCACGGACAACAAAGCAGCACATCTTTCGCCAAATCCTAAAAACAGAATCACAAAAATCCACCCCGACAATTTCCCGAAGAACAAAACTTGGATGACTCCTCACATCTGTATGACTGAGACAACATCAGTAGGATTCGTCAGTGAATCAAATGGCAAGCAAACAGCGACAACTTGTGCCAGATCTTCAACACGTTCTGGAGTAACAGTCGACCAGTCGCTGCGTTGTGACAGCATTTTGAGAAGATCAAGCAGAGAAGCACGAATCTTCAAAACAGATCAAACGCTCTGTTCAAAGTATACGCCAAGCCTTACCTTGATATGACTAGAGGGGTTCGAGCCGATTCGCAGCAAAACACTGAATAGATAAGATAGATACTGAGGTAGAAACTCGGCTTGAATCTAAAGTTGTTGCATAAACCAACAAGCAAAAGAATGCGATATTAAGGGAAGGACACTCTTGACTGAAACTTACGTGACTCGCTAGCACATCTTTCCATGACACTCTAACAATTATCTGCGCTATGAATGGTGCACAAAGAGGAGATCTAGCCAAGCAATCATCCATAGCCGCAAGACCTCTTTCAGATGGAAAGAATGAATGCCACGGAATCCTGACTAATTGCTGTTCCTGAAACCACAAAAGGTACCAGTACAAATACAAATCAAGCTCGCGATCATACCAATACAGCAAAGTAATGAGTAGACCCATGCGACAATGTTGAGAGCTTTTCATAGTAAAACTGCCATATCAACGACGGAATATTCTACAAACAATCCAAATGGACTAGACCTTCTACCTTCAGGAAAAAAATTTACCTGACTCCCCGGTTGGAGAGCGACATTGTGTGGCAAAGAATTAAGCAAATTCACAAATCCTTCAAGAACTATGTTGGCTTCAGTTTCATTCGAAGGTGAAAATGGTGGCATTGAGGATGATACTGGCGTAATAAGTGGTGAAAACACACTTAAAACGCGTTGGAAAACTTCGGCAAGATCTGCAATTGCTGGTTACCAGAAGCTCGAACTAGCAAGTCTTAATAAAGTCACCTCTCTGAATGACACTTGCAGGTGCTTCTGCTGGGAATGTTTCTCTGACAGGAGTGAAAAGGAAGAGCTGTGCGAGTTTGGTGACGGAATATAGATATCTTCCCCAAGTGGCGTACATCGAAGATAATCGTGATCGTGCATCATTGAGCCTTCTTGCCAAAAGCATGGAACATTCTTGTGCCTGAACTTTATAGCATTAACAAGAAGAGCACCAAAGAGTTCTCAACCTTCATTCCATTCAAGGAATATTCTGCTTTTGGCATTTCGTAGTTTTCCGCTCCCAATCGTTCCACAAACGTTTGCAGTAGCAACTGAGGGGTCTCCCCCGTATTGCAACCTTAAGGTGTGACTGTCATCAAAACTCTAAATATTTAGAAGGTACCCACCGTCAAGGGCGAGGTCCAAACCGGCCATAAAATTTGCAGGAAACGCGTGGAATACAAAAGTGATAAAATGCTCCAAACAAAGCACATGAAGAGGCGCATTCGAGTCGCTTTGACTAGCGAGATTTCGAAACGCTAGTGGCAGCAGGGGTGCAAACTGTTGTGCGGGGAGAGAAGCTGCCGCTTTGTCCATGCCCAGTCTCCCTGAAAACGGCAGAATGTCAAGTAGAAAGAGGATATTTCGCTGATCCGGTCTTACTCAGCAACTTCAATGCGCTCTCACTCCTCTGCGGATCGCGTACGGCTTCGGAGAGTCGGGTGTACGCTAAACACAGATCTGTAGAAGACAAGCACTCCGGAGTGAAAGCCTGAATCAATGGACACAATTATGGCAGTGCAAAGGCTACAAAAGGGAAGGAAGGGAAGTGACAGCACTAACTTCGATCAACGGATCTGCGAGCGCAAATCCTTCCAACACCAAAAGCATAACGGATATTTGTTCGGATGGCTGCATGCGTACAAACTCCTGAACGGCTATCAATCAACTCATTGTGTTTCTATCATGAACAGTACCTCAGCTAGAACACGAAGCGTGTTTTCGTAGGCAGCAGACGCAGCTGGGAACAGCATTTCACTACCAGTGAGAGAGGAGGTTACTGTCTTGAACAGTGCTCGTCCAGTCATTTGAGCGCCCGAGCTATGTGAAGACGAGCAAAGAATACTCAGTCGAGCCACTTGTCTGAAACATGATTTTGAAATAAATACGAAGAAAGAAGGCGGTTTAGCACAAATTACTCGCATAACTTGGAGGTTTTTTGTCAGGTTCATGACCGTTACAACTCTAGCTCTCACCTAGCGATATGCTCCATCGTTGCAGATGCAACAGCGGTCCTATCCAAAACAGCTGTGTGCAATTCTCCCAGAACTGCACTCCGTTTCTCTCTGTTTTGTGCCATCTCGGCGTCGGTTGTTTCGTTGAATTTAGTGCCGGTTACCTTTACAGAATTTGATCTAGATGTGGAAGAGCTTATGAACGAGTTCTTACCTGCGTAGCTGTATTATATGGATTAGTACAGCGGATTCCACACCGCAGCTGCACAGGAATTTGTTGCACGATAGGAACATGAAGTTTGGTCAAAAGATCCACATACTTCGCATCTTCAGTGGCTATGTTATCCCCTCCAGTCAGGTAATCTCTATAGATGAGAGAAAACAATACAGATGAAATGCTGACTGAAAGGTTAACTAACTCAGATAAAGTGTGTATATGTTTGATAAGTGGCTTTATCATCTCCATTACTGTGTTAGTCTGGAACAAAGCGGACATATCGATGACCGGAGCAGGTGGAAGACTTCGGTGAACTGGCAATGTGGGGAACGGGACTGCGCGAGATGAGCTAGGCCTAGAAGCATATCACTGACGGTTTTGAATTTCTTACAGCAACAGCCAATACTAACTTGCTCAGAAACTGTTCAGACACTTGGTGGACTGGCTCTCTACGTCCAAGATGACATGTTGAAGAGTACAGCTTAAGCAAGAAGGTTGAAGAAGAGAAATAAAGGTACAGTTTTCCATCCATATACTTCAACGAATGAGGGTTTTTGCTTACAGGGAAGCAAAGAAGTCGCAATTACTACACAGAAGGAGATGACAGAACCGAAAAACGATATGACAGCCGCAAATACAATAAGCCTAAGGAGAACGACCAGAAATGCCCGTAGCGCTGATCTCATGCAAAATGGATGTGTGACTCCCTGGCACTCCCCCTAGTCAAAAAGACTGAATCATAATCATACATAGATATACTGAGCGTTAAAAACTTCCAAGATTGCAAACACGGCACAAAACGTACTCTTTCCTCTTGCTGCTCCTCCTGCACCATCTTCCCATGATTTACAAAGTCCGTCCAGACGTTCTGAAGAAACATTAGGAAGTAAAAAAAGAGTGATTATTGATTCGCTATTATCGCTTGTGATAGGTAGGCAAAGAAAATCTTTACGATGCTGTTCAAGTACCCACTGTGTCATCCGCCAATATCAGCTGCAGTAGATAATCTAGATCAAATACAGAAAAGTCAAATCCCATCCGCGTGACATCATGGGAACAAAAGAGCCACCCATTTACAGCTTTTGCGAGCCTATCAATAGTTATTTGATGAAAAAAAAAACATAAAAACCTGCAAGGTTACCCTTTAGGATCCTCAGCTTCACTAAGTGTCTTTCTACAAGCCGCTAGGATTGATTCTGCTTGTGGTGTATCCAAGAGTCGCCTAGCAAAGTTGTATTTTCTCCTAAAACAAAGCATACACATCTGGAAAAAGCAACCCGGAGATAACGCACCCCAGCACAGTTTTCAATCGGTAGGCCTCAGTCGCCAGCCGTTGCAGAGCCAAAGGAAATACGGTGCTTTTCGGGCACATGGTGACAAACTCCGCCCATCGGTATACAGCAAGCCTAGTAAGCGGTAATGCCATAGATGATTTTGCTGCGGCTTTCTAAAAAGGTCCTAGACGCTTGGGAGACTTAATACCCAAATTACCCACTTTGACAGCGTGCTCTACTGTAGTTTTGTCCTTCTTGATTAACGTTTCATAGAGAAACTGGTAAAAAGTTGAATAGCTTTTGCTTTCCACCAGCAAAAGCAGATAGGTAGCCCATGGAGACACTCCATACAAAGTATTGCCAATTAACGGAGGAGGTGCTTGCTCAGATGTAAACATGGAAAAGATCCCCTTCGATCCTTCACGCCAGGTCACCATCATTTGCTAGAAATGCGATGCGAACTATAGGGACACATCCCAAAAAAACAAGAAAATCGGAATAAACCAAGTTATTATTATGTTGGCATTCTGTTCTGGAAGAAAGAGTGCTTTATTACCTGATAAGTATTGTAAATCATATCTGGAATCCCAAGCAAGTTTTTCGCATCGTTCATGAAAGCTATATGGGATATAGATCCAAGCACTTGCAACGTCGCCTAAAAAGAGATAAATTATTGCATGGATAGAAACAAAAAGCTGAGCGCACGTTATCGTTATTCCAAAGAGTCGGTCGACGAACGCAGAGGAGATCCACCCAAGAACGTAAATACATTCCAATGTCGTGAACATGTTTCGCATAATACTGTGTGACGAAGATATGGGCCCATAGATGAACAAGAAGAATGAATTTACCGAGATTGAGCTGCAGACCAGCCGCACAATCGGCGTTGGTGTTGAAGATGAACCCGTAAGCCATTGCACAGCATAGGAACACTGATCAACATGCAAAATACGTTCAAATAAGTCCATAAATCTAGAAAACCCGTTTGAATATTGATCTCACTTAGGTAACGATTCCAAGAGTATAGAGTGGGCCACACTTACGCCTTATTAGAACCAAAAGACGCAACTTTCGGATAGTGTTTCTCCATGAGTCTCGCTAATAGTACGACACAGGCAGTAGAGCAACCGGCTGCGACCAGATCATTCATTAAAGGCACACCACGATCCAAAAAGACAGAAGCACTAGAAAACAAAATCTGCATCATGAATCTAAATGGCTTTCGCTCCCTCAAAAAACCAAAAAAAATTGATAACAACCTTCCGAGACAACTTTGATCAACATAGATAAAGAAGGCAGAAAGATCATTCTGTGGCGGCGATGTACTCTCCTAATGGCAAATTGTTGGAGGAACTTCGAACATCAGCTCAATTTAGCTCACCTTATAATTAAGCTTGATTTTAATGAGTATATCCCAACAAAACTGATTAAATAACTGCTCGTGATCCGCCATTCGACTTGCTAACTTAGATATTTGTCGTATAGACTTTGCTATCATTCCATTCGAGTGCCCACAATGGCTCAGGTGCGCCTAAGTCATTTTATTATAAGGAACTCGTGCTTGATGCAACGCCTACCTTCATCACAGTTTCTGCAGAGATTTCATGAACTGCTGGGTCTAACCAAAGCCCATCTCCCGCTTCATTCGGTCCCCAGTGTAGACTAGATAACACTCGCCGAGCTACACGATTCGCCACATCATCTGGCGGCTGTAGTCAGGAAAAAATACTTTTGGCATACATGGTGGAGTGTTTATACCTTATTGATGAGCCATTTTCCTATCACACTTAGTGTAGCAGATGATAATTTACATCCTGACATATTTGAAGAAGCCAAAACGTTCACGGCATACTGACAAATGAGAGGTTTAACAAAATGCAGCACAGAAGGGCCTATCTCACATTATCCATTCGCGACATGCTTCGGTCTAGTACAGTAAGCAGTTGATCGAAAGTTGCAGGTCGTCTTGCAAGTAATAGGGACACAGCTTCACCTCCCACTTTGTAAAGAGATTCTCGAGTAGATTCATCGCAAAAACAAACCTGAAAACAAAAGATCGTTTTTCCTGCTGATAAAATGCGAAAAAGTACCTCTACTAATTCTTTGATCAGTCCAGTCGTGTCATTATGAGAAAGAGAGAAGATTGCTGCGAGAGTGTTTATGAGAAACACTGAGTCTAGGGAGCCAACCGCATCTATTCGCTCCTTCAACGAACCTGAAAGGCACAATGAGCGGCAATCTAGCGAGCCAGAAGAATCAAAGCCTCTGCAAATTCTAGCTTCGAATTACTCTGCAATCTCCTCAACGTGCTTTCGCAATGTGTTTCACTTTTAGGTCAATAATTATTCTGGTAGGCGTCTTAAAAGGGGTTAAGCAAAAAATCTATGTTCAGATAGAGGCCAACAGACGACAACCATCAAAACCCCTACTAGCTGTCAGAAGGAGGACCATGTAGCTTTCATCCCAAAACGACACGGATGAAGATTTCCTTGGCATAGACCCTGGCCAGACTTGGCTCAAAAGCGCCTAAATTTCTCTGATGTCTCTTCACTTTCTCGTATGAGGAGAGATGAGAGAAAGTGAGGAGAGTTTAGAGAAGTTCGGGCGCATTTGGGCGCTCTTGAGCGAAGTCTGGCCAGGGCCTTATACTCTTGAGTGACATCAGAAATGCAATATGGTAGTAGCAAAGAAGAAATTTGTCGAATAATGCTTTTGGAAGCTCTTACCAGTCCTATTTCTAGCTATGATTTCCGAAACTGGGATGTCGTAGACCTGCGAAACGCTCAACTTTTCTGAAGAACGCAAGAAGTACTCGCACCGAGCTCGGCAACTCTCTGACACGCAGTCGTATGGTAGATCAACTAGAAATTGCCATAATCCAAGCCTGAAAGGCAAGGTCCCTGTTAAGATTTGCATTGACATAATAAGAGGAAACAAAGATAGCCATTAGGAAGGGATACCCAGGTCTATTGGTTATGTACTGAAGAGCAAGGAGCACTATGCGGTCGACCTCGTTTTGCAATTGTATATCCTCTCCACGAGCTATCAAATTACGAGTAATTCGCCAGTGACTGCATAATTCACGAACACTTTGCCTAAAGAAATAGGCACAAACTGAAAAAGCAAAGAACTGGGAGATGAATAAACAAGCCTCAAACTATTTCCTATCTGCTTGCAAAATTGCTTGTATGTGGGGGCACAATATGTAGAAAGTCCAATGTCGAGAATCTCAAAAATAACCAATATCCAACTAAAACTACGAACAGAGCTAACCTTCATGAGCAACAGCTGGAAAGCAACTAATGCGACAAACTGATCTCCCTTATCTACAGCTGAAAACAGGGGTTGTTTGATTACAAAAAAAAAATGAGGAAAGAGAAATTACTTGTGGTGGAAAAGTAAAGATACGCTAGCGAGTAAAGCTCCGACACTGGAAGTTGATCCAGAAGACATGTTAGATCAGCTTCATTGATTGTGACTAATGAAAAATCACCCTAAACCCAGAATCGATTCGTAAGAAAATAATATTGAACAAAAGAAACCTCCTCATCATCTTCACTTAGAATGGCCCAAGTTGAGTCTTCAGTTTCAGATAAACCAATCTGCCGCAAAAATGTATCTCGTGCTCTTAATTGAGAGAACAAATTAATTGACGAAGATACATAAAGCAGACCACTTACGTAACCGGATTCATCAAATGTGACAGCATGGTGATGCAGTAGTCAAGCTTGACTTTCGGTGGTGTCGGCGCCTTTACAGATACATCAATTACGACAGCGTTATGGAACGACATAAACTACACCAAGAATTACCTGTATAAAAGTTTGCACAAAAGGCCCTGCCCATTCCGATATTGGTGATGGAAGACGCAGCAAGTGATTAAGAATAAACTGTGCATCCTCGCATTGACAAGACATATTCAAAACACACACCTACAACTGGCTTGCTCGAGAATATTTACCAGTATATGTCAAATGAATATACCAGTTCCCTCGCCCAACCAACGAGTGCATCGAGGAATCGCTTGGACAGTGCCGGAAACCTCATATGGAAGAAGATATCGGAAAGAGCGTTCAAAAGTAAGATTCTGCCGTTTGACGAAGCGGCAGCGTCGAGCACTTAAACCAACTTTAAGTACATCGGTACAAACATCTTAATATACTTACATGTTGGAGGACTCTGCAGTGACAGGCCATTCTCTTCCATGAACTGTTGATTAATGGAGATTACCAACCATTGCACCTATACATTAGAGGTGTCAACGAATATATCAAATCGAAACTTAGTTACTTGCAAAGCTGTAGATCGAAACTGGGATTCCTGACAAATCCGCTCATCTAGCATATGGGTTCGATTGGCAGCAAGCAGGTTCTTTAACTCTTCAACTTTTGGCATACACAAGACCGCTTTGTGGAAGCGACCCGTTCCTGAAGCATCTCTGTTCTCACCGCACTTGCCCTAAATAGAAGATAACTTTTATTGAGAAAGTATGTTGAAACCAAGTTTTCTAAGCTCAAAATGACAAGAAAAGAGCGAACATCGCGGTACGTCCGCTTATTTCTTAAACCAACCAGTCTTCCTATAACACATACACAACATATAAAGACCCGAGCACCTCCGAATATTTATTTATTTATTTATTATTGAATATCATCTATCAAAGTTCAAAGTTTTGCGATAACTACAGCGGAGCCTGCATGAGTTGTCAAAAACATGTTAGAAGCTTTGGGATCTATCATTTGCATTTCATTGCCAGTATGTAGCTGATGAAACATACAGATTTACGTTCAATTCCACATTTACATTTATCCATTGCATAGATGTAGAAGACAGACAGGATTGAACCCGTCAAACACAGAAATATGCTTACCTTAGTCTCAAATGTCTGTTGCTGCATCACCCAGGTGTCCCGGAGACATTTGGTCAAGTTTTCTGTGTTTTCCTTTTCGCTGACTTCACTGATGCCCATTTGTTCACTTAGCCTCTTTAATCGTTTCAACAAAGGGAAAAGAGGACCCGCTGATATCAGATTATTCTGCAAACACGAAGCATTTGATGAGATTCAACACGTTATTAGGCTCACTATATAATAAGAGTTGATTAGGAACATTATACGAGGAAAAAAATACCTGTACAAATCTGTCTACAAATTCATCACTAGCCATATATAGTGGGTTGTGGTAAAATGCAAGCAGATTCTGCTCCGTAAGAAGACCATGTTTATCCTTTTCATAATGAAGTTTGGATAAAGAAGGATATAAAGGTGGAGCATCAACAACTTGAGGTTCATGATTAATGGATATGTTCTAAAAACCAAAAATTAAACAAATTTTGCGACAAACTAATGTTACCTTCTCCAAATACCCTTTCGAGATACTTTCATAGCGCGGTGGTGCCACGGTGCTCTTGTACGACGAAGTCATGGCGGCCTCAGAAAGTTGTGGAATGGTCGGGTAATTAACTGCTTCGAATATGGGTGTCTTCGCCGGTAAAGATGATGCCTCCACGATTGGTGTCCTTAAAAACAAAAAGTGATATACCCGTGACTCACTAACATCAGTTGACTAACGTTATTTCGCGAAATACATAGTGACATGTAATGATTCAGCAAAGATCACACTTTTCTTCCACAAAATGGCAAAGGTAGCCCTTTACAATCCAGACAAGGCTACAAATAAGTTCAGCAGGTGCTTGCAAAAGTGATGAAAATATGTAAATCGCGGCCACCCCATTACATAAACGAGCCAAAGATCGATGAGCTAAATCACATTAAAACTTGCCGTTCTTCAGGCTCTTCAACCACTCCATTTTGGGCATTCTGAGAAAAATCAACCTCAGATGGGCTTGCAGTGGCTGCGGTGGTGTCCTCTGAAACCGCGGATGTTGTTGGCTCCTCCTCGTCGTCTGTTATCTCTCTGAAAAATGAGAATATTGATCAAAATTGCATAGAACCTGCATGTGTCAAAGTAAGGGGAATGAAGACTCGAAAGGTCGGCTTGAATTTCTCCGTACATACAAATGTCTCTCAAGACCTAGAAGATCATGCTCCTCAACCAAGCCTTCACCACTGTTTCATATATATTGAGACTTCATTCTAAAGCTTTTTTAGCCTTAGTAAAAGAACCAAAATCAAAAAAAAAAACACTGCGGCCCCAAGCTTCAGCGACATGGAAGTGCATCGCATAGTTTTTTCTAATATCTAATTTTGACGAAACTGTTTCGATACCTGTTCTCAAGATGCACAAGAGCTGTTGAGATCTTGTTACATAATCACCTCATTAACAGATTAGTATATACACGCCATTTTCGGCCAATCCACTTCGCTAATAGTCAAATCACCGATTAATGACGAGGGTAAAGTGGATCAAGTTTAGCCCCGAGCATAATTCATGCGATTTGGAAACTGTCAGATGTCTTGAAACTCTACATTGGAAGGCTAATATAGGGTGTACAATTTTCGTAATCAGACTGGTCGCTCCATCCTTGTATTGAAAATGCGCTAACGATGAGTTATAAACATACGGAGTATTACCAAACCACGTCGCGACTGAAATCGCGTGAAGTATGTACAGGCGATTCATCGCAAGCAGAGACGAAGCGACGCTGCGACGCTGTCGGTGTCTCGTTGATGCTTACTTTGCGTGATATCGCTGTGTCTACCGTAAGCCTACATCCAGTAATATACTGGAAAAATCATGACTGTCCAACGGCGAAAAGCTACAGTACCTTGTCTATCTCCTTTGACCACTTTTGTTCATTCTCTTTCTTTAATTTCGCCCCATCATCCCTTTGGCGCCGCGCGTATGTATGGGCTCCAATTTTAGTGGCGGCTCACGCACGCATACAAGACGCATAACGAGATGGACAGCAACCCGCTCATCCAAAACACACGTTGCAAGCGCAAAGGTTAGTCGCGTGAGATACGACGCAAATAGGGATGCCATCGGAGCTTGCAGGAGTATCAACACTTCCCTTTTGGGCTGATAGCAGGTCTTATGAGTGGGGTGTTGATGATGTCTCGAAATATCCTGCATCGATATTTATCGAAATATCGATTAATAATCTGAATGCAGGGAGCAAATCACTATTTTTGACCTCACATGGGTTGAATCCCGATCTGCTGATCCCCGCATGCATGTGGCCGAGCAAAAATACATTCCTAGGGTGGCCCTGCTACATTAGCGCGGGGCCAGCAAGAGGAAGGAGATTGAAATACAGGCTGGCCTGCTCGTCCGGGAAGACAGGGTCGCTGCACACATTGGAACCTGGCCCGCGCTAGCATCTCAGACAGTCGAAGGGGATATACCTCCAAAGCGAAAATGGGAGGGTCCCGGGCTCTGCCCAGCGGGGGTTCGCCACAAAAAGGCGAATGGGACCCCTCCCCGGGGCTCGCAAATCTCTGCTCCAGGGGTGCGCCAGATTTGGAAGAGCCCCCGGAGCACCAAAATGGGTGAATGGGATGGCTCCGAAACACGAGTAGCAGACCTCCGCCATTTGCCCTCCAGAGGTATTCCTTCGACTGTCTGAGAATGGCGACGAAAGCCCCGGCAGGGGTTCGCAAGAAATGTCTAAGTTATTTAGTTGTTTCCTTTGCTTTTTTCGGGCTGCAAACTGGAAAGACTAGGAGCTTGCTGCAACCACTGATTGACCTGGTTTTTCGTGCTACAAATGCTAATTTTGCCAGAAAAAGCTCTCACATTTCCTCAGGCTCGGGAGTACTGGCCCTCACGGGTTCGTGCTGTGGAACATCGGGCAGTCGTAAACCCATAACCACTGCAGGTCGTGAAGGTATTGGAGGAGGCTCTTGTGCGGTTGTCCTTTGCTTATTCTTCGGCTTCTTTGGTTTGACTGCCTCCATCTAAAAACATAAATTTAGTGAAGGATAGCGGTAAATAGACTTTTAACCAAGTTTGAAGAGCAAAAAAATTGAAGCGATAGAATTACATCAAATATCTAGGCGTGAGATCAAATGTTGCAGCATCCTGAAACTGACGCGACGTTGCACTAGAATGGAAGGTGCCGGATATTATTTACAAAGTAAGTTGATGAAAGATCCTCTCCGTTTGGTTAGCTTCGATGTTCGTACTCGCCGTTCTACTCTTGGAGCTAGTTGAAGTTGTTTTGATGATGACAGATATCACCAGTGGACAAATAGTAGAAGGTGGGCTTTGTAATACGCACTTCAGACGGCATTTCATCACTGGAAGTTTCAGGATTTAGTAACGAAGCTTTGGCTTTACTAACCATCGTCATTGGAAGCTTTGTAGCATGTGCAATTAGTTATTTCATAAAGTTAGTTTTCTTTGATTTTCCGAAAGCTTGTTCGTTGCCATAATACTTTCAGAAATAACAGAGCTGTTCGTATCCATCCTGATCTAGTCGGAGATGTACAAGGTTTTCGAGAATCATTCGTTAGAGGGCAAAGTGGTCGCGTCAACGAGGCAAGGGTGAGTTTTTGCTCAATCTCTCGCGAATTATGGAAGGCTGCGACGCAACTTGTACGAACATGATTGGGCATTAATGAATCCTAATACTGAGTTACACTCTAATGCTCTTCCTTCCAGTACTTTTTCATGGTTTCCAAGACTACGGTTTTCCTCACTTCGTTGTTCATTATTCATTCAAATGAATGAACAATTTTCGCAAAATTAGGTTTTTTGCGGAGATATTTTACGTGAGGGGTGCGATTTTCAGCTATTTTTGCCAGATGGGCATCCAGTAAGACACAGTTATGTGTACAGTTTTTCGTTCATGTTCCAAAGATATGTCACACAGTTGCATAGGTTGAAGGTTCAATCTGATATCTCAATATGATCTTTTAATTTAAAAGTTGAAGATCAGAAGCCATGTTAGTGGCATGAACATTTTGGTCAGTTTTCCAACAACAGAGTCTTAGCGATTGAGTTCTAGTGAGGTAGTTAGATGAAGCTTTGTCTGTCTTTTGAGAAAGCTATAGGCCTGCAGTGGGGATTTGTGTTAAAGGCAGCGGCTCGGCAGATTCTCGACTTGAAGTTTTTTTGCTTACCTGGGGTAATCTGAGGCGAAAATCCACCTTGAAGAGCGCAAAAATGGCAAAAACCACCATTTCCTGAGGCCTTCCATTTTGAATTTGGACGATGAAGTACGTCCCGCCATGGTTACGATGCGCTCATACTGATCCGGGACTTCGGGAACAGTTCCAGCACCACGCTCACTTCGAGCGTTGTACGGAACTGTTTCCGAAGCGCAGCCTTAGCGGGGCAGAATCTTTGCAACCCTCGCAGTTATAACATTGCGGCATGCCATACTCAGATAGTGGGAGCGTGCGGCGCACGCGCGTTTATGGTCAATGCGGCAAAGCGCGTGCCTTATTTGTGGGCGTGTCCGGCACTACGCCAAACACGTGCCATCCTAGACATTTGGTGCGTGCGACGCGCGTATTAATGGCCAACACCGTGACCCGCGCGCTACGTTTACCCTCGATATCATCCCATATGTCTTCCCTCAACATGACGTGGATTACGTGGCTTGATGAGGCGCCGCCTCGCCTCGGGCTTGCGCCACGTTGCGTGCGCATTTTCGGCGTGATGTGGCAACAAGAAGAACGTGGAAAAGCCTGCGCCACGTTGTGTTGAGCGCCACGTCGCGCCAAATGATGCGCTCGCAACGTGGCGCAAGCCCGAGGCGAAGCGGCGCCTCATCAAGCCACGTAATCCACGTCATGTTGAGGGAAGACATATGGGATGATATCGAGGGTATGTTCGATCTCGCCACCCGCGCGCCTAATTTTGTAGCACGCCGCGCGCGTGCCTTTATACTCTACCCGTGCGGCCCGCGCGCCTGCAATTATCACATGCTGTAAGCACAAGGGATACCCGCGCAGTGTACGACGCAGTGGTCAGGGTGCCTCATCATTCAAGAGGTAGATATCATCGTAGTGTATGAATAGTCGTAGAAGTGGAAGTTGTTTTTTGCTTCTAAGCGTTAGCCTTCGGTAGCATCGCAAATGGATGCTGTATCTGAATTTTCGGATCCAAGTACGAATTCATATGTTTTGGCGTATGAAGAGTGAAATTCACTATCAAGACCTGTGGTATACAGCGCAATGAAAAACTGAAAAAATGCAGCCATCCGCGGGCCAACACCAGCGGCGCGGCATCCAATGTCCCGCCACCCGCGCACTGGGTGTTGCGCCACCGTGTGACTGCACGCCGCTGCCCGCTCCAACTGTCTGAGTATGCCTTCTCTGACGGATCGGGGAGAATCGCAAGCTCGTCCGCGCGTATTAGGATGGCTTGCGCGCAACGGGTTTAAGGGCTTTTCTAGGCAAGGGCAGCATGCTGTGCGCTCGGACCTGCTCTGTTCTCATGTTCGGAGTGCAAGCAACCTTCCATGTCAGATTTTCGGGAAGTTCGGTTCCGAGCCTTTAAAGGCAGCAACTCGCAAGAACCGAACATCCCAAAATTTTGACATGGAAGGCTGCCACCCCACATATGGAGAACAGAGCAGGTCCGAGCGCACAGCAGCTGCCCTTGTCTAGAAAAACCAGTTACGCGCAAGCCATTCTAATACGCTCGGACGAGCTTCGATTCTTCCTGACCTTCAGAGAAGGCATGCTGCTTGCAATGTTATAACTGCGAGGGTCCAGCGATTCTGCCTCTCTACTCAGACAGTTGGAGCGTGCAGCGCGCGCGCAGTCACACGGTGGCGCAACACCCAGTGCGCGGATGGCGGGACATTGGATGCCCCGCCGCTGGTGCTGGCCCGCGGATGGCTGCATTTTTTCGTTGCGCTGTATACCACAGGTCTTGATAATGAATTCCATTCTTCATACGCCAAAATATACGAATTCGTATTTGAATCCAAGAATTCAGATCCAGCATCCATTTGCAATGCTACCAAAGGCTAACACTTGGAAGCAAAAAACAACTTCCACTTCTGCGACCATTCATACACTACGACGTAATATCTAGCCTCTTGACTGATGAGGCAGCCTGACCACTGCGTCGTACACTGCGCGGGCACCCCCTGTGCTTACAGCATGTGATAATTGCAGGCGCGCGGGCCGCACGGGTAGAGTATAAAGGCACGCGCGCGGCGTGCTACAAAATTAGGCGCGCGGGTAGCGAGATTGAACATAAACGTAGCGCGCGGGTCGCGGTGTTAGCCGTTAATACGCGCGCCGCACGCACCAAATGTCTAGGATGGCGCGCGTTTGGCGTAGTGCCGGACACGCCCACAAATAAGGCACGCGCTTTGCCACATTGACCATAAACGCGCGTGCGCCGCACGCTCCAACTGTCTGAGTAACCATGGCGGGACATGCTCCACTCGTCCAGATTCAAGATGGGGGGGGGGGGGCCTTGGAAAATGGTGGTTTTTGCCATTTTCGCGCTCTTTAAGGTGGATTTTCGGAATTAGCGCCTCGAATTACCCCAGGTAAGCAAAAAAACTTCAAGTCGAGAATCTGCCGAGCCGCTACCTTCAAGCCCCCTCCCCCTTCCTCCGAGAATGGGCCGCAAATTTTTTAATTTCTTGCAGGAGTTTTATAAATGTGCGAATTTGTTTCTGAAAACAATTGAAATGCTCTTTGGTTGTCCCACAAATTCAGAAAACATCCAAAATTTTTCCGGAAACCTGGTCAACGTCAATTCCAACAAGATCTTGTCCTCCACCCCTCGTACGCAACTAACATTCAAGAATATGAATCATATCCCGTTTGTAAACACATGAAGTGAATGTCTTCCTGAATCTTGCCCGCGTTCAAGTGGGAACGGTCAGGAGGTACGATCGGCGCGAATTTTTTTGCGAAGCGACGCCGCAATTCGCTTCAACCAATACAACAGAAGAATTCCATGTGCAATGTTACTTATGGCATCGAGTCATGTATCTGCCTCTACACCATCCCTTGATTTTGTCTCCGGGATCGCTGATAGCGGGGAGCTCCATGGGTCCTAAGATTTAGAAGCGGCGTGGGCGGCAAGGCGACCGTCGCGCGCGGCGTACCGTCTGAAGTGCAGCCCGTTGAAATCAGGGTTTTCGATGTGATTCAGTTGCATCATTTAGCAGGAAAACTGAAGAAGTCATAGTATTTTGATAGCTCGCAGGCATTCGAGATCAGGTTGCTTTTTCATGCCTTCGTAATTCTCCTTTCAGCGGGCAGCAATAGAACGTGAAGTTGGCGATCAAACGTGCCCAATCTGTTACGGAAACGCTCAATATCCTATACTCACCAATTGTGGACATGTGTTTTGCTGTAAGCACTTTTTACAGTTTTTTTTCTCCCATCGCTCTATTTCTTCGCACATTCTCTACTCCGACGAGCGCAAATTACGCTTTAGGTGAATGTATAATGGGCTACTGGAGGCACTCTGCATCGCTCATCTCTCCCGTAAAGTGTGCTATATGTCGGACAGAGGTATAGGGCTGGAAATTGGCTTTTAAATTATTAGCCGTTCTTTGAATATAAATAATTTCTTCTCTAGGTCACGGTTCTTCTTCCGTTACGCTGGCCTCATGATGAAGAAAATAATGAGCTTAGAGAAAACAATATTGGCCTCAATGACTACAACAGAAGATTTTCCGGAGATAGACCTGTGTGTATTTATCGAAAATCTTTTTTTTGTGAATCATCTCTCTGTTGTTTTTCTTACAGTGGCTGGAATACTTTTACGATCTACCTGTACTGATTCCGTATGTAATACGCAACTTATTTGACTTTAACGGTCTCATGCTTATGTTCAGGTAAGCAGTTTTTGGCTCGGGTTTCTTACATGTCAAATTATCAAAGCTTATCAGATTACGTATATTTTTCATCGCCATCGGGATACTTGCCTATATACTGTCTCCTTTCGATATTATTCCTGAATCTGCATATGGATTCATGGGTGAGCAAAGATTCCCCGTAATCAAAATAAATAAGTGGATTTTTTTCCTTTTTTTCAGGTCTGATGGATGATATATTTGTTACCGTTCTGCTCCTTGTTTATATCGCAATAGCTGTTCGTCATTTCATGGCGCGTAGAGGAGAAGCGCCGCCGGAATGAGACTTACAGTGATGACCGTCTTATCTTTCTTTCAATGCTATGTGCACTTTTGATTTACAACGTGTTTACATAATTCGGTGATGATACGTGTAATCACAGTTCTGCAGCAGTACCGTAGGATCAACTAGGCTTGCATGAAACTCTTTTTTGTACTCTGCTTGTATATATCTTGACATAAATCTATATAAGTATTTGAATCAGCGAAGTAGTACTAAATGGTGTATAAGGCCTTTGCGGATTCGAGGTTCTAACACGGCGCTGGGAAGGCGCTCGCAATGGCAACTCTGGAAGCAACAAAAGATCAACGCTTTGATCCATTCAGAATACTGTTGTAAAGTTATTCCAGGGTCTGTAGAACTTCCCTAGCTTTAGAATTACTGTACTCCAATAGGTAATTACCACTCAGGTCCGGGCGCATTTAGGCAGTTGAACCAGACACCAGTGAAAATTAGGTCTATTGTGGGAGCATGGCTCACAAACATAAATAGCAATGGCGTACCGAGGGGGGGGCCCTCTGAGAATGGGTCGCGAATTTTGAAAGAAACTCACATGAGTTATGAAAATGTGCAAGTGACTTGTTTGTACTACAGATAATTTTTCGGAGTGCGTGGCTGACGCCACGCACCTTTATCAGGAAAATTTTTTTGTCGCCCCTCCCCCGAACGGAAATCCTGGGTACGCCACTGATAAATAATATGCAACTACAAATGGGAGAGTAGAAGGCTAACACAAGTGAGACTAGAACAGAGGGGGTTGCGGTCGCGGCTTCTTCTATGAGAAGAGCTATAATCCGTCGGCGGCGGCTGTTTTACACTTACAAGGGAAGGATACAAACATTAGTTGGCAACTGAAGATGTGATGTGTATTATTAGATGCGCCTTTGAGCGCTGATTCCAAATCTGCTTTCCTTTTTTGCTGAATAAGTTTCCGAAAGAAGTTTTGAGCGTTTGAATGTCCAGATTTGCCAAGCATTAAGTGGCTTAAAACCAGCGAAAAGCTCTAAAACAACACCTATGCGATATACACAGGCTTTGTTAATTCCTTGCAAACAATATACTCGACACAAAAATGATTTTCCACTTTCCCGTGTTTCTGTACAGCTTTTCGCCAATTATACATCTAAACCTTGACAAATATGGACATTTGAACGCCCACAACTTCTTTCGGAAAATTGTTCCGCAAAAAAGGTAACCAGATTTGGAATCAGCGTTCAAAGGCGCGTCTACCGATATACCCTCGATATCATCCCATATGTCTTCCCTCAACATGACGTGGATTACTTGGCTTGATGAGGCGCCGCCTCGCCTCGGGCTTGCGCCACGTTGCGTGCGCATTTTCGGCGTGATGTGGCAACAAGAAGAACGTGGAAAAGCCTGCGCCACGTTGTGTTGAGCGCCACGTCGCGCCAAATGATGCGCACGCAACGTGGCGCAAGCCCGAGGCGAGGCGGCGCCTCATCAAGCCACGTAATCCACGTCATGTTGAGGGAAGACATATGGGATGATATCGAGGGTACCTACATCTCATCTTCAATTGCCGACTAATTTTGGAATCCTTCCCTTGTTAGGAAAATTCGAAATTTTTTCGAATATTCGAATATCGAAAATCGAATTTCTCGAATATTCGACTATCGAATATTACTGAAAATCGAAAGTTTCGAATTTCGACTATCCAATACTGTTCGAAAATTGAAATTTTGAATCGAATATTCCTCGAATATCGAATATCATTCGCTATTCGAATTTCGAATATTAATCGGTCCTCGAAGGTTATTCAGTTTTCGATTATCATTCGATTTTCGAATACTTTTCGAATAATCTATGTCAATGATACTGCCTATGAAAGACCAAAACATCTAAGAATTCATGTAAGTACATGTTTCATGTAAGTGTGAAGAACAGACACTCTTTAATGTTACAATTTACGATGAAAAGCGGTTCAGTGGTGACATGAAGAGACTTGAGAACCTATGAAGGTAGCAGAAAGTGGAAGACGGTCAAGAGGCGCGATTTCTCCGGTTGTCACATACTTAAGACTCCAATTTGGTGCTATGCGAGTCTTCAAAAATTACCAGATAAAGCGCATTAGCTTACTGTCTGCCTGAGGTCACCAGTTGCTGAGTTTCATGGTTTTTGCCGTAAATCGGAATGAAATATTTGAAAATTTGTTCTGAAATGTATTTTCATGAGTTTTTGACTTTCAAAATTGCTCTTTTGAATTTTTTCAAAGTATCAAGATTGAACAGCTCATGCAGCTATCTAATATATCTTCTTCCAAGTTCCATATACTTTTAGAAAGGTTGCAGAACACTTATTATGCGCTATTTGGTGTCCAGCTGGCGATAAAAATCGCGCCTCTTGACATACATACACCCGCAGAAAGTGAGGACACAAAATCAGTTGATAGATGGAGAATAAATTGTGTATTACACAACAGAGACCTCTTCGGAAACTGTTCCAGACTCATCTAGTTTTGCGACTTCCGGGACAAAAAAGACCCATCTCCGACGAATTCCTCCTGCCCCTTGAGGCATTCCGCGGCGTTCTCGGCATACGCGGCGCTTTCGGCATTCCGCGGCGTTTCCGCATTCCGCAGCATTTTCGCCCGGAATACCGAAAACGCCGCGGAATGCCTCAAGGGGCAAGAGGGATTGGTCGGAGATGAGTCTTTTTTGTCCTGAAAATCGCAGGGTTTTTGACAACTACCCAAGTCGTATCAAATAAGAATACTAGTGAGTCTTGTTTGTCCAGAAAATCGCAGCGTTTTTGACAGCTGCCTAAGTCGTATTAAATAAGGACACTAGTGAGTCTTGTTTGTCCAGGAAGTCGCAGCGTTTTTGACAACTTCCCAAGTCGTAGCAAATAAGGAAACTAGATGTGTCTGGAACAATTTCCGAATCGAAAGAGACCTCTGTTGTGTAATTCACAGTTTATATTCATCTATCGATTGGTTTTGTGTCCTCACTTTTTGCTCTCCAAATGAATGCTACGAGAAAGCGACGGTCTACGCTTGTTAATGAAGACTTGCTATGTAACATAGATAGAGGAACAGCAACGATTAGGTCGTTTGGCAGAAATCTGCTGTTGAGAATGGACATGATTTCAGATAAAGTGCAGTGTATCTCTCGATAGAGGGGGGGGGGGGTAGAAAGAAGTCGACGGCCTACGTCGATTCCCCTTTTCCTAACAAGGGAATGGTCAGAAATCGAAGTGGCTAATCCAGACAGAATGCATACCGTTAAATGCCTCTTAAAGCTGACCCTAAATCTGTCTTCTTTATCTGCTTATCGTTTTTCTGGACGAAGCTATAAGCCATTAGTATTTTGCTAAGACATTATGCGTAAAAGTAAAAATTTGGCTATACAGAGCCAAGTTCGGCTTAATGCTGGGCCAAAACATGCAACTAACTTACTTAAAATTCTCAAAGCCTAAAGGTGAGCTGAAACTGCAACAATATGCTCAATTTCACAGTTATTATGTACGATTTTTTCACAATAAAACTGACTTGTAGCTTCATCCAAAGAAGCGATAAGCAGATAAGGAAAAAAGATTCGAAGTCAGCGTTTTATACTGCATGGAATGGTGTACAGCTTGCTTGGTTTGGCCACTTCGACTTCTGACCATTCCCTTGTAAGCTTTTGGAATGGTATATATAGGCACCGTAAAACCTAGTTGCCCGCGCCATGCCTTGAACACCAGCGTAAGCGAGCGGTCGTCGCGAACGACTGTCGGCGTTCACTGTATTTCAAGAAATCTTTCTTTAACTTTCATGTTGTTCTCGTCAATGCAAGGTATCATCGGCTCCCAGATTCCTGTGGAGGTGGAGTCTTGCCAACTCACCGCGTGGCGGTTTTTGCTAGCGAGAGATTACGGAAAGCAATGCTATGACGTGGAGGTTTAACAAGTTTACATGTGTTATCAGGCAAAGTCTGCAATACACCTCCACACGAATCTGAGAGCCGATCATATATCTTGACGAAAGCCCCCTTCAAAAGTTTAAAAAAATATGTGTAGAGAGGGTGCGCGCTCATTGTCCCTCGCAAGAAGCCTGTAGCGCTTCGGGACCAAACGTTTCAGCCGCGCCGCGCGTTGGTGTTCAAAGCGACGCGTGAGTCGGATTTTACGGGGCCTGTAGATTGCTGAGCGAAAAAACTTGCCAGTTTCCAAAAAATGGGGTGGAGATATTTACCATCTCCCAGCTCCTCGAATGTATTGGCTTTTAGGGGAACGGCCATAGGTTGTCGGTGTTGTCGATGTTGTCGGGGTTGTCGGGGTCAGAGACAATTAGAGAGCGCGCGAAACGTGGAGGCTATCATGAGGTCCTACAACGACCGGCAACCTCGGCAAGTCCGACAACACCGACAACCCCGACAACATCGACAATACTGATAACAACACCGACAATCTATGGCCGTTCCCTCATAGGTCACCGGAGCAAGCATTTTTTCAAGCCGGGAAGCTCGATGCGTCAACAAGCTATATACCATTCGAAAGCTGAGATTATGAAGAATCGACCTAGGTTGTCGGCTTTTTTCTACCTCTTCTTAGCTTTAAGATATGATGGATTTATCTGACCGATATATCTACTGAGTCGCTTTAGCTGACAAAAAATGCATTTAAATCCCTTCCATTTTATAAAAAAGTAATCTTACTATCGTAGTCATTTATTACTCAAGGTAATCACTGCGTATCACACTGAGCTGTTTTTGCAGCCTTTAGCAAGACCTTTTTGGTTTTTACGAGCATCGACAACTTGGTAGACTTACCACAGATATAAACTTACTTATTAGTTGGTTTTTTTCTCTTCCAAGCAAAGGCGTCTATCTGTTTATCTATCTTAAAACTGCGACAAGCCTTGGGAAATCTTAGGACTTGAAAATAAATATGCTCAAAAAATTTTTTCCAAAAAACGCGGAAGAAAGAGGCAGCGAACAAGCATCAACTATTTAGGTTCTTGAAAAAGAATTCAAATGTTTTTTGACTCTTGTATTCGTTTTTGGAGTGTTTATATTTCCAAGCTATTTTTTTCTCGAATTTAGTTGATTTTTTATGCTACAGTGCAAAAAAAGCAACTACTGTAATAATTCTCATTGTGACTGATAGAAATTCTTCTTTTCATGGAATACGTGGTTGTTGTGTTTCACAACTGAGGTGAATCTCCAGTAGCTTTTTGATCATGATGCACTCTCAGACTACCTTCCCAAATTAACCTCAGGTGAAGGGGGTCATCCGGGTTCTGGCTCAAACGTGAGGTGGGTAAGATTCATTTCTCCTTCTATCGCAACTTATACCACTAGACGCACGCGTCTTGAAACATTAATTCCAAATCTGCGTTCCTTTTCTGCAGAGCTCCCAGGAAGAAGTTATGAGCCTTTGAAAGTCCAAATTGTCAAGCCTTATGGCACAAGATTAGCAAAAAACACTGAAAGTGGAAATCATTTTTGGATTAAGTATATGACTACAAGGCAGAAAACCTCCAGTATCACTTAGGTGTATTCGAGTAGCCTTTTAGCTAATTTTATGCCACCTAAAGCTTGACAAATCTTGATTTCCAGACGCTCATAACTTCTCAAGCTGTTCCGTACTAAAGGAAAGCAGATTTGAAACCATGTTCCAGGACGTTCACTGATTTACATCTCTTCTCATTTGCCAAGGTAATTTGTTATCCTTACTTTGTATATGAGAAAAACGGGACGAAATAGAGAATCATTGTATTCCGTGAAAGCCGTTCCCGATAACTTTTAAGTACGTCGCATTTGTGCCGGTTCCGTATTCACGACAGTTCGTTTCATGCGGTCTCGCTGACGCACCACTTCTGCTTTCCTCGCAGTCAAACCTTCTCTTTGACTGTGTTGTTGGTCTGTTACTTTTAAATGTTTTTCTTTTCGCAGTACTTTCATGCAGTGTACGTGAGATGTTCGCTAGGTTTCAGAATGGGAAATGACTCGTCCAAAGCGCATAAAGCGTCATCAAAAGGAGGAGTAGCTTCAACTTTGGGTATTTCTTCCATGCAAACTTTAAGAGCAATTCTTGTGTGTAAGCTTATTTTTAGGTATTCGTGCTGGTCCTTCACAGAGCACTGTTCAGCGACATATTGAGAATGCGAAGAAAAGTAGAATCCTACAGTTGAAAGGATGTGGTTTAAAAGCAATGCCACAAGCCCTTAATGAAGTCAGTCATTCATAAAATTATCATTGCAGAGTTACTGAACTCGTACATCTTTTGTTTAGCTCTATGAAGTTATAAGAAATTTGGAATTGAGTCAGAACAAAATCAAAGAGCTGCCACCAGATATAGGATCATTTAGAACTTTGAAACAACTTCATCTTTCCGAAAATGTTTTGAGTAAGTTGCTTCAAAAGTATTCTGGCTGTCCTAGAATTGCGACAAAACTAATTTCAGCCGAGCTACCTGACGAAATCGGCTCACTTAGCAATCTTGAGATATTGAATGTTCAGTCGAATAAGTTGACAGCAGTGCCGGACTCGATAGTGGGGTGCACATCATTGAAAACTCTCAATCTATCGGCTAACAATTTCGCTCAATTCCCTGTGCCTGTTTGCCATCTGATGTCGTTGGAAACGCTCAATCTTGCTCAAAACACCATAACGGAACTTCCTGATGATGTAAGTCGTTATAACAAACATTTGATGTAGTTCAAGCCTTTTTGTGCAGTTTGGGAAACTTTTATGCAATGCATGGGAAACTTTTATGCACTTTTATGCAATTTCTGCATTTTCATCCATGAAGGTGTCAAAATTTGAAAAACCTCATTTGAAATTTTTTTCAGATAAGCTCCATAAATGCTTCCGAAGTAAATCTGAACCAAAATCGGCTCAATTTTCTGAATGCTGATGCACTGGCTAAGGCCCCTCATCTCAAGATTTTGAGGGTTGAAGAGAATTGTTTAGCGAAGACTGAGTTCACTCCAAATTTACTTATACATTCTACCGTAAGCATAATCTCTCATTCTGGCAATATTTTCCAAGATCGCGAATTCCAAGATCTCCCCGGTTATGAAGAGTATCAGGAACGCTTTACGGCTACTCGACGAAAAATGTAGCAATTGTACTCATATTCATGAACTGCTACTTACATTGAACCATATCGCTTGCCAAATTGACATCCTAATTTCTATATGTTATCTTGCTTCCTTGATCTACTGACTTTTTGGATCTGTTTCTCTCATGTATCCTACGAATTTCTAGTCAAGGTTGTGATAAACGCAATATCCAGACAGCATAAATATTTATTATCACAGATTGTTTAATATTCAATATGAAACCTGTATCAAATGCAGTACAATATATATGACATGTAATTTAGAGCATATACTCGTTTTTCTCTTACTGAAAGTCTTGGTTAGAAGAGATCGGAGAATTGTTACCAAATTAGTAAGCAACCAAATGAGTACGGAAGGAAGTGAGCAAAGCAGATGGTCTGAAAGGTGCATGTGGCATGGAAGTGACGATTTGATGTGGGGGAATGACATAACATCTTACTCAGAAACATCACATCGAAATTCGTTCAATTTTCTAAACCTATTTTGCTTACCTATTTCCATGTTTTCATTACTTGCTTTTTGCCAATTCTAGTTGTATCCATGACATAGCCGCATGAATGTTTGTGTACACGCCAGGTTTTCCTTCTCGGCCACATCCAATGCCCCAACTCACAACGCCAAAGACTTCCCAACGACCCATGACTGTGCACATTAATGGTCCTCCAGAATCTCCCTGAATTTCAGAGTAGTTTATCGGGGGAAAGGAGTTTAACATCCTTCACAGGCAAGGCCTATATGAGTCAATTTTTTGAGAGCAGTGTTCAGTTTGTGGTGTCATATCCAATTTTTTTGAATGTTCAGATTTGTTTTCGTGATGTCCAAATTTTTGCATGCGATTAAAGGCACCGTCCACCCAAAGTGGGTGTTCACGAGATTCGATGGCATGTCAGTGTGGGCCCCCACACCCCACACTAGGCCAATTCCCAAGTAGCGCCGCAGAAGACTCCTTCCGAAGCGAGAAATCCGCTCCGGAAGGGACGTAATCCGGAGCTGGTCACTCCGCCCATTTTGCAGGTTTGGCGGGCTGCGGCGCTGATATACGCGGGGCGTATAAGGGACCCGTCATACTTTGCCGAAAAAAGCCCAAAAGCGCTAAAAAAGGCTCAAAAAAGCCCGAAAAAGCTCAAAAATGCCCGAAAAAGCCCGGAAAAGCCGGAAACCGCCAGAAAGAGCCGAAACGTAGAAACGAACTTTTGATAGAATTCCGACATTATTTGGTCGTGCAGACGACAGAAGATGACAAATAGACTCGATTGCGAAATTAACACACATGTCTTAATTCCAAAACGTGCGAGAAGTGCTCCGGCTCTTTCTGGCGCTTTTGGGCTTTTTTGGGCTTATTTTGGCGAAGTATGACGGGTCCCAAACGCGCCGCAGCCCTGCGACCTGCATTGCGTAGTTCTCCAAAACGGGTTTTGGTTATTTCGCGGATTCTTGACTACATATTCGGAGTCAGGACCTTCAGAAGGCCTGGAAGCGACAAAAACATGGAAGTCGAGAATTTGAGTGGATGGTGCTTCTTAGTTCTGAGATTCATCTATCGGCATACGATCCGTGACTTGAGCTTATGAATTGAAGGTATTCAATGAGCATGCGAATGTAATCCTTTGCCTCAGTAATATCCCAAGAAAAGTAATTTGACTTAGGATGAATGGTACCACCTGGCATGAATCAATGCCTCCTTCCGTATATCCAGCGCAGATCATTGAAGGCAAATGCACTCTTCCCGCATAATGCTGTAGGTTATTGCATTGGCTGAACGGTAATATTGGAACGTGGATTTCCCGCAGCATATCCGATTTTATTCCACCTTCCACAGTCATTCCCCATCCTAAAAGGGCACGATAATATTACTTGGATGTGGAGTTGTCTTGGTGGAAGAGAAGATCATTCAAATCATTCACTTCCAGTTCCAAAATAAACTTCCACTGTCGTTTTTTAAAAAAGTGTTTAAATACTCTTTCTACAGCTTGCCCATCACCAAAGTACTGGATGCTGCATGGAATATTCTTTTGCTTTCACTGTTTTAACGTATCATGCTATATCTAACTTTGATAAATAATCTCTATTGAGTTAGTAATATTTTTTTTGCCATTCAAAGTATGCATAAGCTTTCGATTTTACCTGCTACTACACACATCTGATGAGTTACTGGTGCCATTGAAGGTAAACAAATTGGACGTGCTGTGTCAGTCTCATTGAACTTCACTGGTGGTCCTATCCTAAAGCTTTACTACATCTCAAGCCTTGAGGATTTCGTAATTAGAGGCTAACTAACCTGAGTAAAGCTACATCATACGAACTTGGCCAAAGTACATTAAACATCGAGTGAATAGAGAGGCTTCTGATGTAATGTCCTCTGCCACTACCAGACTTGTGTGCTCCTACTCGGACTCGGTATAACGGTGTTTTCCTACTAGAGAGCAATGGCTAGCACTTCACTTACAATACAATGGTTAATCTCAGATTTTGTCCGATGTGTAAGGGTCAAGCTACCTGATTGTGAAAGCTTGACTCACTAACATTTTAGGCGTTCATGGGGGAATACGTCAGGAAAGTTGAAAGCGCGAATGACCCGGAATTTTTCTGAGGCCTGAGGAAGAAGAACGGGGGGTGGGGGGCGGTTTAACATGTCAAATTGACTTGTTGGTTATGATTCCATTGGGTCCTTGCAATGATTTCCAAAAAGGCTTCACTGCTCCGGTATCTTGTCTGTATGAAATTTATTAGGTCGGTGCAAGTGTTTTATCGCAGAATTTGGGTAAATAACACTTTGCATTTTCGATGGATTTCCACAAAGTAAATTTTACTGGGTAGACGATATCATTTTTCTCTGCAAAAGCGCTAACACAAACGATGACAGCCGAAAAAGAGATCTTAGAACTTATACTGCTGCTCGCTGCGAATCGCCAGCTTTAGGTTTTTGGCAGTTTGACTCAAAATGATCGAACTAAAGTGATTGGCTCTCCTGATTATCTCAGGACTTTACCCCATCAATAGCGCCAAAGGTATCATTACAAAAAAAGATTTCCTCTACTCAGCAAAAAAGCTTGTGCTTTCGAGACAACAAGAAGTTATGGCTTTTCACAAATGACGTGGTAAAAGTTTTGCACCATCTCAATAATAATACTACAGAATCTCAAGTCGTATGCTAGTAGTCAAGTCGCTCACCTCCGTGCAAAACAATGTGCTGCAGTGAGCACATACTCTTCATTGATAAGGGCTCCTCCACACCTGTGTAGACCTCTGTATGTAATCTGTACCACCCACGGCCATGAGTGTGGTTCAGACACGCTGCTTCCTACTAGACGGTGTTCGGGCATCTGAAGCTGAGCGGCATTGTTTTGGAATGTACGGGTAACAGGTACGCGCTGGTACTGTAATACGTTCTCCTTGTTAATAGTATCTTATTTCATGTTTTCGCGCGTAATTGGATACATCAGTATGGTTATTTAGTTCTCAGCTTACGCATATGCACGCAAGCGCACACTGCTTCGTTTTTTATGATTTTATCTCAATCAAGGCTCTATTCACTCCAATCCATTGACGACGCCTTAGGCCATAGGTGGCTCCGGTTTTTCGACGAAATTTTGCTCAATATTCGTTTTTCATGGACCTTGTAAATATGTTTGTTCTGAGCAACTATTGCGCTCCTATTTGTTTGCTAAAAGCTGCTAAAAGCTTTAGGAATCAGTATAGTAACGCTAAAAAAAGCACTTGAATATGAATAAATTATCAGAATCTGTTCTCAGAAAGACCTTGTAAAATGCGTCGTCGCCAATAGGTTTATTATGCTACTTGCATTAAATCATCATTCGTTATGACATCTTATAGTCATAGTCAAGCGGACGTCAGAAAGAATCTTATGTATCTAAGAAAGTAAGACTCACCACATAGTCGAAAGGTATGTGGAACTGCGTAGCTCGAGGAACATCATTTTGACGCTGGCCGCATCGTGGTTGAAATCCATGAGATGTAGTAATGTAGAACAATAGAAAATATACAGGCGAGTATTTGGACAGCATTTCACTTCCTAACTGGCGCAGACCATGACCCTTCGATTCTGTTTATCGAGTAGATCAACTTTTTTTGATTTTCTACAGTAACTTTTTGATTAATCATTTTTACATCATTTACTTCTGAAGTGTCACTTGTCTTCCGTTCTGCGTCAGAATCATTGAATGCTTTTCCATAATAGTGACGGAAGTAACTTCCAAGGTCATTCTTTTTGATGCATGCCTCAGACTGCACGGTTGTGCAGGTGATTCACTCGCGCCGAGCCCTTTTTCCCTCTCAGGGCGTTGTTCTCCATAGTACGTGACATCGAGTTCAAATGCCACCATTAGATTCTGGAAGCTTTACTTTGTTCTTTTCCCAATCTTTAGCATGGACTTTTATGAAGCTGTCAGTAGAGATCAGGCTTTTCAAACTTTTGACATTTGTTTAGGGGTGAGATCTTTTCCACTGAACCTGCATATAAGGAAAATATTTGTGTTGCTTCATGATTGCACTATTTTTGATGAAGATTCCTGTGGCCATATTCATCAACGAACCCAGTGGGTTCCGGAACTCACTGGGTAGGCTTAGCCAACGAGATCGGTATTCACGAAGCTAGTAGGTTCGTGAATCCAGCAATGCTCTTTGTGAATATCGATCCAGCCCAGCTGGACTATTTTCGCTTACCACTGGGTAGCGGAACCCACTGGGTTCGATGATGAATACGGTCATAGAAGTCAATCCAGGATAATTTGTGCTTTCATTAAATTCCTTCTCTCTTTCATTTGAAGTCATGTCGTTCATTTCATGCGCGATACCTTTATTGTGATAAAAATAACATTAGCTGAATAAACGGAACACTTGAGTCTTTTATTTATACGTGGAGTCTCTAAAGTGGACGCTTTTGCTCGTGCTCTTTTTTGCATGTTAATTCTCGACGCCGCTATTGCTCACGAAGTGAATATCTTTTGTTTCTGATCTCAAACACTGTTTAGCATTCCTTCAATGATTTTATGTGTAGTCATCTCTATGCCGAACACGAAGACTTGATTTCTTCTTTGTGTGGTGCTTTTTTTACTTGCTACAGAGATCTTATCAATGTTTTCGTGAACGCGCATATGTACTTTTAATGCGTACTCTATTGTAAAAGTTGCTGCCTTATCGTACTATTTCGCTTGTTAATCTTGTGTACATATCTTAGCCTTCACAAATGCATTTCAGGTAAGTCACGAACAACCGGTGAATCTAGCGTTCGTGGATATGGATGTTGATTCAGCAGAATCGGACCAACTGTTTGACAAATTGATGATCTGGGTTAGTTTCACCTCGGTTGCTTGAGTAATTTGAAATTTCCGAGGAATATTCTCTGATTCTAGATGAAGTCTTTGCACTTCACATCTCTCAGCCTTGATACAAGAAGTTTGAGAAGTGGTCGTGCATTTGCCGAAGTCTTGCATGGAATGTTAGTTCTTAGGGTTTATCTTACTTTTTCTGTTGCATTCTTTATCATTACGAGTTTATATGATGCACGAGAAATACTTTTAGTGACGATCAATTTTTCAACGAAATATGGATTGAAAAGGTGGCTCAATATGATTCAGATTCTAACTGGAGAGTCAAAGCGAATAATCTTCGTAAGGTAAGTTTTTCTTAGCAAATCACTCAAGTCCAATTTTTCGAATTTTCCGACTTCGAGTTTCTCTTCACTTTTTTTTCTTTTTCAAGTTGACTCGAAGTCTTGGTGAATACTATGAAGAGCATGCACGCAGAATAGTCAAAGGAACCCCGTTACTTGACATAGATGAGATGGAGTTTGGTAAGCCTATATCCGTTTTTAAGGAGGAGGTTTCATTTATGTTTTTGATTTGCAGCCGAAGAAGGCTCTATCAAAGAGATGCTCAAAATGGCTGTGTTGATTGTTGGAGCTGCGTTTTTGGGTAGGAGGCAAGAAAGTAAGTTAACATCAGTTGTCTCCTTCTTCACAGTCGATTTGTATACGCTGCGCCGCGCAAAAGCAAGAAAATGACGAATCATCTTCCATGCAAAGCTCGTGTTATTTTGTGCTTTTATGCGCTTGTGAAATTGTTTTCATTGTCACAAAACCGATGAATTTACAGCACAGTTTTTTAGTTCATAATGAATATCTTGTATTTCTTATGATAGACTGTTTTATGCCTTTCTTTGCAACTTCCTGAATTTCACATTGTTGCCAAGTAGCAAATCTTTTCCGCACATGAAGCCTTAACTTTTCAGAATTCGTTGCCGGTGTTGCTATACTTGATCCCGATGTACAAAGTGGGGTTGCTACTGCAATCCAGTCAATCATGGAGAGGTCAGAAAAGAGAGAAATCCAGTCGCCCATTATAATCGACCCAGAGGAAGTCTTGCCTGATGTGGTATGTCGCCTTTGTATCGTTTCAGTCCGGTGACAGCAAATTTACAGAAACCCAATGGCGGTGCTAGCTCGAGCAGCGGCGACGAACTTGGTGGTCGTATAACACATCTGAGCAAAGAGGTTGGTTGGGGACTTGTTTTGCGGCGTGTCACCATGAACTTAATTAACGCCGTAGTTCTCTTTCCTCGCACGATGTGTTCTTGACGGGCGGCATGTATATCCTCATGCTGTTGGCTATATTCATGTAACTTCTATGAATTTCTATATCTGGAATTTTTGCAATAACTCAAGTTTTCTTTTGTGATTTGGCTTTTTTCTTGTGGGTGGGCCATCATCAGCAGGAATATATCGTTGGAAATCTGGCAAATTTTCCACTCAGTGCTGCATGCTCGCACAATGATATCGCAGTTTTTCAGTGGGTCTCATTAGTTTATTTGAAACTTGTTTTGTTGGGTATACCTGCGAGCGGGATTAAAACCAGATATCCCCAACTCAAAAAAATATTTCCTAGTTGATCTCACGTTTACCGAGGTTACCATTATGTCTTTTCTCTCATTCACTTGAGTGTTCCTGGCATTTTGCTTTTTGCAGCGTTGGCTTCCATTTTGACTTTTCATTTACATCCTCCTGCGAGTTTCTCGCTGTCTTGTGCGGCAAATTCATTGGCGCGTGCCGTTCTCTCGTCATGCATTCTTGAGGGCTCTACTTCATTTTATTGCACTCTCATCTAGCGGGATCTTCTAAGAAATTGAGCGGACTTGCATCTTTTACCGCTAGTGGTTTATCTCTTCTGGTATTTCTATGTTCTCCGCTGTTCTTTGTGCTCCGCATGTAATGTGTCGTAATTGAATTGTGTTTTTCACTCTGCTAGCTGGCATGCATTGGTGGGCTCGTTCTCATCGTCTCCTCTCGCGCCAACTACATAATCGATTGAATTTTTCAAATGAAAATCTACATTGGCCTCTCCACTCGCGCTACAGTGTTGTTCGTATCTCTCGGAGAGATCTGCATATTCTCATGGTTAACAGCGCTAAGGCATAGAAAACCTGTTCCGTGTCATGCTGCGTGCCATAAACATTTCAATCTATTGCGGGTTCATCAGTGACCGTTTGTCGTTATCCTCGTACTGTATGATAGCGTTTTTCATCTGCTGCCGTACAACTGAATTTCCGGCTGAATGCATGTTTAGAGCGTGACCAAAAATTCTCATTTTGCTGAGTAGAATGGAGGCAGAAAAGGTCTCATGTTACCTTCGTCAAAGCACACATTTGGTCATGTTATATTTCTATGCGGACCAGTTTTTGCGTAGTTGATGACCTTAAGGCTGCTTTCACTGGTATCCTGCCTACTATGTATATCATTTATGGAGTCCTGCTCCTATACGATCCTTTCCGATAACACAAATTATTATGCGTCGTTTCAAGAAGTGAAAATATGCCCTTTTGTTTAGGTTCACTTTTCCTGGCACACGTACATTCTTCAAAAGTTTGAGCATTTTGTAGTAGTAGACGTAAACTACTTACGATTAAGACCCAAAAGAATTCGATGTTTGAGACAAGCACATTCCAGTGACTATGAGACAAAATTGTTACGAATTTCATGACCAATTGTTCTTCCAGAACTTGGAACTTCGTCAAGAACGTGATAATCTCGAACAACAGCTGGAAAAAGCTCGACAACAGTTGTATGAGATTACGCAAGGAAAAAGTGTAGACGAGTTCGAACAAGACATTGCAGATCTGAAGGTTTGTTCCTTCGTGTTAGTAGCCAAATTGACCCACTCTTTTACCAAGGAGTTCAGCCGATTGCCTTTTTAGGAGAAAAAGACACGGTTAGAAACTCAAATTATTGAAACTGAAACCGAAATGGAAGTGTTGAAAGGGAAAATCGATTCGGTTTCACAAGAAAATGAGGATCTCAAGTCAAAGGTAGAGTGCCGATGATAATTCTTTTCACTCCAATCATCCAATTGTCCCGTAACCTCTTATTTTCAGGTTGGACAAATAAGGCCATTCGAAGATGAGTTTCGCCGGCTTCGGGATGAGGTCGAAGAATTACGAGTGAAGGAGGCTGATCATTCAAAATTGCAACAGGCTTATGAACAACTGAAAAATAAGGCGAAAGATAGTAGTAATGACCGAGCAGAGGTGTGTTTATCTTTGCTATGAAAAGTTTTGTGCTTGTTTTCTGTTGCTTTGAAACTATTGCTGGTTTTTTCGTGCTGTATCATCCCAAAATTTCAAGTTCGTCTTGTCAAAAATTTTTTTTCTCGCTTATTTGCCTTCTTAGTTTGCTTACAATCTGCTTCTCCTTTTTGTTTCGTGATGCGTAGACTATCGATCTTTTGGAGTCGGTGCAGAATCGCACTTTTTGTCATGCACGGGCCATTGCTACAGTGGCTGAGCTCGCGATAGCTGCACGGTACTTTTGTTCAAACAACTTTTTTATATGTGCTTCTCCAGTTTAGTCTTAACTGTGGGCATACTTCTGAAATAAATGGTGAAAGTACTATATAAAGATACAGAAAGAAAGGCAATTTGCTGTTGTTGCAGAATTTTGGTCACATCAACCATTTGTCTCGTTCCCTTTTTTCATATGTCCCACTAGCAGCCTTCTACGAGCTAATATCTGCCGTTTTTATACCCACAATTGCAGCTCCTTGTTCTGCGTGAAAAAGTGAAATCCTATGTTGAACATGGTATGCTGCTAGAGGATGAGCAACGCAAAAATAAGGTGGGCGATCATCTTCTTTTTTCTCTTAACAACCTAGCTAATTTTCTTTTTGAATTATAGACTTTGCGTACACAAATGGGCTCATATAAAGCGCTGTCGGAAGAAAAGTCTCGAGAAAACGACAAGCTCATCATCAAAGTTGATAAGGTAGGTTTTGTAGGTTTGTATGATGTTGCTTGGAGGAGAAGAGTACCATTCAGTTGGAACACGAGCTCGCAACCACCAAAGACCGCTTAGCAGCCGCTGAAACCCGAGTAGAGGGCCTTGTGCAAGAGAAGATCATACTCGAAAACAAAATTGCCCACGAATGTAAGTTACTTACTGGTAAATTGTTCTCAAAATCGAGTTTCCTATGGAAAGATTAGGCCAACTATATGAATGACCTATTCTTGACTAAATCAGTTCTAGACTATATATAATCAAAAATTGAGTTTAGAGGAACTTTGTTTGTTTTTATTATTACTCACGTTCTGATTTGCAATTTGTTATGGAATTTATTGAAGAAATGATATTTACCCTTATGGTTTAAGTTTACCGCTAGAAATGCTCAACCTGACGGATTCGTGGATGTATTACGGTTACTCGAAATCATGCGAAAAATCTTTCAAATGTGGCTTATTGTGGCCTTCTGGACACAGAAGGATATCCCTTTCCCTCACACCTATTTAGAAGTCATAAACCGTAGTCGTCGGCACTTATTGCGACAGTCTGCCGTTGACCATGAAAATTGCTATCGATCACTCGCATTCATTTCATCGATCAGAAAAAAGTCATGTTCATTCAGCTGTGAGGGCTATCTGTCAGCAATCCGCAATGCTCATTGTTCTAACACATCATATGAAAACTTTGCATAATCGATCGAACACATTGTTTGTGGTGGAATCATGTCGAGTCACTCATCGAATGCTCTCTTCACTGTGGTGTTTGCCTTTTTAATGTCAATAGTTAAATGCCTTTTTAGTTTTTTATATGCATTTCCGATTTACATTGTTTTATCTTGTCAGAATCGCAAGCCATCTTGCATCTGACTTTTAGAGCTACTTGAAGTCTGGGAGCAATCGCAATGCTGCAAAGCATTTCAAAAAATCCCGATCATAAATTGTACCAAACAAGTTTGTTACAATATCCCATTTACCATCCTGACGTTATTACCGGCATTGGCCCAGATGTGCTAAAAAAACTGTTTATGGTGTACGTATTCGTAAGACTTTATAAAGGCCGAGTGATGGAAATCAGAAACGTTAAGTTTGATTGCTTTTTTGATTATAATCTTCACATCGGTTTTGAGTAAAAATTTGGCTAGATTTTGCAATGGCTACCTCCTTCGAGTATCTATCTGGCTCTAGGTTACATTTTCTGCATCGTCAACTTGGCTCTTTTCTGGTGACTGGTAGATGTGCCTCTTCTTTGTAATGATGGGCTGCGAAACGCAATCCTTGCCTCCTCTGCTATTTCATTTAATCTCGTCATGCACTATGATTCATGTGTCGTCTTTCAGTGTCGCACGTGGATAGCGCCCATAGCCTGCACGCATCTATGCTGGAATCGAATGGTGGAGGAGATTCTTCACTCGACGGAAGTATGATGGAGTAAGTGTTATAGTAATTTTTATGACCAGTTAGCGTTTTATATGTTTTTATCTTTCTCCAGAGATCGTATAAGAAACTTGGAATTGGAGAACTCCCGTCTTCGCGAAAGAATCAAGGAAATGGAAGAATTGGAAGTAGTGAAAGGTGAAATGGATGTTGTGAAGGGGCGTAACCATGAGCTTGAGAGCGAATTGCGGCTTGTGAATAAGAAAAAAGTGGATTTGGAGGTGAGTAACTGATTATTCTTGAGACAGAATCTCTTCGGCACATTGAAACCGCATTCAGGCGAAAGTTGAAGAGCTTGAACGCTCTATAGAGACTGCTGCTGCTTCTTCATCTGGAGACGTCACTGAGGTCAAGCTTAGGGTTTGTAAAACTTGAAATTCGTAAGTGTTAGATTCTAGGTTTTCACTTTCTTTCCTTCTAGTCTGAGAAGATGTCTATTGAAATTGATCAGTGGAAACAAAAAGCAGAAATGTCGGAAAAACGAGCAGCAGAAGCGCTCGATGCGCAGTTATTGGCACAAGGCGAGTTCTCACTCTGTTTGATTGCTGGTTATTCGCTTGCATTTTGGGACGACAAACAGCAGCGGTTTTGCAAGGAAAAAAACTGTATTTTTCACTTGAGTGAACTTTAAGTAATCGACTAGTTACCTTCTAATCGCAGTTTTTCCCATGTGTTTGCGAATTACGTGTGTTTACATTTTTTTATCTTGAATTTTTTTCAAACCTTTATTTTATAAATTCGCTTTCTGCTGTGGTTCTCTGATTTTGTCATGAACATCTTGCTTCTATAGTGAAATAATGCTATTTATCATTGATGCAGCATCAATCTGTGCCTATTTGCTCTTTTTTGTTTATTCATTTGTGTACATCCATGTGTGTAATGCATGAAAAAATAAATGGATGGATTTTTTAAGGAAAATTGAAAGAAATGGAGGCCGAACTGCAGGAAGAACGCGAGTCAAAACGATCATATTTGGAAAAAGCTCGGCAAATAATCATTGACCAGGTTTGTTACATCCAAATCTACATTTTTTTTCAACGTGTGTCAATCTCAGGAACGTGCAGCTCAGTGCGCAGCCGAAGGAGGCCTGAGTCGCCACGAGTTCGATTCATTACGTCGTGAAATTGAGCAGAAAGACCGAAGAATCAAACAACTTGAAGAACAAGCAGAGCAGACTAATACGATGCATGAACAGGAACAACGGCTGCTTACCACTGCTTTTTATGGAATGGTCAGCTGTCCGTGACAAACCTTTTGTGCCTTCTCGATATAGTATTTCAGGCTAAAAGAGTTGATGAATGTAGCCGAATGACAGAAAGCATGGATTCTGGTCGAGAAAGAAGTTTTCTCTCACGACAGAAACAGGCGAACGCCTTTAATCTCCGGTGAATTCGGTCTATTGGATGATACTGAGGTATTGGTCGGCGGCTGTGTTCTGACAGATGTCGACTAGTACTCTATTTATTATAATCTTAGCTGAATGTTTGCTTATGAAGCTAGATGTACAATTGCCATATGATGATGACCTGAAAATTTGGTTCATTTCTTGCATTTATCAACAAAAAATCTGATACAGTAGCTTGGGCAATATCTTTCTGGGAGCCGAATCGTACGCTGCGTAGGTGATGCTTTTGTGACCATGTACGTTTGTGCTTTGTTGGTAAGGGTTCGGAATATAAGAGCGCGGGATGCCGTAGTGCGCACCTCAATCACGAAGTCCAGACAGAATCCCCATTTTCTTTGCTTTCTTGTCCCATGCACAGTGGTATTTGTGAACATCTAGTATCGAGTATTCGCTGAAAACAGTGGGACCAGGTAAGGAAGATGGTCCTTCTGCACTTTAGGGTAACTACAGTCTGTGTCAACGAGTTCTCCTTTCCGATCAGCTCAAGCGCAACGATAGAGCCGCGTGCCGCGTTCGCGGACGTACCGCTTGAGGCCTCAAATCTGCCGTATCGATTGGGGTGGTCGCTGCGTAATGCCCACGCGCTGCGGATGCGTAGACGCTACGGAAAAGGGAGCGTGTGATTGAAATATGTTGTACCGTATCCATTTCGTTGCAACGGCTCCCTTTGTATTGTCGTGTATAGACTTCGCTGACAAAACACTGCTTTTCCTGAACTTCTGGTCCACAGAGCAAATCAACCTTTGCATGTGCAGGCTTGGCTGATCGTTCGTCAAACACATGGAATATTTGTACAGGAGGATCTTTGCACTAATGTTCTTTATATATAGAGCCACTTTAACAATGAACTTTCGTCGCTGCTATTATTGTCTTTGTAGAGAGGTTATGGCATTGCAAAATTGTGTGACTCACCTGAAAACAGTGGATTTAGTTACCGCGTGGAAGAGGGCCTTTCTATTTTTTATGATCAGGAAACATCTGATGAACAACATAGTAATGTTTGGGCTTTTTCGCTGACGAAATGTTTTCAGTTCCGATTTTTTCAAAATTTCAATTTTTTGATTTTTTGCATTGAATGTGAATGCGTAAATCGAGAACAGCTGCTCTCGCACAACATCATGCTTCACATTTTCGATAGTAATAAGGATGTGTTCCAACTCATTAGTTTGCGTATGCTTTTATGCAAATCTTTCTCCTAAATGTTTCATATCGTTACCATCTCGCCTATGTGATTAGGTATTCAATCTCATCTTTCAGATACACGTGATCACAAATGTTCGCTCCACGATACCATTCGTAATGTGATGTGCTTCCTCGGGTGTTGGTTTCTTTACCATTGTCTCCTACTGGCTTCTTGTGAAACCCATGTTTCCCACTGCAATGCCTTTTAATGCTTCTCTACATCGCGTGCTATGCTTTCGGTAGATTCTTTCTCTAGCAATCACGCAACGCAAAATGTGCCTATCTTGCATGCACTTAGCTGTCTTACTGTAGTGCCTTCTAGTTCAGCTTTATTTTCGTTGCTCAGCTCTTCATTTAGTTTGCGATCACTTTAGCCAATCTATTTTACTCGAATTAACCATTCGGATCTTGTTTATCGTTTTTCTTTTCTGTTTCAAGTCCGCGTTTGAAAATTTTCACTTGTGTTAGGAAACCAAGAAGAATGGCTGATTTTATTTCTTTATCAATACTTGGCGGTCAACTATGGCGCGTTCTTTTATTATCAGTATCAAATAATGTATAGCTATAGGTTATTTAACATTTTCCCAAAGCTTCGTGCTGTGCAAAAATTACGCATTGTTCTCAAATTTCTTTGAATGATTTGTGGCCTAATGAAAAATTGGGGTGTTACAATATCAGGTACTGTACCGTTAATTGCTTTGAAAGATGAATATTTCTCATGATAAACTCAGATTCTGCAAGCGGCTTTGAATTATTCAACGGAAAATTGACGTAATAACAAATTCAGCATTTGTTGACCCTGAAATTCACTATCATTAGTCTCTAACTTCTAGTAGCACAATTCACTTACCTTTGTTTCCGACACTTTGCATTGCATGCTTTGGTTCATTATGGTGGAGGGGAATACCGCTCATAAATCGTAAAAAAATCGCCGAATCCACCGGAGTTCACCGAAATCCGCGTCGCATTGCCATGTCTTGGTTCAGAGTAGACAAATCCTGCTTCCAAGGGCACCGTTCCTTAGCTCGACGAGATACATCTTCTGGTGTTAGAAGTGCCCGTATTTATACAGTAGGCGGTCAGATTTCATGAATCTTTTCACATCTTTGCTTACGGGGATTCAGTGTGCTTGTTCATTGCGCACTAGATAATCTACCGTTGTGAAAATCTAGAAATATGACTATCATGTAAGTATCGGATCCACACGGGCACGTATATCAGCACCTTCCGAGCGGAGTCGACCGGCGCCTTGGATTCAGAATTCGTCCACTGTACACCAAGATGCGCCTATGCGACGTGGATTTTTATGAACTCTGGTGGAGTGATTTTTTCTTACGAGTCATGAGCGGTATTGTATGTGCTTTCTTCGAGAGAATTTACCAAGTTTTTGTTATAATGCTTGAGATATTTTTATACTACGCAACTTTTATATACTCCCGAAACTTGCAAATTCTCTAAAAGATAGCGCAGTTTTGATTAGTGATGGTAATGATGCGTGTAGTTTAGTGTGGTGCTACCATGGTGTCTGCTTTTGGTGCTCGTCCTCTATGTTATAATCGGCGACATACGAAGTTCGTCAAGAGCAGCGTGGTGGTTACTTCCAGTAAGGTACGTCTGAGACATCGCCCACATACTAAAGAGTAGTAAAGTCCTCGTTTTCATCGCTTTCCTTTCCGCAGTGCTCTCGGTTTGGTGCAGTTCTTTGTTTCTTCTGTACTATTTTTGAAATTTTTACACACCTGTAAAACGGGTTGATTTGATTTTTGCGTGATTCGAGCTGATCCCAACAGATTTCTGCTGTTTCTTTCAAACTCTCAGATTTTTCATAGTGTACATACATAAATCTTCTAGAAATCCTATCAAATCGCAATTTTGAATTTGCTCTTCTAAGCACATTAAGCCTTTTCGATGCATTTCTTTGCTTGTCTCTCCTTCATTCTGCGTATGTGATATTTCACTCAATATTATATGCTTTCCCAGAGCTATAATCCTTAGAATATATGGTATTTTGGGTGACAGACAATGAGACAATGACGCTTACTTAAGTGATCATTCGTGTATTCTGCTCTGTACATGCATTGTAATGGATTATTTTTTGTGCAATAAATAATTATTTAGAGTGGTTGTTGCACGTCAGCCAAGTTTGATCATGCTACTTCATATGTCCAACAGTTTTAGAAGTATTTAAATGTTGAAAAGGGCGGAGGGTTCTCGAAAAATGGCTGTTTTTGTGTGTATAGTTAGGGATTCCTAGATCGAAGTTGCTAAGTGCAGAATATCTGGATCTGTAAAACATTTACATCTCATGAAAAATATGCAGTCCCTAATATAACGTCAGTTTTTTTTTTCAAAATCTGCGTATGAGAAATGACTGATATGATAGGATGCTTATATTTGAGATCAAACAAAAGTAAAATCTTGTTAGATATAAAACCCAACTCCTCTGGATGCAAGTCTGATATTTACACTAAATATTTACGCATTCAATTCTGCAGAATACAGATGCGACCGTCGCTAGGTGTCATCGGAAATGTAACCAAGGAGCACTTCATCAAGGTAAGATTTTGTAGCTGTTAACTAGTGTGTAATCTTCTGGCAAGGAAATTGTCAATATCGAAGTTTGATACACTATTTATGTGTATAAGTCAATTTCGACAGAGTACCTTGAAAGCAGACATTAGTTGATCTGCTTAGCTTCTATGCACTAAGTCTCTGCCTTCAGATACTCGAGGAAACAAGTCATAACTTTTTAGGAAAAACTCTCGAATTTTCCAAGAATCTAAAGAAAATTATTTTGAGTGGAAGCTTGAAAGAGCCGTGTAAAACAATTCATAATTGAAAGCTAATGCGCTCACGACAATCTTGGACATCAGTCGACACATATTAGATGGAATCTTTAGCGACTTTCAATAAATTCCGGGCATTCATGGTTTATCAAAAGTTGTTTATCTAGCTATCATTCAATTTAGAAGGTGTCGGAGAGAAATGCAGTCCCTTGGCATCCTCGTCTAGTAGCCGCCGATTCGCACATGTCGGTAAGCTCTATAAGACATCTAAATTATTTTTAAAAATAAAAACATCTGTACTTTGCAAGCGGAGAAATCTATTTGAGGTGCTTGTTCCTCTACTAGAAATGAACTCCAAGCCGTCGCTACTATTTACAAAGCGATCAATTCGTTTGAATCAGCATCGAGGAGAGGTGTGCTTTCCTGGAGGTAAAATGGAGAAGGATGAGGATGTAGAGAAGGTTAGTCTCGAAATTCATGCTAAGCTATCTTAGGATAGGGTCCCAACACTTGCGTGATTTTATCCTACAATTTCGTGGTACCAGCTTTCTTCCATGACAAAAAAGTTGCATTTGATCCTGTTTTCAGACAGCTTTGCGTGAAACACAAGAAGAAATTGGCATCGACCCAAAATCCGTAGACGTATGGGGCCGTCTGAAACCCGTACTCACCAGAAATTTGAAGGAAACTGTGGTGCCAGTTGTTGGTTGTATAGATAAGGATATGATCAAGCCAGAGCTAGTAAATAGACATGAGGTAAACAAAATGCAGTCTTTTTTCTGCATTTTATAAAAAATTTTTTATAGGTGCAAACATTATTCTCAGCTTCACTGGAGGAACTCAGCCAAACGGCACGCTATACTCATTTTTCTACAAAAATGGTCGATTTCATATTGCCAGTGTTCTTCACCAGAGAGTTTGATGTTGGTTTTACGGGTTCCTTATTTGTCCCTTCTCAAAATTTTGATTTTAAGGTGCACTGGCACAATAAAGAGGAATTCCTACCGACTGAATTTCGTATCTGGGGATTGTCAGCCATTATGTTGCATCAACTGCTACTCGTGATGGCTCCAGAAGAGTACAAAAACAATTTGAAGCTAGTATTTTACTAATTCACGATATAACTTCTGATCTTGATGTTTTTCCCAAAAAAACCACATTAATTTGCTCAATTTTCTATAACGAAAACTCGTTGCAAGACTGTGACAAAATTGAGAAATGTATAGGAGCTAATTTCATTTTTTAGGTATTGCAATCTTTTTATCTTTATTTTTATCTTTCTTAATGATCAATGAAGATTTGCAATTTATTTATTCTTCTGTGTATTATATTATATTCCTCAATAACAGATTGATAAATTTCCTTCTTAGGCCTGTCCTAAGAAGAACGACATCTCCAAAACGTTCCAGGAGTTCCAGCACAGGAAGTTTCAAGTTTTTAACGAAGATACCAAAGTGAAATGTTGAAGAGAACGAGAGAATTGCTCATAGTCTGCTCAGAACCATCATAGAAATTTTTGTATCTAGAAGCACTGAACTGTTTCTGCGTACCGCTCTATTCGTCCTAGTATTGTTAGAGCTAACTTAGCAGATATAGCGGTATCACCCTATATAGATTATACAGTCGAGTAGATTTTTCTTTTGATATAGTGTGCTTGCGGTGCCGAGAAAATGCGGTGGAATTTTTGCGTGAACAGATAGCCACGTCAGTAATGCGGGCATTTTGCGCGCGCAATCGACATGCCTTACTGGCGCAGCTATTTAATTATGCACAAATTCCCACATTTTCTCGGCACCGCAAGCACACTACATTGAGCGGAAACGCTGCTCGACTGTACCCTTTCTGGTAAGAACTGTAGTCGATCGTAACTGTTAGATTAGACGGGTCATTTCATTTGATTTCCATAAATTTTATTTATGAAATTTTTCCATCACTAGTGTGATATTTTCCGGGTGGAAGGACCGGACCATATGAGGTAGCTGAATCTGGGCATGGATATGATCTGCGTTACTTTCAACCGTCCTATCATTGTCGATTTGTAATACGCGAATCTAATCCTATAAGGTGCGATGGTGCTCGTAGATTTTGAAAAAAAAAGTTTTCGCATCGCCATATCTCGCTTCGAAGTGGAAAAATTCTGAATCCAAGTGCACTCCAACTCCGCTTGACGCCGCCCATCTTCCGATATGCAAAACCGTCTATTTGGGTAAAATGGATGTGCGGTAGTGGCCAGCTTCCGTCAGTTTTCACTAGTCGTGCCACATTTTACTTACGGTAGGTCATTCGGTGTGCTGATTACAATAGGTACATAATACCTGTGGCGGATCTAAAAATTCCGTGCGGAAGGGGCGCGACAGAAATCTCCTTATACGAAGGAGCATGGTTTTTAGCCACGTTCAGAAAAATTTTGGATTCTTCCTAGCCATCGAGAGATCTTCAAGCCACCGTAGAAATTTTCACGCAACAATGTGCCTTTTGAAAGGTTTGAAAAATTAATTCAATTATTCGCAAGTAAAAACAACACTGGTTTTTATAGATATTCAATGATGTTGCAGCTGTGTTCAGCAAAATTTGACGAAGTATTTGATAAAAATTTGAACAAAAGTGCATTTTTCTGTTGTTCCATTGCGGTAACATCCCTTTCTTTGGGGGTGTTCTTGCTCGAATCAAAAAAACGACACAAACAACGTCGGGTAAGAAGCAAATTTCTGATATCACAAGTAATAGTCACTTGGGGCGTACCTGTTTATGAATGAGCACATTTCGACAGTCTAGAAACAGGGCTACAAAAGTAAAGGTTGTTTGAGCATCTGCCCCTACAAAAAGTGACGGTTGTTAATAAGAGGTCAGGAAAGAAAAAGAAAGAAAGAAACGAAACAGACAGAACAGACACCAAAGCAAAAGAAACTGCCAAGAACCGGATGAAACGCTGCAATGATTTTGAAACCTTCCATCTGGCGGCTTTTCAAGCGGGTTTTCGCTTCGGATCAGCAATTTGCAACACATGGGGAAAACAGGCTGCACGTCAGGAGGTACGCCGCGGGCGGCGGCCGCTTCCGCACACGCCGCGCTCAAATCTTGGGACCTCCAAGACTCCCCGCCAATAGAGATTCCGGCGGCAAAAACAGGAGGGTGAGGGTGGGAGCAGATACATGTGATGCTATAAGTAAGACTGCGCCAGAAATGCTGCTGTTATAAGGGCTGGAGCACGTTGCGGCATCTCTTCGCGAAAAATTCGCGCCGATCGTACCTCCTGACTGTCCCCAAAAAAACAAGGGGAAGCTAATTTCTTTTTTGTCATTGTTTCAAACAGAAGCATGTTTCGGAAGTAATGGTTATCAAGAAGAAGATAAACAAGAAAGATATTAGTTATGAAAAAGCAACGTTTTATTTTTTACTAAGTCGAAATACACGAATAAGCCAGATCTAATTTTTAATGCGTACTTTGAATTTTTACCCCCACATTGACGTGCCTGTTTCTTGATACGTTGTCTGGATTGTTGCGCTTATTGTTCTGAGCAATAATCGCCCAAGCTGAAAAAAATGCGAAGATACTGAAAGAGAACTAGATAAAGAAAAACGCACTTTTACGATTTTTCGCAAAAATTCCACCATAATTGAAGAGGTAAGGGCTGGGTGGTTGTCTGCATCATGAACAGAGGCAAGTTCTATAGAATGCACGAAAAAAACGCGTGAAAAGAGTTAAACTAGGAGAAACACAAGAGATTTTCGAAAACAGGGTTTTTGCCGGATTTCTCGATCAAATCATAAAATGTGGTCTTGGGACGTCGTCAGCGTGAAAATAGAGATCAAGAGCTTCAAAATAATAAAATGCTAAAATTGGGTTCGAAACAGCGAAGAAAAGGGTACCAGAGCAAATGCCCCGAGCCCCGCGTACGGTGTAGCGAGGCAGCGCGCAACGCGCGGAGACGCAGACAAGTAGAGAAGAAAGACCAGAGCCGGAGGGGCATTTGGCTCTGATTTCCGCGGGGTCTTGACGAAACCCTGCGACATTATATATCATTCTGATCGTCATGACACGATTAGGAGCACTGACAACATCTCGAGCGTTGAAAATCAATTAACGCGATAAACCATTTTCGTGCGCGACTTTCTGCGCAAGATCTCGGCGCAGTTTCTCGTTTTTAGTGGCTCCAACAGTTTTCCTGAACTTCTGACACTCAGTTGTAGTCTGGAAAGAGGTGAGATATGTTGTTCTATAATCTATGGAGCTACATGCGAAAGCCTTGTTTGTAGCACAAAAAGGCTATAAAAAAGAAATAATGCTATCCACATTTATTTGGAATTGCATAATCATAACATTCGGGAGACCCTGGATGACTTCTTTTTTTTTGTGAGGGCTGTGTCCTCTCATGACTCTCAAAGTGAATGTTACCAGAGTACATGGCTCTATATCGAGAGTATGTAAATGAGAAAAATATTTTATATAGACATAGAACCAGGGCCCGGCACGAGGTCGGCAAATGACAAGCTGGAAATCGTTCTGGGGCCAAAAAGCAAAGGGGAAATCGTTTTTGCGGGGTCCGGGGCAGAGCCCCGGAAAAAAATTGGTAGTTCATGCTCGCTACTTATCTTGACATGCTATGTGCCTCAACAGGCGAACACTGGAGTTCGCGCGCGTCAAACCGCGCCGTCGCTAAGTGCCGCACGCGCGACGTCGCCCAAGCGATGCTATTTGTAACTGCATACATGACTAGTTCTCAATGTGTGTGTAACGATATGGCACCAAATTTTGTGTGCGAACGGACAGAGGCTAGTGGAAACATAGTATGAAAAATTATGAAAAACTTATGTGAACGGAACGAGTAATTAGCATTTTTTCCGAGAATTTCGCAAAACTGGTAAATGAAAATGTGAATTTAAACGGCTCGTTTGGAAAGCGCAGATGAACGATATGGTATGAAACTTGGTAAGTACATGCACACGGGCTTGCAGGACTTAACTGAGGAGTTTCATTGAGAAATTATGTGACTGAAGGTTGTGGCAAACTTTTTTCTGGAAATTTTGCGCTACCAAAGAAATGGAAAAATGGCTCGTTTGCAACGCAGAGGTAACGAAATCGCGCGGGCTTCGGTGTGTATATGCGCAATAGGACTAAGTAATAAAGTATGAAATATTATGAAAAACTTATGTGAATGAAGAGTTTCCTTAACTTATTTCCAAATTAGGTCGGCATTTGCCGACCTAATTCCCACCTGAGGTCGGCAAAACTCTCAGTTCACATAATTTTCTCAAAATTTTTACATAAATCTGTTGTACACCTAAAGTTTACTACATGGTGAAATTTTGGTTTCGAAACTCCTCCTCTTGTCCTTGTTGGAGCCCAAAATGGCATCAGCAGCCCAGCTTTCTAAGATAGAAAGCGCGCCCCAGTCAATCGATACGCGCGGGAACGGCGTCTCTCATTCCTATGACTGTTTTCTTTGATATTTTCTCATTCCCTAATCCTTTTTACTGCTTATTTTTCTTCCTGTTTCCTATCTTGGTACAGCAATTTGAGTAATATGAGGAATTTGAGCAATTTGGGCGCTTTTGAGCGCTTTTAGGCGAAGTGTGGCCGGTAATCTCGTCGCACAAGCACAAAACGTCATTTTTGGGCTCAAGGGAGTATTCGTAAAACTTACTGGGATCAAAGGGGTATTCGTTTTGGAAAACCCCGTTTGCCCACCTTGTGCCGGGCCCTGCATAGAACAGACATAGTAACGAAAAGATTTTTTTCCTTGTGATTTTAAGCAAACTCCATATATCTTACTGATGTTACGGTTTATGCAAATTTCTCCATTGATATTAGAGCACATATTAGGCTGCTGCATAAGTCCTGTCCGATTTTTTGCCTTATGTTTGAAGCAGGTGTTCTAAGAGAATTTCACTTTCAATGCAGTGTTGATAGTACAGTTAGAAAGTGCTTTTCTTGCTCTTTCTAACGCACTCAAATTTCTGTTAATTTCTTACTCAGTGTAAGGAGATTTCAGGCCTAAGATCTTCAAGTGATTGAGATACGTTCTCACCCTAGAGATATGTTCTTGCGAGGAAATCTCCGCAATGCGCTCTTCAAGTCAAGTTCTTTCATTGGTTGCGGAATAAGGGTGTAGAAGGCTAGCATATGCACAAGCTCAGTTCCATGAAGAAAACGTCTTGCTTGTAGAATTTATTGTCAAACATTAATTTTTTTGTATAGATGTTTTGCAAGAATAACTTTCTGCGAATAGAAGTAATCGATGAGTTCAAGAGCTAGCAGCTAGCAACCAATTCCTTTTCGGCGCTCAAGTCAATTGTAATATTTTCATAATTCGTAAATAGGCATGCACACATGCACTGAAGCGAGGCCAAAAAGTGCTTCTTTTTTGCTCGGTCAAAGAAATCTCTCGGCGACGTGGACCCTATGGCCTCTTTTAGGTTGCAAAATAATCTACGAGAATTTCTCTATCTATCCATTGCTAGAGGAGATGCCTATCAATTCTTATAAGGGAGCGTTGCCATGTCAAAAAAAAAACAGTTTTGCAGAAAACGCTGTGAAGTTCTTGAGTTCTTGCTCCTTCCTTAGCAAGAACTTTTCGCAGTGCTTAACATGTATCTGATAGCAAAGGAACTGCTTAACACATAGAAACTAAAATTGAAAATAAAGTTAACTTTGAAAGAAGTTACGACATTTTGAAATCGAAAAATTCAAATCGGACAGAACTTATGCAGCAGCCTAATATATTTCATCATCTCCTAGCAAACTTCAAATTTTGGGAACCAAGCATATTTTATGTGAATTATGCGACTTTGCGTGGAACAAACGAATCGTATTTGTTGGGTAATCCAGAACATTCTATCTTACTCTATAATAAAGCGCGAGCACCCCTATCACGGCAGCGGATGTTTGCCGAGATCTCTGTCTTAATTTCTGCACACTTTCGCCTGTTTCCAGACTGTTTATTCTTACGGTCCGCCGCCTACGCGCAACCTTTGACTCATAACGATAGTGATGCCTGTCTTAAATAATGTTGATCAAGTGCCGTGATCGAAAAAGAGCAATCACTACACAAGTTCAATGATGTAAGCGGTAACATCGACAACTTTTACTCCGTTATAAGCCAAATAGTTTTGAGGAAAAAAAAAGATTCTCTGCAAAACTTCAAAAGTTCCACCCTTAATGGATTAAGGGGGCCAGAAGAAGAAAACTCGTTGTCTACAATCCCAATTTGCTGGCTAGAAAATAAATGCTTTTTGACTAGTAACAAATCTTATAAACTTCAATGAGTTTGGGGTTTGTTCATGAAACATAGTGCAAGCTATGATATTATGTATGCTCTGCCGTCCTGTACTCCTTTAAATGGTTATGAAATAATGAGGGTTTCTCACTGTTCTGGTAACATCTTAGAAATCTGAAGTAGCTGCGATTGAAAGTTTTCCTAATTCAACTTATCAAGAAAAAGCTTCATGCTTGAAGACTGTCCTAAAGTGATGAATTATAGCAGGGCAAAGAAAACAGCTGCCTCTATGTTACATCCATAACAAAGCACAATAAGAGCGCTTTGAAATCGGTGAGAAAAATACTGAAAATGTAAATATACCAAAAAATTTGGGACGAGTGCCGTAGTGGTATGAGGCGCGGCTGCGACCAGGTCGGACCAAGGTTCGATTCCGCTTCTGCACTGCAGCCAAGCCCTCTATGCTTCGGGGCGGTAAATTGGTACTAGGGTAATCTGGGAGGATAAAAGCACTGACTTGGTAATCAGTTGGCCCTGGATTTCACTGGTATCAAGGCCTGCACGATTATCGGCTTGGAACACAAGTCTTGCGAAAAGTTTTTGAAATTCCATAATTTTCTCAGGTACAATGAATCCGTTATAGCAAAAATAATTTGAAAATATTACCAAATCAAGAATCATCATTGTCATATCGCGGCAGAACTGTTGAAACACTTCAAATTCGTTCTTGCTACTTTTAATCCGTCAAAATGCTGTTCATTTCGTTTTTATAATCTTTGTCGTTCAGCTAGAATAAGTCTGTGCGGGAAGTTGTGATTTTCGAATTTTTTAATTTGAGTTTTGATATCGCTCAGAAAAAATTCTCCAATGTCAATACTGCACAATGAAAAGAATACTATACAGGTTAAACGCTGATCCGAGCCTTTAAACGATTTTCTGAATTTTTGGTCCAAGATTGTGTTCCAACTCAATGGAATGCATTCAGCACATGGCCGCGGAAGCGTTGAAGTGCCGAATCCTTAGCCTTCGTTTTAACCAAAAAAGTTCTCTTTTTCAATGCTTTATCCATAAAAACTATAAAATTTCTTGCCATCAAAATCAAACGCATTTGACGTTGCCAGCCAGCTCTATACCAGGCGATGGTGATAATCGGTATAATTGCTGTATTCGGTATGTTTTCAACTTTCTACAGAAATCTTATCTCTTACAGGTTAGACAGCTGACCTCAATATCTATTAATCATTTGATTTCGTAGGTCGTCTACACTGAAGTTCCGGATACAATATGGTCCATATAAACAAGTGTAGTAAGTAATATCATCATGCATCAAAGCCTTCCCACTTATTATAATGACAAGTCAGGTTTTTACACTTTATGAAGTCACTTGTTTTCCGACATCTTTGATTGATTATGCATAAAGAGTCAAAGACCTTTCGGGGTCACTACGTCTGCCATAAATGGTCATGTTACATAATATGTCTTTGGTGCTGCGAGAACACATTTTCAAGCAGTTACTCATGTTTTAGTTTATCATTCCGAGAATTTTTTCGTTCCTTTTTCCGTTTCACTTCACCCAGATTAAATGAAAACGAGAGTTTTGTTATGCTGAGAGAGTATGTGGTGCGTTTTCCAGCTGCTTCCAAACGACTCCCAAATGTTGCCAATTTTCAAGAAAAGGGGGATACCAACATTAATAGGAGATTGAAGATGGGATGCATACCATCAAACGCGCATTTGAACACTGATTCCCAATTTGTTCTCCTTTTTTGCGCAATAGGTTTCCGAAAGAAGTTACGAGCTTACGAGCGTTTGAATATCTAAGTTTACCAAGCATTGAGTGGCTTAAAAGCAACGAAGAGCTGTACAACAATATCTATGCTATATCCACCTTCTTTCCTTGCAAACAATATACTCGATACAAAACTGATTTTCCACTTTCCAGTGTTTTTGTAGAGCTTTTCGCCAATTTTAGGCCACCTAAGCCTTGACAAATTTACACATTTAAACGATCGTAACTTCTTTCGAAAACTTGTTCCGCAAAAAAGAAAGCGGATTTGAAATCAGCTCAGTTTGAAGACTCGTCTACTTATATACATCCTATCTTTAATCGCCGACTAATGCTGTTATCGTTCCTTTGTATGAGAAATTTTTAAATTTTTTATCAGAAATCAAGATTTTCTAAGAGAGAATTATTAATGCAACTTCAAAAAGTTTCTAGAATTTGATGCACGAAAAGCGAGCCTTTATCTATCTCAAAGGGGTCTGCTAAAACTATTGAAATTGTAGAAGTATAAGTTCGTTTCGGCATGCAAACCTCCACAAAAACAATCCTTATTATTTTTATCCGTGATATTCTGAGAAGTAGTAGTTCAATACTTTTACTATCACATATCAACTATTCGGAAATTTCCACTATCACTAAAGTATAGTTATATATCCTAATCTGCTAGATTTCCCATCAGTTCCCTGTATAAGCTTCCTTTCCCTGTGTTATATTTTATTCATATTTCTTTGATTATTCTATTTTGATGTATTAAATCTAATAATTTAGTGAATAGCCATGAAAATTATAACCTGCGATTTTGAAATTCTTGATAAAGAAAGCCAAATTTTTTCACATTTGACTGCGATGAGAAAGTTGGGGTATTTCACTTCTTTGCGCTTTTTTCCATAAAGGAATAAATCCCACACACTTAGTACATTCCAATCCTCACTGAAGTGCTGTTTCCAAAATACGAAACAATGGACAAGAATTTGTTTGCAGTATGTGTAAGAGCCGCAGCATCGGCCGAAAATATTTGTTAGCCAATTTAATAATATAAAAATCGAATTTGGGTCAAAATGAAAATGGAGATCACATGTCGTAAATCTTGTTAATTTTTGCTTGGGAGAAAAAAACCTTTTCGAGTAACCTCAAGTTTGCATCCTATCACCCTACAAGAATATTTTAGATGATCTTCACCTCACTGCTGATTTGCGCTATTCTGGAAGCTTCAATCGCTCTAAATGTTCTTGTTTGGAATCCCGCTATAGCCCATAGCCATATACGTTTTATGGGTAATATAGCGGACATATTGGTCGACGATGGACACAACGTGGTAAGTATATTTGGAGATATCTAAGTTTTTCTAATCCTAGTGAAGGATTAAGAGGAGGGAAAAGTAAAGGTTAAACTTGTCCAAAATGATTTATTTTGAGTCATTTTTTTGCAAAATTATTTTGAATTGCAAAGAAAAAAATTCCGATAAGCTTCGTAAAAGAATTTCCCGGTGTTGGCCAAAAATTAGGAAAGTCACAGGGAATTTTTTTGATCCTGTGGTGTTCTAAAGAATAATTTCGAATAATCAAAAATTATTTGAAAATTGAATCAAAAAACCCCTCGATCGCCGTTGCTTATTTGATGTTTAAGGAAACAGAATCTCTTTGCATTGGCCTAATACCAGATGGATTCTTGATTCTCAGATTTTTTTGTTTATAACATGCTTTTTTCAGACAATTGTATCACCAATAATGGATCCTCATGTGAATATGGTCGGTCATCGTTCACCGGCAGAACAAATAACTCATCGTTCGAAATATTACGACCCAAACGACTGGCCATTGTCGAAGTGAGGAATGCTAATTATCCTTTGATTCAACAGGATTGGCAGCTGGAAGGCGTGGTTTCGAGGCGTGTAGTCTAGAGAGTGATTAAAGAGCAAGTCCGCGAGCTAGACGTAGGCTGTGTTGCGGCGCGAGCGGTCATCTTCCAGCCGCCAATCTCGTTGATTCAAAGGGTACCAGGTCCTTAATTTTCCAATTAAGCTATAGATTTTAGCTTCAAAGACAAATTCTGGAATGCCCCAAAGGTGGAAGGGCGCTGTATGAATCCAGAAGATATGGATAATTTTATGGAAATCAATCATAAAGTATGCAAAGGTAGGAGCCATCTTTGGTTTGGTCTCTTCAAAATTTGCTAAATTTAGGATTGTTGGAGGATACAGTCTATCTCAATGCCCTCCGCGACCGTCATTTTGATATCGCAATTCACGAAATTTACGATTATTGCGTAGTAGCTGTTCTTGAAGTATGCTTTGACCAAACATTGTTTCATGACTTTTCCAATGCTGTTATTTTCCTTACAATCGTTGTTTTAGATGATTGGCATCAAAAACACCATAGTGGTATCGGCAGTGGGTGTCACTTCCCATATACAAGATATTGCAGGATTTCCAACCAATCCTAGTTTTGTTCCAGGTAGGACTGTCATTGGCATTTTACCAAATTCTCTATCTTAGCTTCGCATGAGCGTGGATGGAAGGAACTAGAACTAGGAAGTTTCAACAAACTTCGCCATATGATATAACCCTACGAGGTTTCCTTCGACCTTCTCAGAGCCCCCTCGCAACCATTTACTTGTCTTTTTGTTTTTGGGTTGACGCCCAGCCTAGAATATATGTCAAAAAAGTGAAAATTCCCCTTTTTATTTATTCCATCATCTGCCACAGCAAAACAGTGAAGTCTCTGAAACCAAGAAATGTCATGTTACTGAAGGAGGGATAACCAGATAGGGACAGTCGTGAGGTTACCCAGCGTCAGATGAAAATGCATTTGCCCTTGTTTGGAGCGCGCTTTAAGGTCGGAGCAGATTGAAAATTTCTGCGGGCTAGAAAACAGCTTAAACGAAATAATTAAACCTTTGCTTTTTATACTGAAGGTATAATTGTAAAGAAGTATGAAAGATTATGTGAGCCAAGCTTCGCGTCCAGCTCAGCTGCTATCCGGCTGCAGTTCTAGCTATTATAGCTCTTAGATAGTAACCGCAGCTTCCAATCACATAAGTTGTTCAAGTCTCTTTAAGCGCTTGCGCATAGCAAATTTGGTGTCATGCCACTTACAAGGCTTCTTCTAGTTGGAAAGAGCATGTCTCCTGCATGCCGGCGGCATGCCAGTGGAGTGCGTGCCTCTCTTCTCCCGAAACCCTGCAGAAAGTAGATACATATATCCAGCATGACCCGATTCCATCTGCTTCGAGCTGTGCTCAAAATGTCACCAAAAATGTCTAATTTTATGAAATTAATAACTTTTAAATTTAAGGCATATTCACGACATATATTGATGAGATGTCGTTCTGGGAACGTTTGGATAATTTCAAATTTGAAATGGAAACGCGTAATCGTAAGATTTATTGGGAAAAGGACATCTGGAAACTGGCCAATGAGATTAGACCCGGTTTTCCAGCTTTGTCAACTTTGCTGCAGGTTTGTGATTACTATCGCTTCCACGCTATTAAAACAATTCGAGTAATGACAATTGAAAGACAATCAATGCGCAAGTTTCTTCTATATTTTTCAAATATCGCCAGAATTATTCGCCCGTCGTTCCTCTCTACCCAAAGATTCCTAACCTTTAAAATTTACATACTAGACTTCAACGAAGAGATAATATCAGAAAGATAGAGCTGCTGTCTGTTCTTCTGATTTTCTTTGGAACTTTACGAATTCGTTTTTTTGGCGATCACGGTAGAATCATGAAGCAGTAAGCAGACAGCAGAGAACGCCCTTTGTTTTGATGGACTGGATCTTTTGTCATAAACATAATCGTAACACGCCATTAATGTTACATACTACATACTACATGCTACATGCTACATACCACATACTACATACTACAACATCTGCATTATCATCTTTACACCGTGGTGTACTTATGGTGCAGCAACAGGCTGACCTTATAAGTGCCAACTTTCTAGAAGACGACCTTCTAATAGGACAGATATATAAGAACATAAGAAAAGAAAGCAAAAAAATTTTTTGCTCGTAGTGGTTCAGGGCTAGGAACTAGACAGTACTGTGCCCTTTCCTGGCGCCTCTATGTTCGGAACCATTCCATCAGTAGCTCCCAAAGAAGATACCAAAAGGTGTGAAGGAAAATAGAGTGACCATAATAAAATGATGATGCACTATTTGGACAAAGAAAGAGGTACGGATGCCCTAGTTGAGATGTATTGTTAGAATGAAGTTTGAGTTTTAAATACTCCCTTTCCCATCATTATGTTCTTGAATTGGCAGTGCTCCAAATATTCGTTCAAAGAATGGTATAGCTCATTCATAAAATCGTGATGACGGATTCGTGCGCGCTTTGCTCATACAAAAGCTTAAAACACTCATACAAGAGGCATCACCTCAACGCCCACCTTTGTCACTTCCAGTGTATAAATAATATCATACGTAAGCAGAAATACCAATCAAGTAGAAGATGAAAATGCGGTTGCCGGAGGTGCGTGCGTGTCGCGTGCGGGCGCGCCATCGTCACGACTTTTCGAATGGCCTATATATGGCCTTGGAAGGGTTATCAACCCATATACATTCCTTTTATTAGGCTAAGTCCCAACAATCTTCTTCTAAAATCTGTGTGTTCCACAAATTCTATAAATCTTCAAAGTTCGATGTTAATATGTTGAAAAGAGTACCTGGGTATACTTGATGTCATTCTTGTATATCTAGTAACCTCAAAGTTATGATCGTCTGTACTATTATAAAGACAACATTTCGCCCCTCTACCCTTATTCGTGAATGTTGGATCCAAAAAGTTTGTTTGCGATGTCTGAGGGGCTTTCATTTAGGAGAAAACTGGAGCCGTTTTATTGAATACCAATGAAGTTACCGAGAGCCCCCGACCAACAGCTAATATACTGCGTTATATTGGGGGAGCCACGCTTCGTGAGCCGAAGAAGCTGGATGCGGTAGGTAAATTTGTGTCTTTTGTGCTGTTAAATCAGAGTGATTCAGGAACTTGATGCCTTATTGAACAAACGTCCTGAAACTGTCTTATTCTCCTTGGGGTCAATTTCTCTATCAAAAGACATGCCTATGAGGTTGAAGCAAGGTATAAAGTTGTCCTCAAAAACACTCACCTAAAAAAGGAAATATTTGCCTATTTCCAAATATTAAATATGAAATTGTGCGGGTGTATATCAGGAGGCGCGATTTCTATTGTCAGATGAACACCAAACAGCACATAATGAGTGCTTCATAACATTCTAAAGATATTTAAGTTTTAGAAGAAGATATATTAGATAGTTGCATGGATTGCTCAATCTATTGCAAATATCAATTTTGAAGGTCAAAAATACATGAAAACGCAAATGAGAACAAATTCGTAAATATTTCCGTTTTCCTGCAAAGGTCACCAAACAAAGCAAGTGGTAAGATCAGACAGATAGTAAGTCAATGCACTTTACCTGATATTTTCTGAAGATTCGCATGGCACTAGACTGGAGTGTTGAGTTGACAACAGCCGGAAAAATCGCGCCTCTTGACCGTCTCCCAAATTGTGCGAGCCTATCAAATGGAATTTTTCATTAGTTGAAAGATTGTCGCCTTTTTGACTACACTTGTTCCGATTCAGAGATAATTGCTGCTTTTGCTTCATTTCCTAACACAACATTCATATGGAAGTACGAGGAGGAAAACGATGCTATACTCTTCAAAAAATACCCAAATATATACACTATGAAGTGGGTACCTCAAACTGATCTGCTTGGTAAGTGCCTTTCATCTTTCTTTTGCGATCCATTCCGAAAAGAATACAGTTGAGTAGAGGACTATATGTCGCCGAAAAAGGGCGGTCCCCGCGGTCATTTGCGACAAATACGCACTCTTGTACATGCGCGGACATGCGTTCCTGCAGGGAATCCGCCCGGGACTCTTCCAAATTCGGCGACATATAGTCTCCCACCCAATACAGTTGAGTAAATTTTTCACGTAGTATAGTGTGCTCGTGGTGCAGAGAAAATGCGGTAAAGCATGCGCGTGAACGCGCTGCGCAGCGCTGCGCGGCTGCGCTTGTGACGCTCGCCACCTGCCGCAAAATGCCGGCTTTATTGGCGTGGCTTTTTGTTCACGCCTAAATTTTCATTGCATTTTCTCGGCACCGCAAGCACCCTATATCAAGCGGGAAATCTACTTGACTTTAGAAAAATTTGTGTTTTCTAGCTGACAAGCGGCTGTCGCTTTTTATCACACACGCTGGCATGAATTCTGTCCTGGAAGCGGTGTTCTCTGGCAAACCGATGGTCACAATTCCATTATTGTGGGACCAAGTCGCGAATGCAAAGAATGCGCAAAGCCGAGGTGTGGGTGTCATGGTCGATAAACATGATCTCAGAAGAGACACACTGGTTGCGGCTATTCGAGCAACGCTGCCCGCCAATGGGTTAGTCTTTGTGACACTCAAAAACACCGTCCACCCAAGCTAGGGATGATGAGGTTCTGATGCCGTATTTGGCGGGGACCCTGACTGAGCAACTGCTCAAGTCTAGCTGCAAAAGATGAGTTCCAAAGCGAGAAAACAAAAGAAAAGAGAAGAAAGTAAAAACCGCGCCTCAATGAGGGTGATCTGAAAATTGGAGTCCGAGATTCCTCAGGATAGACAGTAGTGTTGCAGATTCGATGATGATAATGAAGAGCGGGTCTGCGTTAGTTCTGGATACACTGAAACCCAAGTTCGGACTTTTGTCTTCGGACCTCAAATGTTGATGGGCGGGGCGAACATGGCCGCTTCTCCCTTCTGGAGCTTTTCTCGCTTTGAAATTCTTCTTTTGCAGGCAGCTTGAGCGATTGCTTACTTACAGGATCCGCTATCATATAGCATCGAAATCTCATCACCCTAATTTGGGTGATCGGTGCTGTAAATAATTCAAACTTATGGTTCAATTTTTACTTCACATCTACTTCTAGCACTTACGCTCGCAAGGCAGCTAGCTTAGCGAGATACCTTCACGGACGACCAGCTGCAGCTCGCGCGGAAATATCCCACTGGGTGAAACTGGTCGCTGAAGAGGGCCAGTTGGATCATCTAGTCCTGAAGTCTAGGGACATGTCCTTCGTGACATATTATTGTTTGGACATTCTAGCCTATCTGGCTGCTCAGTACATAATCATCTCATTTTTGATATTTAAGTTCTCGAAGTTCATTTTTACACGAATTTGTAGAGTAATTATTAGAGTCAAATCTGAATAAATCTATAATCATTTGTAAGTTTCGAGAGGCTATGCGATATTTGTGTTCCTACGATCTCCTGCATCGTTGACTTGCGACCAGGGTCAAGCTTGTGATGCGACTGTCGCAACGGGGAGTCGTAAAGAGGGTATCTAAGGTGGGGAAGGGGGTCGTAAAAGGAGGCAGTTAGGCTAAAATACCCTAAGATTAAAAGGGAATCAAAAAGCAGATAATTAGTTATGTTCTTTACAATAAATCTGTAAAAAAGTGAAAATCAGAATCAAAAAGATAAAAAACCTGTAAAAATTCTCAAAAAAAAAACATTTACAAAGCTCAAAACACTTCTGAAGGATATATGGTTAAAAACGTGGTTGGATAAAAATGATAACTGTACCGATTGTCCTGGAAATCTTGCTTCTGAAGCCTTCCTGAAGTCCCACACTCTCGACAAAAGCGAAAATCTTCACCAGCTGTGACCATCATGAATTACTAAATCTTTTTGTAATGTTTTTCACGGGGCCCGTATGATTTATCTGTACTTTGGAGATGCTCTGCTATATCAATGCAAAATTTGGTGTCATTTTGTCAACTGTGGATTTTCTTATGATTTTATGTATGGTAGCAAAAAATGAGAAAGGGGGTGTCGTATCTGCGCCTCATCTAAATTTCTCTTGAGCTTTTGAAGCTTGTTCACTGCAAACTTGCAGTAATATGAGGCCATCCCTCTACTTTTATCATAAGAATTTAATGCTGTTTCGTAACTTCTCCGGTGAGATACAAAATTAAGCTCAAAAATCCCACTTTTTGCTTTTTAGGATCGCATCTAAATTTGCGAGAGTCGCATCTAGATTTTTTCGAGCTTACTGCTCCTCAATGGCTGAATTTTTTCCATGCATGGTATGAGCACTATACTACAAAGCCTGTTCATCGCAGCCTCTCAATTTTTCCCTGCCTTTAGTTTTGAATTTTCAAAACACCGTACTCATGCACGTTTTTGACATCGTTCTGGATGGCGCTAAAACAGTTTTTTTGCATGAAAATCTGTGCAAAAGGTAGGAAGTAAGCCTTTTAGTTGAAAACGTATTTTACGCTTCAAACATATCGTTTTTTTCTCCCTTCAAAAAAATGGTATCGCATGCGCGGAACGAATTTGCTGGCCAGAAGTATGCTTGAAAATTCAAAAAAAAAAAATCTTGCAGAAACCCAAACATTATTGAAGGTGTGTGTGCGTGCCAGAGATGTTGCACGTACCCCTTGGCTCAGAAATTCTGCTTTCGAAGCCCCACTGAAGTCTCACACACTCGACAAAATATCATATCTTTACCAACGGTGACCGTCAGTAATTTGTAAATCTTAAAGTAAAGCTTGATTATCATGATTGGAATCGATGTTCTGTTTCATCAGATAATGTCCTTTCCATTTATATTTTCCCAACCACAATAAACATAGCCAAAACTTCATGGAGTTTTACTACCTATCCAATCTACGCAGAATTATTTGTGAGTTGGTTTTTGAATGGCGAAGCATTACTTGCATTATTTCCCAATTTGTAAGTAGTTATATATTTCTGATCTATAATTTTGATGGAGGTCCATTAGCAGGCATCTTTTGAGATTGACATTCATTTATGCAGGTTACCGCAAAAGAAAGTGGGAGGGGTAAGTGGGAGGGGGCGGGGGTAGATGGTAGGGGGGGGGGGAGTAGGTGAGGAGGGAACCCTACGGATAGGTACCTTCAGGGAGGGGGTGCATCTTTACGAGCTCTTGCTACAATGCTCTCTAGAGTTGACTTACTGCGACTGTGTTTGAGGTAAGTGAGTCAGTGACTGTATTTAACAGCGCGAGAACGTTTCAGCAAAGCTTGATTTTCAAACCGCGGAAAGCGATGTAGCTAATTCTATTTTATCTAAATTACGATCTTAAGCCATGAGCCATTGGTGGGTGAATAGGTACTGTTTGATTCAATCGCGGCAGGAAGGCGGGGCTTCGTGACCTGGTTAAGGCTAGAGGACTCAGAGAGCACGAGGGCGAGAGAGACGCCGACTGCGTCGTGGCGCGAGCACCTTTATTAGGTCACAAAACCCCGCCTTCCAGCCGCCATTCCAGTTGAAAGAAAGGTAAAGTGAAAACTTCTCCTTCGGCAAAAAAAGTAGAGCTAATGGAAGCTGCAGTACATTTATCAAGCATACCCCAAAATCAAGAATCAGTAGGATTCAATGATTTTCGGCGATCGTTTCCAAATCAGAGCATAACGACCTACAAGTGATCCATAAATAACTGACTTGAGCAGCAAAATTTTTTTTACAAAATATCGCTAAAAATCCGTAAACCAATCAGCTTGAGGTGATTTTTCAAAGGTAAAAGTTAGCAAGTGTTGCTCCTTTCATGTGGAGATTGTCTGATATTTACTAATCCCTTCTACGAGATCGCTTAAATAAAGTGTATCTCGTTTCCAGGATACTATGAAGGAGAATTCAAATGATTGATAAGAGCTATAGAAACTTCTGTGACCGCTATGCGGAACAAAGTTTGTAGTCATCATTGTAGATCATCACATCAAAAAATCGAACACCAGGAAATTCTTATATACAGGGTGTCCCACAAGTATGTATACACTGTTTGATCGTCAATATCTCTTTTCCCACTTTTTAGATGGCATCAATTAATCACAATTTTAGTCAAAATTTGGAACAGTTGTTGCGGTTTACCTAATATAATTATGAAGGAATTACTGTGGTAAAGTGTAAGTTTCTTATTTACTTTTAGCAACTCTGATTAGCCTATAGTAAGAGTTTTCAAGTTGTTTGATTTGCTTTCTGAAGCAAAATAAGGTCTCGATGACTAAAAATCTTTAATGAATTTCCCACTAGTCCTACAGGAATGAATAGGACATAGTGTAAACCAAGTTGAGCTAGCTCTACAAAATGGTACCGGGAGCTAAGTAAAACACTTTTTCGGAAGAGATAACAATCAACCAGTGTATACATACTTTCGCGACAACCTGTATAAAGCTGAATGCCTGTCTGTATGTACGTTCCAAACAGAAAATTCTATCTTTGAACCGATCCGGAACAAACTTGGCAAACATGCACTTCGAGGCGGGGTGGGTGTCGTAGGCTACTTTTCCTTATCGATTGATATCGATCTCATCGATTTTTGGAAGGTTTGTATTATGGGGCTTGGAGTTGGCACGGTGGCGGGGGGGGGGGGGGTAAATAAGCATGCTGTTTACGAAAATATTGTTGAAGGGCGGAGCCGAGTTTTCCAGCTAATTTCTGATAATTGCGGATGTGCATAATGTAAAAACTGCATTCCTGCCTGTATGCCATTGATACGGCAAAACTTATTCTTGTTACGCGACGGACTCCGTAGGTGGTCCATCTGGCACCAAACCCGTGTTGTTTCTGAATGATAGCAACGTACTGATTGTCTGCGATATCGCTTGTGATAAAGCTATGCGAACATTTCATTTATCTTTATAAATCTTTTTACGAGATGGAGAAGTTTTTGAGCCAGTAACATATGAGTGGTTCCTGTATGATAACGACTTTATTCGACTCAATACAGAAAGGGATTATTCTGCTTTTGGTTTTCTTTTATCTTTTTTTCCTCTTCCATTTCCTTTCATACTCTCGAGATATGAACTTTTTAGATCCAAAGCGCGTGTAGCATTGTATTCATATCCGAGACGATACATGAGTTTACACAGTGCGCATTCCTGCCTTAGTCTCTCTCTTTTCTTTGCTTGCCATGCATATTGCAATATACTCCAATTGCAAATGACGGAACACTGTGACAAATAAATTGCAGTATTTACGTGACGAATGGCTTACGTTGGTTTACCTCCTCTGGAACGCCTATATATGGTGTTTTGGGTTCCATGTACGTGTGATTGTTGAAACCGCCATCGAGCTTGGCAGAGTTTCTGTCTTTAGTCCTCTTCTTGAAAAAGCTCCTTTTTGGATCCGGAGCAATCGTGGCATTTTGATTCGAACCAGCAGCATTGTATTCGAATTCGAGACGATACATGAGTTCACACAGGTTGCATTCCTGCTGTATTCTCCGTCTTGTCCCTCTCATCAGTTGCCACAAACGTTCATACGTATTCCAATAGCACAAGTCGTAACACTGTGACAAATAAATTGCAATTTTTACGTGACGAATGGCTTAGTTGGTTTACCTCTATTGGACCACCTCTATATGGTGTATCGGGTCCCTTGTACATGCGTTTGTTGAAACCGCCTTCGAAAGGCCTTGGCGAACCGGACTTGGCAATAACACAGACCAAGAAGAAAATAATAAACAATTTTGAATACAGCATTTACCTGAAAGTGACCATTTTTGTTGCTATTTACAAACTGGTTAGATGTAAAAAACAAGTTTTGAAACACCTTGTCAATTACTAGAATTTGAATTTAATCTTTCCACAATATTTGGCAGAATATGCAGATCATAAATCAAAAAAGAATTTTTTACAATTTACGAAACAATCTCATGGAGAAAATATCGAATATAAGCAGCAAGTAGAAACTTTTCAGTCGTAGGATATTGAAGCTAAGAGAAATTATGAAGATATGTCAATAACCACAAAACTTCTTGCGAGTGAGCTAATTAAGTGTAGTTAAGTGTAGCTATAGCGTCCCTCTCTTTATAGCACTTATGTTCACCTTACATGTTTACAACATATGTCAGTAAGTAATCATAATATTTCGACTTTGGAAATAGGAAAATAAGAAGTACTCTGTTTGAGCAACTGCTGCTAGCGTATGGTACGCATGCACTACTGTTCCAAACAAAGGGAAATACTACGTTCTTCTTTGAAGTCTCGACAGCAATGGCTTGCATTGGTAGCCCCTGTGATCCTTTGGAACTGAGGCGCTCTCAGTGCGCGTACACTTTTTCCAATCAAGAACATCGGAGACTTGAGAGAGGTCCATCTCGATTTGCCCAACTTGCAAGTTTCGTCTGCACTTTCTTTCCAAAAGGCAGGTGAAGAAGCCAGCTGTTTACTTTTTCTTGTGTATCAAGTAAAATATTAAAAAAAATCCCTTTTGTAATACGTAGAATTTGAGAACGGCATGTTGAAAGCTGATTTCTCTTCTCTAGAGACAACAAAATTTCTGATTGAGTCAAAAAGAATGTCTTTGACAGTTTAGGGGAAGCTCCGAGAGCAGATTGCTAAATTTCGTTCGCGAGCAACCCAATTTTTCGACGCTTTCGAGGATACCATTCCTGCAGCTTCTATTGAATATATGACACTAGCATATAGGTCGGTGTCAACGTTGTGCTCCCATTCCGATCACCGTCTTTGTCATTTTGTCAATCTCTATCTCTTCATCATGATCAGAGTTTGGCACGAGCTATAATCAGAGAATTTTAACAAAATCCGCCTTTGATTTGGTGAAATTTTACGAGGCCCCTTCCGACCCTTTTAAAACCCTCTCGCTGCCGTTTACTTGTCTTTTTGTTTTTGGGCTGCAACCCCAGAATAAAGGGTAAAAAAGCGAGAACTTGCTTTCTTTTTTCTATTCGACCACACCGCAAAAAAATAAAATCTTTGAAACAAGAAATGTTACTGAAGGAGGGATAACTAAAGAGAGGCAACCCAGCGTCAGATGAAAATGCATTTGCGCTTGTTTAAAGCGCGTTTTGAGATTGGAGCAGATTGTGCCGTCAGAGGAAGATTTCTGAGGGCTATTTAACGGACAAACAAAATAATGAAACCTTTTCTTTTTATACTAAAGGTACAACTTATGTAAAGAAGTATGCACATTTCTAGGCATATTCACCATATACTGATGAGATGTCTTTCTGGGAATGTTTGGATAATTTCAAATTTGAAAAGGAAACGCGTAATCGTAATTCTCCACGTTCGACTTTCAGTGAATCTTGGCATTACGATATGCTTGTTTCTAGATGTTAAGCCTCCACCAAGATTGTTACAACTTTTATTTCGGCTGACGTTTCGGCCAACTCGCCTTCGTCGGAGCCTGTAAGTGAGGAACAAATGAGATTCATCCTCCCAAACGTCTCATCAAATGCAAGGAACAGACAAAAGTTGGCTGGACTTACAGGCTCCGACGAAGGCGAGTTGGCCGAAACGTCAGCCGAAATAAAAGTTGTAACAATCTTGGTGGAGGCTTAACATCTAGAAACAAGCGTAATCGTAATGTTTACTCCGAAAAAGACATCTGGAAATCGGACAACGAGATCAGACATGGTTTTCCTGCTTTTTCAACTTTGCTGAAGGTTTGTGATTATTATCGTTTTCATGCTTTGAGCGATCAAAAGACAATGCGCTCAATGACATTGAAAGGCAGTTGAAGCGCAAGTTCTCTTTTTATAATTTTGAAACATCGCCAGAATTATTTGTCCGTCTTTCCTTCCTGCCCAAATTCGTGACCTCTACAATTCACATTTTAGACTATGATGAAGGGCTAATACTAGGCTAATCTAAAAGTTCTGTCCGATTTGCGATTTTTTCATCTAAAATCTTATAACTTTTTTTCAAAATCAATAATTTTGGACGAATTAAATTTTGTTGAATAGAGCGTGTTTATGGCTATCACATGCACTGCATGACATGTAAGGAAAGCAAGCGAGAGAGAAAAGAAAATTTTTTGAATTTTGCAAGGTTTTTTCCAAAACCGTCCAGTTTGACTTACTAATGCTTCCATATGAGAATGGACAGACATATTTGGCTGAAATCACCAACTAGCCTACACTTCAGAGTTTCTTTTGCGACTAGAGGAAATTTGAGTTATTTTTGCTGCATAGAAATTTTTGCGAGCAAAATATGCCTTTTCTTGCTGTCGCAAACAAGGAAAGCCAACTGACCGATGGTTCTTGCTTGCTTTCGCTTTACTCTAACATATGCAATTTTGAATGCATCACCAGTTGCTATATGTAGATTGTTGTCGCTCGTTAAATAACTGAGTTTGTTTTATATCTTTGAAAAAAATTGAAAAAGTAAGACATTCTCTACGTTGGAGGAAAAGTGTGCTTATGTTAGCCCACTACACTCTCACCTATTATAATATATTAAACATTTAGTTTTACGAATACTGTGGAAGTTCTCTTCATGGAAACTTTTTCTTGGGCATGACTGCATTTTGACAACTTTGCTTTGGGGCTTGAAGTTTCATCACTGGAAAGTTGATTTGCCAAGCATCAATGAGCACTAGAAAGAGCAGGAAACGTTCTCTTAGATGATGTTATGACAGTGCCATAAGTGCAAAACCCTAAGAAAATAGCTACGTTGAAATAAGGCAATTGAAAATCGGACAGAACTTTTGAATCAGCCTAATATTAGAGAGCGAGAGAGAGAGAGAGCTGCTGTCTGTTCTCTTGATTTTCTCTAGAACTTTACAAAATGTTTTTGGCGATTACGGTAATCGTGAAGTAGAAAGCAGACAGCAGCAGATTGAATGCCCTTTGTTTTGATGAATGGATTTTTTGTCATAGACATATTTGCAACGTTATTGATGCCACATACTACATACTACATGGTACATACCACATACTACACACTAGTACATTTGCAATGTCATCTTTGTACTTATGCAAGTGCAGCAACAGGTTGACCTTGTAATAAGTAAGAAAATTCCAGAAACAACCTTCTAATACGACAGATATACTATAAGAACATCAAAACAAGAAAGCAAAAAAAATTTTTACTCATAGCGGTTCGGGGCTAGGAACCAGACAGTACTGTGTCCTTCCCTGGCGCCTCTATGTTCGGAACCATTCCATCAGTAGCTCCCAAGGAAGGTACCAAGAGGTATGATAATGAACTTGTTTTATACAAAGAAGAGGTACGGATGTCCTAGTTGAGATGTATTGCTATGATGAAATTTGACTTTTGAATATTTCCTTTTCCACTATTATGTTCTCGAATTGGCAGTAGTCCAAATATTCATTCAAAGAATTGTATAAGTCATTCATAAAGTCGTGACGACAGATTCGACTGCGCTCATTGCTCCTACACAACCTTAAAACACTCATACAAGAAGGCATCACCTCAACGCCTAGCTTAGTCACTTCCAGTGTCCAAATATTATCAGACGTAAGCAGAAATAACACTCAAGTAGAAGATGAAAATGCGGTTGCCGGAGATGCGTGCGTGTCGCGTGCGGTCGCGCCATCGTCACGACTTTTCGAATAGCCTATATATGGCCTTAGAAGGATTATCAACCCATACATTCCTTTTATTAGGCTACGTCCCAACAATCTTCTTCTAAAATCTGTGTGTTCAACAAATTCTATAAATCTTCAAAGTTCGATGCTAATATGTTAAAAAGAGTACCTGGGTATACCTGATGCCCTTCTTGTATACCTAGTGACCTTAAAGTTATGATCGTCGGTTTTATTATAAGGACAACATTTCGTCCCTCTACCCTTATTCATGATTGTTGGGTCCAAAAAGGTTTTTTGCGATGTCTGAAAGGCTATTGATTTTAGAAGGAAAATGGAGCCGTTGTTGAATACCAATGGAGTTACCGAGACCCTGCGACCAACAGCTAATATACTGCGTTATATTGGGGGAGCTACGCTTCGTGAGCCGAAGAAGCTAGATGCGGTAGGTGAATTTCTTTCTTTTCACGTGCTGTTAAATCAGAATCATTCAGGAACTTGATGCCTTATTGAACAAACGTCCCCAAACCGTCCTTTTTTCATTGGGGTCAATTTCCCTCTCGAAAGACATGCCCATGAAATTGAAGCAAGGTAGAAAGTTGTCCTCATGAATACCGCCTGGAAAAGGAAATACAGGGCGTCCCAAAAGTATGTACTACTGTTTCATCCTTTATATATCTTTTTCCAAGAAGTCTTTTGCCTTCCTTTACCGTTTTGTAGAGCTCGCTTCAACTTAGATTTACAGTGTGGAGGCGGACCACCGATCGCTGTTCGTTATTGTAGGACTACGGTAGAACTTCGCATATTGCGTCGCTATGAAAGGACCGTTTTAGATAATTTCACGCAAAAATTGATAAATTTTATAATAGGTTTTCGTGGGCTCTGAGTTCAGTACTCAGCTCTGTAAAAGTATGTGAAGCTTGCTAAACGGTGTTATCGTACTTTATAAGAACATCAAACTAGCTGCTTCAGCATCATGATAAGATGGAGACTTCATATTTAGAAGCAACAACTGTAATTAGCCTAGTGTGAGATGTGAAGTTTGTTTAGATTCTGCTATGCATCTTTATGAGCTTTTGCTGCGTCGCTCTCTAGATCTTACTTACTGCGACTGCGTTTGAGGTAAATGAGTCAGTGAGTGTATTTAACAGCGCGAGAACGTTACAGTAAAGCTTGAATCCAAACCAGCGGAAAGCGATAAACTTAGCTAATTCCAATTTATCTAAATTACGATCTTAACCCATGAGCCATTGGTTGAGGCTCACATTTATTAGATGAATAGGTACCGTTTAATTCAACGCGGCTGAAAGGCGGGGCTTCGTGACCTGGTTAAGGCTAAAGAACGATCAGAGAGCACAGGGCGAGAGAGACGCCGACTGCGTCGAGGACGCGAGCAGCCTTTATTAGGTCACAAAGCCCCGCCTTCCAGCCGCCATTCCAGTTGAATGAAAGGTAAAGAGAAAACTTCTCGTTCGGCAAAAACAAAGAAAAGTAGAGCTAATGGAAGCTGCAGGACATTTATCAAGCACACCCCAAAATCAAGAATCATTAGGATTCATTGATTTTCGGCGGTCGTTCCCAAATCAGAGCATAACGAGTGATCCATAAATAATGACTTGAGCAATAAACATCATTTTTACAAAGTATCGCTCGAAATCCGTAAACATCAAGCAGCTTGAGGTGATTTTTCAAAGGTAAAAGCTAGAAAGTATTGCTCCTTTCATGTGAAGTTTGTCTGATATATACCAATCCCGTCTGCAAGATCGCTTGAATAGAGTGTGTCTCGTTTTCAGAATACTGTGAAGGAGAATTCAAAAGATTGAAAATAGCCATAGAAACTTCTGGTGACCGCTAAGCACCCGCAATCGGCAAGCGAGTGCTACAAAACTGCGCAAAGTTGCACACAAATTTCCTATAAAAACATCAATTAATTACTAACACAACCTGCATATAGATACTAACTTTTCAGAGCATGTGAAGAGAAGGTTGCGGAATAGAGCTTGTAGTTATCATTGTAGATCATCACATCAAAGATTCCAACACGCAGGAAATTCTCATATAGAGGGTGTCCCAAAAGTATATATACACTGTTTGATCGTCTATAGTGTGGACCCCGGCCAGGTTCTCATATGTACCTTCGCGCCGCGCACGCAACGCGCGTCGGGCTGCCTTCTAAGCGCCCTCGTGTTTTCGTGTTTTTTCGAATTTCTAAGCTTCTTTCTTCTTCTTTCTCCGTTCTTTGTGCTTGTACTCTGTATTTCAGGCAAGAAATGGCAGATAATCGCTGCAACATGCCCTCTTCTCTGTTATCCAACATGTTTAAGAAGCTGAACAAGGTAAGACTCGGTCTCCCGGTTGCTGCAGCCGACCCCTCTCTTGAATTTTCCTTCTAAGTTAGCCCAAGTTCTGTTCAAGGACTCGCCGAGGTCTTGCAACCAAGTGCGATAAGCGAAAAGAACTCCTTATTTGACCCCATCTGGATTCAAAGTGTTTGATTACGTGTGGCCGGTTGGTGAAACACGGGGTGTCCTTCATAGGAACAGGAATTCGAAACCGTACTCGCATACATTGTCTGAACAAGCACCTCATGCTTTTTGTCTCCATACTTCAAATAATTGTAGATGAAAAGATCACAAGTGTGACGGTACAGATACACGATAAATATGCTAAACACGAGTTCAAGGGGTGTATGTCAAGAGGCGCGATTTTTATTGCCAGATGGACACCAAATAGCATATAATAAGAGGTTTATAGCATTCTCAAAGTATTTGTATTCTAGAATAAGATATATTAGATAATTGCACGAGTTGATTAATCTTGCTGCCTTGGAATTAATTCAAAACAGCAACTTTAAAGGCCAAAAACCTATGAAAATGCAGTTCAGAACAAATTCGTAAATATCTCGGTCCGTTTTCCAGCAAAAGCCACCAAACTCAGCAAGTGGTAACCACAGACAGACAGAGAGCCAACGCACTTGATCTGGTACTTTTTGAAGACTCACGAAGCACTAAATTGAAGTTTTGAGTTGATGACAGCCGAAAAATCGCGCCTCTTGACCGTCTCCCGAGTTCAAGTTCGTTTAGACAATCTGTGCAGTTGGGCTAACCTAGAAGGAAAATTCAAGAGGAGGGTCCCGCTGCAGCAACCGGCAGACCGAGTCTTGCCTGGTTTAGCTCCTCAAACATGTTGGATAGCAGGGAAGACGGCGTGTTGCAGCGGTTATCTGCCGTTTCTTGCCTGAAATACAGAGTACAAGCACAAAGAACGGAGAAAGAAGAAGAAAGAAGATTAGAAATTCGAAAGGACACGAAAACACGAGGGCGCCTAGAAGGCAGCCCGACGCGCGCTGCGTGCGCGGCGCGGAGGTATAAGCTCCTGCAAGACGAAGGCGGTCGATTCAATGCGCAACGCGGCTGCGACATGGCTGCGTCACAGCCGCGTCACAGCCACGTCGTACCTCGAACCGACCGCCTTCGTCTTGCAGGAGCTTATACATATGGGAACCTGCCCGGGGTCCACACTATATATCTCTTTTCCCAAGAGGACTTCTGCTACCTTCAAGTGCCATTTTGTAATTGGTTTCAACTTTGATTTACAATATAAAGCGTGTGCCACTATAGGGCAACTGTAACTGGGAGATAACACAACACGTCGCTAGGAACGTTTATTGTGACACTGAGGAAGCTTACAACAGAAGAGCCCCGTTGACCCCCGAACCCGCCCGCTTTACTGCGGGATGATTAATGTATAGGTCGGTTCGGCCACAATACGTAGCAAATGGCCGAACAGGTTTTTTTATGATAAGAAATCGACATTGCACAAGGCGTTGTCGTAGTTCAATTCCACAAAGGGTAGAACTATTAATGCGCTGCTTACCGCAGGGCTAGATAGTGGCTCAGAAATTTGGCCGATGCACCAGAATTGTGCCACTATAGGGCAACTGTAACTGGGAGATAACACAACACGTCGCTAGGAACGTTTATTGTGACACTGAGGAAGCTTACAACAGAAGAGCCCCGTTGACCCCCGAACCCGCCCGCTTTACTGCGGGATGATTAATGTATAGGTCGGTTCGGCCACAATACGTAGCAAATGGCCGAACAAAGCGAATCACCGAACGTTCTTCATTACTGTATGATTACAATGAAACTTTTAGCTCATAGAGTCTTTGTGAATAAACCTTTTTCGGAAAATTTCCAAAAAACCTGCAAAGTGGTGTACCAGGGTTTTCACGCGCACTGACTTCATTACTCAAATTTCTGAAAGTTTGTGAGATTTTTTACATGGCGTAATCACAATTTTGAGTAACATTTTGAAACAGTTTTGCGGTTTACCTAATTAACTTATGAGGGAAGTACTGCGGTAAAGTGTAAATTTCCTATTTACTTTTAGCAACTCTGATTAGCCTATTGTAAGAGTTTTCGAGTTGTTTGATTTGCTTTCTAAAGCAAAATAAGGTCCTCAATGGCTAAAAATCTTTATTGAAGTTCTCACTAATCCTACTAATGAATAGGGACATAGCGCAAATCTAAGTTGAAGCCAGCCTACAAAATGGTACTGGGAGCTAAGCAAAACACTTTCTCGGAGAAGATAACAATGAACCGGTATCTACACACTTTCGGGACACCCTGTATAAAGCTGAATGTCTGCCTGTATGTACGTTCCAAGTAGAAAATTCTATTTTTGAACCAATCCGGAAAAAAGTTGGCACACAGACGCTTCGAGGGTGTCGTAGGCACTTTTCGTTATCGATTGATATCGATTTCATTGATTTTTGGAAAGTTTGGATTATGGGGCTGGGAGTTGGCACAGCGAAGAGGGGGTAAATGAGCATGCTGATTGTTGATGATTTCTATATCATCAACCTAATCAATCCATTTTTCCACATCGCCTATGGGATTCCCATAGGCTCAATTGTACGCCATTCATTCTTGAGTATCTAATCACTCAAGAATGATTGGCACCTGTGCACTAGGAGTGTGGCCGAACGGCGGCAACTCCTTTTAAGCCATGTACCTCTTCTACGTTGTACTTTGTACCCGGGCAAGCTCCGCCTCGTATCCGTGTATATAAGGAGCCCCCGACTGTATTATAGACTCTTCTCGAATAATCTACGCCCGTGCGAATAAACCTTATTCCACAACTCGTCTACCCCCTAATCACTTGGTACCCACCAAATTGGTGCATCGGCCAGTGATTTTCCTTGCATTTCTCGGCGAATCCTCCTAAGGATACGAGAAATCAAGGCCTAAGACCCGCGTGGCAGGCTCTACTACAGGGTTGGGGGAAAGTCTTTGAACACGGTATTTTTAATGTAGTCACGAAACTAGGTAATATATTTATATGAAATAAATAAATAATGTTTATCGAATAGTCTACTATATGAAAGCAACTTTACATTTCAAAGATCCCTCCTTTGGCGCGAACATGGGCTCGAAGACGCTTGGGAAAGCTGTCCACGATGGCACGGAGGTACTCCATGTCGATTTCCTCCCACGCATTCTAAAGAACACGTCGCAGTGACTCCACAGTTTCGCATGAGTGAGCGCAGGCTTCGGCCTAAAGGACTGACCACTTGCGGTAGTCAAAGGTATTTAGATCCGCCCAATACGGAGGCCATTCCACAGGAGTAATGAAGTCCTTAACGTTGCTTTGGAGCCATGCTTGAACAACCTTCACTTAGTGCACAGGTCGCTATCCTGCTGTGAGCACCAATCGCTCCCGGCAAGTGGATTTTGGTCCAGGCCAACAATTCTTTCTTCAGGATGCTATTCACTTGCGTGGCATTGTCCACCTTGAGCACTGAGACCCTAAAAATCAGCGGCATTTTGCTGTCGGAAGCGACCGCCGCGCAAATTGTCACAAAAACCGGATGAAGCTTTCCTTCTGCAAGTAATCCCTGCTATTGGCTTCTTGAGGCGTTTAGGTGATGACTCCGTTGTTCTGGCGATCAAAAACCTGCTTTACGGTGAAACTTCTGACGTCAGAACAGAGTATTTTTGGTGGCGTGCCTTGGAGAGACGTTCAGGCATTCGATGGCATCCGCGCAGTCAAATCAGCTTCGTATCTTCCCAAAAAGCATGAATTATTAGCATCTTGAAAGCTTCATCCCAAGGCCTTGCTCCACGATGTCGGAGACTTTTATATCAGAGATGAACAGCTTTGAACCCAGCTCAGTCAAGCTTCTCCGAGGATTGGGACGATGGCGCTGGCGAACGATCTTCAGAATTTTGTGAGTGTCCGCAGTAGCCAATTTATCATTCTTACAGCAGTTCTGGGTGCTGTTCATATCCTGGAAACGACGCAAGGTAGAAATAACGCTGATTTGTAAAATTTGGGAACCCGCGCAATCAGCTGATTAGCCATTCTCTCCTCGTGCATCTTCGCCACCAACGCTCGCTCCGTTTAAAAAGGCATATCTCCGATAGAAATGAAGCTAGTAGTCCAGTTTTTGGAGGGCTTGTAACTAAGGGTATAAGAAGCAAATACATATAATCAGCATGCAAGAATATATGGAAAATCCGAACATACAGTGACATCAAAAATTGTTCAAAGACTTTCCCCCAACCCTGTATAGCCAATATTCGACTCTCGTGATTGCTGGTCCACCACTCTCACGATCAAGAGTCTTACTAAGTTGTCAGGTCCTATCCACAACTTAGTAGAGGTTTCTAGCTAACTGACTGGTTCACCACAGTTAGCGACAGACTCCTCGCACTCTCGGCTACTAATTAGCCAATATTCGACTCTAGTGATTGTTGGTCCACCACTTTCACTAATACGAGTCTTGCTAAGCTATCAGGTCATATCCATAGCTTAGCAGAGGTTTTCTAACTAACTGACTGGTTCACCACAGTTAGTACAAGAACTCCTCGAAACTTTTGGCTTTCCTAAAGTCAAAAAAGGACTCTGTGATTGCTGGTTCACCACTTTCACAAAGAGTCATCTTGCGAAGCTATCAGGTCATATCCATAGCCTAGCAAAGAGGTTTTTCTAGCTAACTGACTGGTCCACCACAGTTAGCAACAGAAATCCTCGAACTTTTTTGGCTTCCATCAGCCAAAACACTCTGTGATTGTTGGTTCATCCACTTTCACAACGAGTTTCATCTTGCGAAGCTATCAGGTCATATCCATAGCTTAGCAAGGAGATTTTCTAGCTGACTGACTGGTCCATCCACAGTTAGCAAAGAAATCTCAACTTTCCAAGCTCATTCACGATTGGTTCACCGATCTTGAGCTTTGGATCGTTACATGGGACAGGTTCCAACACCTTACCGTCCAGTACAGCGTACAAGCCAACCAGGCGCGCTTGCTGACAGCTAGTAGACGCTCGGCACCCACTTGCCAGCTCACTAAAAAGCTTCCTTGCAACCAGTAAGGACAGCTATCGTATCGAGGCCAGCCCTGCTGTCGCCCTCAAGCCAAAGCGATCAACACAAGGAGGATACACACTTCCAAATTGTAACGCTTGGAATTACCACACCAGCGCACGACTCTACCCAGTGCAGCAGAAAAGAAAATGGCATCGCTCCAGCTTTTCAAGATCAGGATTAACAACGCCTGCAAACTCGTGAAATCCCACGAGTCACAAATTGAAACCATTGATGTCCCCTTCACATTCCCCACACTGAAAGAAGAATGTGAACAGTACATAAAAGAGAAAACGGGACTGATAACCAATCTTCTCAACTCTCTACACAACGCAGTGAAGCTTCAAGAGACGCAAATCAACTCCGCGATTGAGTACATTAGCGCACGGAATGAGGAAAAAGAAAGAGACAAACTGATGATGGAGCTCAGCAAGCACCTAGAGATGGAGTCACTTGAACTGGAAGTGATTGTAGTGCAGTGGCGGACAAGGATAGAGTTCAGGCAGCATGAACTGAAAGAACAAGACGCACTACTGCACTGCGATGCTCCGAGCATACCGAGTCAACCAAGTAGTGATAATGGACAAGCTTGGATTCCAGAACGTAATGAAAGGCAGATCAAAATTCGGAAACCTCTGCTGGAAATTCCTACGTTCTCAGGCAATTTCCGAGAATTTAATAGCTTCTGGACCGTCTTCGAATCTCTCATCCACACTGACGAGGAACTATCGGATACAGACAAATTCCTGTTTCTAAAACAAGCGTTAAAGGGAAAAGCAGCAACCACTCTCAGCTGCATTCCCGTCATTGGAGAAAAGTATGAAACAGCGATAGATATCCTGAAAAAACATTTTGATCGCTCTGCCAACATGGCAGACATACTCATAAACGAGATCGAAAAACTTCCGAGGGCGTCAGACAACCCGAAAAGTTGCCGAGAAACCTTTGAAGCAATCAATTCGAGAATCATTCATCTTGAACAAACGGGAGCAAAGATGAACGCAGACAGACTTTGGCGTCGAGTGATCTTCTCCAAATTTCCCGAATCCATCTGTACAACCGCCATCCAAAAAGAAGCAATACAAGATGATTCCTTCGATGTTAGTGAAATCCTGGAAGCTATCGACAGCATAATTTCACTACGTGAAACGACTTCGCTCACAACTGAGACCCTTTTCCCAACCAGCCATCGCCAGGACACTCATCAAAATGGAAGGAACAACAGAGCAAGATGGGAAGAGGAAAGACAGTTCTCGAAACCAAGACGCTTGTGCTTATGTGGACAACCGCATTCCCCTTACACCTGTCAGAAATATACCACACCGGAAGCTCGACGCCTCGAAGCGAGAAATCAAAGGGTGTGCTGGAGGTGTTTTGCTAAGAATCACAATTCCAAAGACTGCCCGAATACTGGAGTGTGCCCTAAATGCAAAGACTCGCACCATGGATCTCTTTGCCTCTCAGATGCAAAGAAGCAAGACAATGGATACATAGCAGCAACACGCCGACCTGCAAATGTGGCAAGGCAACCGCCACTACCAGGTCGATCACAGCAACACTCCAGCCAACGGAGTCGACCACCGAACAACGAAATACGAGCTGTGCAAAACTCACAAAATGGATGTGAAAGCTACATTGCGGACAAAGCTCCAATCGTTCACAATCAGTGTGTGCTTCAAATCGCAACAGCGATGATCTTCAATGAAGAACAATGGGACTACCAACCTATTACAGTACTACTGGACTCAGGAGCGCAAAGAAGTTTCATCAAGTCAAACCTTAGCGAGACATATAAGCTTCCGATCGTCCGAACAACGTCATTCACCACATCCGGAATGGGTGAACTGCAAGAAGTCTTCGACTCCCACGAGGTGCTGATCACCTTGAAAAGTTTGCGAGGTCCTAACAAACTGAAGAAGATGGCCGTACACAGGAAGCAAAAACTCACCACCAGTTTGGACACGGCACATCTCACTGACGCCGATCTTCAGTTCATCTCAATCAAAAAACTGGACATAGCACAACAAACGCTCGCAAGAACTAGCGTGTCGCCTGATATTCTCATAGGCCAGGACATCCTCAATACGGTCATAGATCACAGCACGCCAGTACTGACGCTTCCTTCGGGACTAATCCTCACCCCTACCATCTTCGGTTACACTATATCAGGAACGAGCTTGGTCACAGCAACAACAAGCACTACTGAAGTCTATGGGAGCTCACTAGTGGTTGCAACTCCAGCAGTTTCACCAAGGGAAGATTACAAACAGGACATCAAACACCTCTATGAGCTCGAATCTCTTGGTTTGAAGACCGAAAGCGATCCCGATGAAGCATCCATAATCAAGTTCATGGATACCTATAGAAGAACAATCATTATCAAAGAAGGCACAATCACAGCAGGATTCCCCTTCAATGAAAACGTCAGCAAACTCAAAGACAACTTCAACATTGCTTTTCGCCGCCTACAGGCACTCCTTCGAACGCTTCGAGGTGATGCAAAAAAGCTTCAACTTTACAACACCACGATCGAAGACTACACCAGGGAAGGAATCATTGAGGAATGTACCTCACAACCAACTGGAGTAACTTCTTTTTACCTTCCACATAGACATGTCTGGACACCTGGAAAGACAACCGAACTTCGAATTGTCTTCGATGCTTCATCTCACGGAAGAAACGAGCTGAGTCTCAATGACGTCATATTTGAAGGACATGCCCTCACACCCCTAATCCATGAAGTTCTACTGCTGTTCCGCACGTACAAACATGCAATGGTGGCCGACATCCAAAAGGCTTTTCTACAAATACGTCTCCCCGAAAATCATCGAGATGCAACGAGATTTCTGTGGATCAAGAACTTGGATACACCACCCGAAGGCGAAAACGTCAAGTACTATCGCTTCTGTAGAGTACCTTTTGGAATAAATGCGAGCCCAGCCATATTGAATCAGTCCATACTCAAGCACATCGAAGAGGAGGATACCCCAATTGGAAAGGAACTATCCAAATCTCTGTATGTCGACAATGTGCTACTAGAAGGCAACAATCCGCAAGAACTGATCGAGAAATACAGTTCTTCAAAACAAGTGTTCTCTTCCATCGGCATGAATCTTCGCGACTACTTGTCAGACTCTGCTGAAGTGAACGCACAAATCAAGGACGTGGATAGAGCAAAAAACTGCGAACTCAAAGTGCTCGGAATCAAGTGGAAAGCTGACGATGACACCTTGATCATGGAATGTGCAGACAAAGAGCAAGTCAAGATCACCAAAAGATCTGTACTCAGCCAGATAAACGGATTCTGCTTCGACCCACTCGGACTGCTCACACCACTGATGATACCGGCAAAGATATTCCTACAGGATATACACAAGCTAAAGTTAGGATGGGACACCATTCTTCCTGAGGAGCAAATTCAACGATGGAAGGCCATCCAGGGTGACATCGTCGGATTCAAGAAAGCCATACCACGCACAGTGCTTAACAAGACTCCCGAGGCCAAATATATACTTTCTATATTTGTTGACAGTTCCAAGCGAGCTTACGCTTGCTGTCTTTATACGACTACATCAGCGAAGAATGGTATGAAGAGCACATCACTCTTTACGGCAAAAGCGAAAGTGGCGCCCATCAAGAAGGAACAAACCATTCCGAGGCTAGAACTGCTGTCAATATTCCTCGGAGACTATCTGTAGCCGAAACAACCATGTCAAAATGCGGAATAAACTTCACAGAAGTCAACCTCTTCAGCGACTCAACGATCGCACTATCATGGATAGCTAGCAGCAAAAAGCTTCCACCGATTGTAACCACACTAGTTCAAAAAATCAGCTTCGCCGCAGAAAGGATCAGAGAAACAGCCAAACTCAACTTCTTCCACGTCCCAACAGAAGAAAATGCAGCGGATTGCGCAACAAGAGGAATCAACAAGCAAGAATTCACCGCTTGCAGATGGTGGAAAGGACCAAGTTGGCTCAATCACCCCAATAAAGAATGGCCAGTACGTCCCATCAGTGACGTCAAAGACAGTGACGATGACGAGTGCGAAATGCTCACTTATCAAACTACTGAAGATCTTAGCAAAAGCAATTCTGATTGGCCAGTCGCTACGATAAGCAGCTACCCCAAATTGAAGCGAGTTGTGGCATACTGCCTGCGTTTCATCCGCATGGCAAGCAAGAATAGCCGCTTCAAAATGGCAGAAGAAGATCAAGGTACATCACGATTACCGAACGCAGCCGAGCTTATTCTCGCTGAAAAACATATAGTCTTGCAAGAACAGCGGACCTACGGGACAGCTCTGGTCTCTAAAAACAAGCAGTTCAAAACTATATACGACAAAGAAGGAATCCTACGAAGGTGCGGACGCATACAACATGCTCAAATCCAATCGGACATAGCCAATCCCATGTATATACCGAAACAAAGCTTACTGGGACTTAGGATCGCCGAAAACACTCATCGACACTTGGCTCACTGCGGAAGCAACCAGCTTTTATGCGAGCTTCGACAACGATTTTGGATACCGAGAGACAGAGTGCTCTGCAAGAAAGTCCTGCGAACTTGCACTATTTGCAAGAAATTCAATTCGTCACCATTCACGTATCCAGATATGGGCCCTCTTCCAAGAGAAAAAGTTACTGAAGCAAAACCATTCGCCTACACAGGAGTCGACTACATGGGATCGATACTGATCAAGGTGCCAAATGGACAAGATGAGAAGCGCTACGTTGCACTATACACATGCTTAGTCACTCGGCTGATACACCTGGAAGTGGCTACAGACCTCTCTGCAAAAAGCTTTCTTCTCACATTCAAGAGATTCATCGCACGACGAGGAGTACCGCAAAAGATCATTAGCGACAATGGAGCCAATTTCCGCCTCAGCGAACTGATACTCAGCAACAACGTCAACAATGATGAATCCGACCACTTATCACTATACCTCGCCGAACATCGCATCAGCTGGTACTTCATTCCTCCAGCTTCACCATGGATGGGAGGAGTGTGGGAAAGAATGGTTGGACTAGTGAAAAGAGCAATGCAGAAGACTATCGGACGACGGAAATTAACAGACGAACTTCTTCAAACGTCCTTATGTGAAATCGAAAGCATCGTCAACTCAAGGCCATTGACTCACATAGGCGAAGACGACCCTTCTTGCCAAGTCTTGAGACCAGTGGACTTCATCTATAAGGACGTTCGGCTTGGAAGCACTCAACTTACACCCGCCGACGACGATCAACACGATCCAGATTACCGGATAGGTCCAGAACTCTCATCACAAAAGGAAGCCAAAACAGCTCTTTTGGAGACCGAGAAGATAACGAAAAAGTTCTGGAGTATTTGGAAACACGACTATCTCCTCGAACTTCGCGACCGTCACCATGTCTTCAAGAATGGAAAAACCACGAATCGCAAACCAGAAGTTGGAGATGTTGTGCTGCTTGACGAAGACTCTCAGTTGAACAGAGGATACTGGCCAATGGCAGTCATAACACAACTAGTGCCTAGCAGAGACGGAGAAATTCGAAGCGCGGTGCTGAGAACCGCATCAGGAAGAGAGATTCAAAGACCCCTCAATCGCATAGTTCCTTTGGAAATTCGTTCAACAACGGAAAAAGAAGAGGAGAGACGGGAAACAACGCCACAAAAAGGAGGAATAGTAGCCAAGGTGAAAAAAGCGCTCAGGAAGAAACCAACAGCAGCACCTGAACCTCGCAAGCAACCACAGAGAGCTGCAAAAAAGCCTGTAGATTACTCATCTTCTAACTCGTCCACCATAAAGAGAAGCACTTCACAAATCAGCAAGTCAGTGATGATAACAATATGCCTGGCAGCTCTTCTTCTCATTGATACGGCGTCCGCAAATGTGCTATCCTGCTCTGAACATGGAGTGAAAGTCAACACGACTTCGGAATCTGAGTCACAATTATGTCTCAATTATAAGGACTGTCTGCAAATCTCGACGAAGAAAGGATTGCACGAAGTAGCGCTTCCGCCGAAGTACCGCACAATAGAACATCGAGTTCAATGGCGCACCATGATCGGAGCAACACAGTACTCCGACACCATTATCTGCCCACCAAGAGACATTTGCGACATGATCAAATGCACAGTTTGTGCAGACTTGATTCGAAATCCACACTGCGCCCCCAACACTGCGGTAGCAATCACAGCAGTTTGCGCATACCTTATGATGCTGCTCATCTGGTTCATTTGCTACACTGGACTTCAAGGAAAACGTCTTTTGTGCCGAACTAGCGAGAACGAGATGCCAACGGAAAATCCTGTTGCTCCTGCGAATGATCGACTTTCCGAGCTTCTAGGAAAACAATCCCGATCTCTACCAATCCAATCAAAGATGATCACATTCGTGGCTATTGCAACATGTCTCGTCGCAGGAGTCAATTCATGCCAGTACACTCACACACTCACGTCAAGGAACACCATTTGCATGAGGATCAATAACACGCTCAACTGTCGCTACACTATCGAAAACAGGATAACCTTGAGTGAGCACCGACCTCAAGCTTGCTTCAGGATTCAACATGATAACAAGACAGTTGGCAGCATGGAGATACAACTCCAACACGTCGTACTCCAGTGCAATCCCGTAGTCTTGTTCTACACCCGAGATGCCGAGATAGTGACCGAGTCAGCAAAACGATGCCATTTCTCTGGATCATGCTCATCCAACACATGTGCTCACACTAGCCAACGATCCTACATACCTGAACTTCACAACTCCTACGAATTTCCTGGATACTCAAGGTGCACCTCGTCTTGTGGAAGCATCGGATGTGGTTGCCTTCTACCTCTACCTGGATGCCTCTTCTCCCGCTCATATGGAAAACCGCAAAGTGAAACAGTTTACCAAGTGTTCCATTGCCCGACTTGGGATGAATCGGCAATCATCAAATACACTTACACAAGTGTTAATGGACGAAGAGAAACGAATATAGCCACAGTCACCGCGCAGACTACTCACACTCAAAAGGACGCCAACCTAACACTGGAATTCGTGACAACGCCAACGATTCCGCTACTGAGCTCTGTATTTTTGCAAGCCGTCAACACCACTAAAGCGGAAACTGCCTTGGTCGACAACGACGACGTATTTGCGCTCAGATGCCCAACGATGGAGAGCTCTCGAAACCTTTCGCTTTGCCATGTAGAAGACACTTGCAAATGTTACCCGACGGATGACCAGGCTAACTGTATCTGCAAGAACACGAACATATCGGATCTGACCACATCATTGGACAGCAGAGTGCCACTATCTTCCTCATTCTTACATCTACAAGAAGCTCATGGAAGAGTACTTGGAGTCAGCCACAAATCCATAGTCGACGTCACTATCAGCACGACTGCGGAATGGAATACAGCGAGTGTTGTCAACAACGAAGACTGTGACATCACGGCTTCACCGATTCAAGGATGCTACAACTGCATAACCGGCGCACGACTTACCTTCTCTTGCCATTCACCGCACCCAACAATGGTGGAGATACTGTGCACGCAGAATACCTATGCGGCCTTCTGCGATCAAAACACAATGCAGACAGTTGCTATACTTCAAGCGACCACCGCTAAATATGTCGACAAATGTTCACTGAAATGCGGAACGAAGAGCCACGTATTCAACATCTCTGGTATCCTGGCATACCACCCACACGAAAACGGAGTACTCTTCACGAATGCTAGCGAGGAAGCTTCATACGTCAATGTCTACAACTATCCCGACATTGGACACATCATCAGCGTCGCACTCTCGTCATGGAAGATGCTCGTCGTAGCTACCATCGCAATCGCAGCGGCGTTAGCCTTCACTATTTTTTGTGTCCCAAAAATTATAAAATTGTCATTGATGTGCGTGTAAATTTTTGTAACTGTAATTGATATACGATTTGATTCATCCTATCACCAATGCTTGCATTATAACGATTACATGTGTCTCATCAACTTCACCTGATTTTTTTTCCCTAGTCGCCCGGAGTGTTGATGATTTCTATATCATCAACCTAATCAATCCATTTTTCCACATCGCCTATGGGATTCCCATAGGCTCAATTGTACGCCATTCATTCTTGAGTATCTAATCACTCAAGAATGATTGGCACCTGTGCACTAGGAGTGTGGCCGAACGGCGGCAACTCCTTTTAAGCCATGTACCTCTTCTACGTTGTACTTTGTACCCGGGCAAGCCCCGCCTCGTATCCGTGTATATAAGGAGCCCCCGACTGTATTATAGACTCTTCTCGAATAATCTACGCCCGTGCGAATAAACCTTATTCCACAACTCGTCTACCCCCTAATCACTTGGTACCCACCAAACTGATTACTAAAATATTGTTGAAGGGCGGAGACGAGTTTTCCAGCTAGTTTCATTGCGGATGTACAGAAGGTAAAAACTGCATTCCTGGATGCCATTGATATTGCCGAACTCTTATTACGCGAGGGACTCCATAGGTGGCCTACTCTGGCATCATCCCGTGTTTTTTGAATGATAGCAATATGCTGATTGTCTGCGATATCGCTTGTGATAAAGCTAAGCGAACATTTCATTTATCTTTATAAATCTTTTTACGATATGGGAGAAGTTATTGAACTTATCGAATACATGAGTGGTTCTCGTATGATTAACGCCTTTATTCGACTCACTAAAGAAAAGGATTATTCTACTCTTTTTGCTTTTCCTTTCCTATTCTTGAGATACGAACTTTTTAGAACCAAAGCACGTGTAGCATTGTATTCATACCCGAGACGATACATGAGTTTACACAGTGCGCATTCCTGCCTTAGTCTCTCTCTTTTCTTTGCTTGCCACGCATATTGCAATATACTCCAATTGCAAATGTCGGAACACTGTTTTGATTGCAGTATTTACGTGACGAATGGCTTACGTTGGTTTACCTCCTCTGGAACGCCTATATATGGTGTTTTGGGTTCCATGTACGTGCGATTGTTGAAACCGCCATCAAGCTTGGCAGAGTTTCTATCCTTAGTTCTCTTCTTGAAAAAGCTCCGTTTTGGATCCGGAGCAATCGTAGCATTTTGATTCGAACCAGCAGCATTGTATTCGAATTCGAGACGATACCTGATTTTACACAGTTCGCATTCCTGCCTTCTCTCTTTCCCTTGTATTATATTGCCACGCATATTGCACCATACTCCAATAGCACAATTGGAAACACTGTGACAAATAAATTGCAGTATTTACGTGACGAATGGCTTACGTTGGTTTACCTCCTTTGGAGTATAGGCTGCTGCATGACGAAGGCGCAATATCTTTGGGCGCGAACGCGGCTTTATTAGCAGCAGAATGCAGAAGGCGCAGGATTTACCATGGTGAGGATACGCGCGCGCCGCGTTCGCGCCCGCTCAACTAATACTGTTATTACGCCTTCGTCATGCAGTAGCCCTTACCTAGATATGGGGTTTTGCCCCTGTACGTATATTTTTTGAAACCACCATCGAAAGGCCATCTTATATATAAAGCTGAATGTCTGTTTGTCTGTCTGTCTGTCTGTATGTCTGTCTGTATGTACAATACCGCTCACAGAATGTGCAAAATTTCCGTAGATGTCGCAGAATTCCAGGAATTCCGCGAAGGTTCGCGAAATTTCGGGAATTTCGCGAAATTCCTGGAAGTCCGCGAAATTCCGGAAATTTCGCGAAATTCATGTGAATCACGCAAATTACGCAGGGCCATAACTTCTTTCCGAATGAGTATATTCGAAATCCGAAAACAGCATTGTATTCAGCTCGTCAAGGCGAATCTTTTGGTGTACAGGTTGTGTCCAATACCTTGTTTTCGATAATCTTGAATTTGCACGCGGACGCCTCTTCGCATGGTGGTAACGCAACGAGCATCACACATAGGAGACTGCCATGGGCACCGTTCGATAGTACTCTTTCAATAGATTATCGTGCGCTAAACAGCAGCCGAAGACTCATTTATGAAAGAGGTGGAAGAGCTGATAAACTCTGGAAAAATCAAGCTGTTCCAGGTTCTACTAGCCGTAACTTCCTTCAGAATGAACATTTTCGGAATCCGAAAGCAGCATTGTGTTCATCTCATTAAGTCGAATCTTAATGTATACAGCATGCCCTTGAAATTCCGATTCCAATTTTTTCAAAATTTTCTGCGCGCGTATATTCACAAGGTCGCAACGCAGCGCACCTCAAACATAAAAGACTCAAATAAGCACTGTTGGATTGTGCTGCTTCCGCAGATTAACGAGCGCTAAAAGGCAACCGGAGAATCTTCTTGAAAAAAAGATAGAAGAGCTGGTGAATTCTGGAAAAATCGCGTTGTCTCAAATTTTGCCCACTGTGACCCTAAAATGAGAAGCTCTACTGCTAAGCAGATGTGATTTTCGTAATCAGCAGGTCAGATAACCTCTATGAGCAAGTTTTCAAGGAAATTCGGGTGATTTGATTTTTTCTCGTTCTACGCCCTGAACTCGCCGATGGGTTTTGGTCAAAATGTCGATGATCTTGGATTGTAAAAAAAACTTCGCTCAAAGAGGTTTTTGAACACGCTGTTTACGATAATCGTCTTTTGCGCAGAGTACAGAGTTTTCTAGCAGAGATATGGTGAGGGAACTTTAGCTAAGCCACGCAAGTTCGTAGATTCGCCTGCTTTTTCGCGCACCTCTTAGAAAATCTGCTTGCTTGCCTTTGCAGGTTGAATTCACTAGAAAGCGTGCTATTTAACGGTGCATGCATCCGGCTTCAATCTGTAGCAATCGCCGAGTTAGGGGCCTACGAGACCACGTCCTCATGAGTTTTGCCCAAAATGTGAAGATCGCCTGCTTCGTAGAAATTCCACCTAAGTGACTGTAAGACACTGTGGTCACCAATTTTGTGTTCACTTTGCTTAAGGAATCTATCCTGCTGTACTGGAAGTGTTTAAATAGATCTGAGCTCTAGCCACGAATCTGTTGATATTCACCTAAAGGCTCAGGCACACACAGCCATCAGATCCAATAGAATAAGATCTCAAGGATCTTTCGAGTTGAACATAAAATTCGCGACCACAGCGACCACCACCACAGTCTTACAGTCACTAAGGTGGAATTTCTAGGAAGCAGGCGATCTTTACATTTTGGGTAAAACTCATGAAGACGTGATTTCGTAGGCCCCTAACTCGGCGATTGCTACAGATTGAAGCCGGATGCATGCACCGTTAAATAGCACGCTTTCTAGTGAATTCAACCTGCAAAGGCAAGCAAGCAGATTTTCTAAGAGGTGCGCGAAAAATGCAGGCGAATCTACGAACTTGCGTGGCTTAGCTAAAGTTCCCTCACCATATCTCTGCTAGAAAACTCTGTACTCCGCGCAAAAGACGATTATCGTAAACAGCGTGTTCAAAAACCTCTTTGAGCGAAGTTTTTTTTACAATCCAAGATCATCGACATTTTGACCAAAACCCATCGGCGAGTTCAGGGCGTAGAACGAGAAAAAATCAAATCACCCGAATTTCCTTGAAAACTTGCTCATAGAGGTTATCTGACCTGCTGATTACGAAAATCACATCTGCTTAGCAGTAGAGCTTCTCATTTTAGGGTCACGGTGGGCAAAATTTGAGACAACGCGATTTTTCCAGAATTCACCAGCTCTTCTATCTTTTTTTTTCAAGAAGATTCTCCGGTTGCCTTTTAGCGCTCGTTAATCTGCGGAAGCAGCACAATCCAACAGTGCTTATTTGAGTCTTTTATGTTTGAGGTGCGCTGCGTTGCGACCTTGTGAATATACGCGCGCAGAAAATTTTGAAAAAATTGGAATCGGAATTTCAAGGGCATGCTGTATACATTAAGATTCGACTTAATGAGATGAACACAATGCTGCTTTCGGATTCCGAAAATGTTCATTCTGAAGGAAGTTACGGCTAGTAGAACTTAGAGCAGCTTGATTTTTCCAGAGTTTATCAGCTCTTCTACCCCTTTCGAAAATGAGTCTTCGGCTGCTGTTTAGCGCACGATAATCTATTGAAAGAGTACTATCGAACGGTGCCCATGGCAGTTTCCTATATGTGATGCTCGTTGCGTTACCACCATGCGAAGAGGCGTCCGCGTGCAAATTCAAGATTATCGAAAACAAGGTATTGGACACAACCTGTATACCAAAAGATTTGCCTTGACGAGCTGAATACAATGCTGTTTTCGGATTTCGAATATACTCATTCGGAAAGAAGTTATGGCCCTGCGTAATTTGCGTGATTCACATGAATTTCGCGAAATTTCCGGAATTTCGCGGAATTCCAGGAATTTCGCGAAATTCCCGAAATTTTGCGAACCTTCGCGGAATTCCTGGAATTCTGCGACATTCACGGAAATTTTGCACATTCTGTGAGCGGTATTGTATGTCTGTCTGTCTGTACGTATGTTCCGAATAGAAAATTCCATTTCTGAACCGATCCGGACCAAACTTGGCACACATACACATCGAGCATGCTGATTACCCCCACGGGGGTGATCAGCATGCTCGATTACCCCCCTGTGCCAACTCCCAGCCCCGTAGCTCAAATTTTGCAAAAAATCGATAAAATCGACATCGATCGATAACGAAAAGTGGACTGTGACACCCGCCGGGGCCCGAAGTGTATGTGTGCCAAGTTTGGTCCGGATCGGTTAAGAAATGGAATTTTCTATTCGGAACATACGGCGGAGCCGAGTAAGCCAGCTAGTTTCTCATATAAAAGGAGCTTGGAACGGTCATATGGGAAATCGGGCTTATCGGGCTTGGCAATAACACAGATCAAGAAGGAAATAATAAACAATTTTGAATGCCGCATTTATCTTAAAGTAACCATTTTTGTTGCTATTTAAAATTTGATTAGATATAAAACAAGTTTTGAAACACCGTGTCAAATAC